GTATCGATAATCGCAACGGGCCGGTAGGCCACTCCCCAATGCAGCTGTCTGCGGATGAAGGACTGTAAAGGTGACCATATTGGTGAAGGATCTCACTGTTTGCTTGGGAGGTTGTGATAACCAAACATCACTCCACGGTCAACTACTCCAGATGCGGGACATTGCAAAATCAAAATGCAACGGTTAATAGGAATGCATTTGCAACTAACACAGCGGTTGGGGATGTTATATTCAATCAATCTATCTTCTGACATATATACTGTGCTTTATGGTTTCACCTCTACTACCCCTGTTTCCTTCATGATGTCTACCATATCGAGTTTCCCCCACTAACTCAACAATCATGAGGTTCAGGAAAGAGTGTGTAATCTGCTGGTAGCAGATGAATTCTTACTCTTTTTCTGACAGCCCCCTCAGTCATGGTTGTGAACACCCAAAACTAGTGTTGACTGCCTTTCCAAAGCGTTTCGTTCTCGCATGGATTCGAGGTTTCTTTCCGCTGATGTTTTATGCCTGGAGCATAATAGAATCATGACACATGAATCGATCCAACGTTATGTCTGTGCAAAAACCTGACACAAGCATGAAGGTTTCTGTGCGGGCCTGAATTTTCTCAGAAGCAACAGGACTTCGTCTGGGTAAGCTATCAAGTCGTTTCTAACAGAGAGCAACCAACACTGATGTTGGATGTTGTTCAAGTGCTGCTCTGGCTATGGTAACGGGCGAATACATGGAGGGGGCGCAGGTTCCAATCGTAAAATGTACTTTGTGTGTAACGGGTGACTTGGTCTGGTGCAGGCAGGGATCAATAATGGGTCAAATGGGCTAGATAATGGCCACTGACAATGTGGGGTGCACAACGAAGTCAATTTCTACGTATAATAAACTTTCTTGGTCCTCAGTGTTCTTGTGTTGGAGAGAGGAAGACCAAGAGAAATCCTTCATCGTGTCCAAGTAGCTCCCTTTATAAAATCCCTCTGCCCCTGTGAGTACCTCGCGGTCTCCTGGAATCTTCAGAATTTTCCTCATCGTAGCAACGTTATCAGACTCATTCTTGGCACCTCCTTATATTTCCAGGGCTCTACCAATCGAATGTCTTTTACCCTTCTCAGCTCTTGTGTCACCGGTGTTCCTTATGTTGGCTGTCAGAGATATCTTTTCTCCTGGACTGCCGTGTCCATGTGACATCGTGCGGCTAACAGATCTGCTTCGATCTTAAAGCTCTAGGGCATTCAGGGGTGGCGTGCAGGGAGTCGGATACTACCTTACAACAATCCCGGAAAAGCGAGGGCATGAACGACAAAGTGCACCAACTGGTCCAACAGTTCAGAGCAAGCAAGCAGCTCATCGATAATGTCATGAGACGTTAGCCGAACTATGGATGCGATATCAAAAAGAATGATGGTTAACAAGTGATCAAGGCATTCAGACAGGCATACTTCGCTGAGAAAACCCTACTGATCATATGGCATGCGAGTTAGACCGTAACAGGCTTCTTTATATTGAATTCGATTTGCAGACGAAATACACCCATCTGCTACACCCTTGGGTGTGTGGGAAATAAAGCACAGCTGTGATGTAGTGAGCTGGAGTTGTCCACTTTTGATTTACTGGCTGCACAGCTCAGCTTGCAGGCTCTGTATGTTGATATGAGTTCAAGGCAGTTGTTTCCCTCAATTACAGTTATCTCATTTGATGGCCTTGATGTCATGCATCATATTCACTATTCTAGCTCAGTATCGGTCACGTTCTGTTACCATCGAAGAGGTGTGCCTTCGTTGCCCAGCATGACCTCGTGCAATAACCCATCCCTTTTCCAAGACGACTTTGCGTTTTCGACCGTTAGGCTCTTTATCAAACTTGGTGAGAGCCCCAAATGAGATGTAAGCAACATCGCCACGTTTTTTGGTACCAGTGCTTGCATCTCCTCTGATCTTGTCAATTGAACTGAACTCGTGGTCAATGACCCGCAACCATGCAACTGGTTTTAGATCTCTTGTCTCCTTGTCACAGCCAGCCTCTCCCCATGCTCTAACATCCCGTGAAGGAACCTCTATCTTGTAATTTCCAGGGTATCTTCTCATAGCAAGTTTCAGGTATACAGCTTTCTCGCATATGGCCAGGATCTGTTTCTTGACCTTGTCCTTTTCCAGAGTGGGGGCTGATTTTAATAGAGGCGATAGCATCTCGAAAATAGCATCTCTAATTCCTTCGACATTTTGAGAGATGTCCCGAAGAGGAGCGGTTGTCTCAATGGTGGCTGCTACCCAAGCACCGAGCTTATCACTGTCAACTGTTTCGAAAACAATCTAGTCAGAGATGCTGTTGTCAATCAAGGGGCAAACATGAGACTTACCTTTCGCTTCCATGTCCCTTTCAAGTGCTCTCAGTTGTGCTTCAACTCCAGATATCCACTGATTCTCGCCGCTCTTAATGAAAGCCTGGAGTCCGAAAATACGAAGACCGGGCCGCAAGATGTGTCTATACAATAAATGAAATATCTTTCCCATGACACGTCTCCTCTTTTGATGTATATTTGCTTGATTCCAGGTTGCTGGCTCGCAGAAAACACCTGCCTCAATACCCGATAGTGTTCTCAGCTGAAGTGTAGGGTTTCTGCAGAATTCGAGGATGGCCCCCCTGAGGTCAAGGAAGGCCTCTGTAATAACCGCATCCGGGTTTTCTGAACCGTCAAGTTGTGTAGGATACCACTTTTTCCAATAATCCGCGCGATGAGTCTCTGAAACTAAGTCTCTCTTAAGCTCTGCGAGGCTTTGATCGGCTGCTGCTACATTCAAGTTTGCGATGGTTAAGTCTGATCCCAAGCCATCCGCTTTTGCCCCATGCTCTTCCTTTTCTTTTTGTACCCTATTGAGTAGTTGAAGGAGTTTTATTTCCAGATCAGCCTTTTCCCTGCTATGGAAATCTTGCATGCGATCAAACTGCTTGCCTGTGATCCCGTGATCACGTAATAATGTTTCTAGTTCGTCGAACCCTTTGGCAATGTTTCGGGATATGTCATTCACAGACGCTGAAAGATTATGCACACTTTGTGCAACGCTATGGATATCATACCTAAGCAGGTTGATGTCCGGGTTCAATGCTAATCTCATGTCCCGTCCTGATGCAGCATGGGACATGACTAATTCTTCTCGATGGCTGGGAAGGATGCTCAATGTTTCATTGAACGGTATGAATGTCTGATGCGTAAGCATTGAGGAGGTTCTAGCAAAATGATGTCGTTGAAGGCCCCAACGGTTGCTCAGGAACCCGTGACGATAGAGTCTCCGTGTTTTCTGCCAACTGGGAGTCGGCGTTGGTGCGTAATACGGGGCAAGTTTGATTAGTTGATGTTGACTGTCCATCGTAAAATAAGTTGTATGTAGTGCTATGGAGGGAAGAATTGTAACCCCCAACGTATGGTGGTTGTTGTTTGAAGAAGTATTAGTTTGATGGGCAAAGGTGTTCATGTTGTTCTGCCTCGCAAGGAGCTCTTGGTCACGGTTGAGGACAAAGAAGACTTTTGCTGGACTCGGCAAGCATGTTTTTTCAACAAAGGCAGGTACGGGGGCTGAATTGCGTGGAGGACAAACGTGAACGTGAACAAAGAAATCCGAGCTGTGTAACGGAGGTTCTTTTCCGGTTCGCTATGAGAGGACAATTGTGAAGGCGACGTCAACTAGACTCCCTTTGTTTTCTTAGTGCAATGTGGTCGTGTAAATAAAAAATCTGCAAAGGTCCCATGCCAGATATGCGTTGTTAGAAGTGAGAAAGTGGCTTGTGTTCTTATGTAATTTAGCGCTGCGTTTCGAACTAGTGCTAGTGTCTGTGTGATATGTTATTTGTGTATGTACAAGCATTCATCGTTCAATCGAATTCTCTGCATGCACGATTTAGGAACTGTTTTGAAAGAGGGCCTGGAAGACATGGCTGAGCTGGGGTAGGTAACGGCGTTTTTCTTCAAAGGCTGCGCGTCGAGTCCCCGGTGCTTCAAGCTGCAAGTGGCAGGACTCGTGCTTGTCGAACATCTCCATCATGCTAGGAAGTTTATTCGCGATCTGGTTCAGCAGGACTTTGCTTAGACGACCCAAAGGCTTATCAATTTCTAGGGACGAGCGTGGAAGCTGGGCGTAAACTCCAGGAAAGAAAATATAACTTCTTGTGCGTCTCGCTCAGCAAGGGTCCAAGAGCCCTTCTGGGATTCATGTTTTTCACAACGTGCCATCTATGACGAAACTCGACCGGGCAGTTTAAAAATCAGAGATGCATTACAAGCTCTCGCTTTCGGAGTTTGGATGCTGAGTATCAAACTTGGTGACACGCCTAAAAGTCGGCTACTGTTTTTGTCCGCATCTCGAGGAAGACTCACGACGACTTGGTTGACAAAGTCGTTTTTGGCGAAGACAACGGCGAGAATGATGATCACCTCTCTTGTGTACGAATCGACGAGCTCTTTAACTAGCTCGGCTTCGGAGCTGGATTGGGCTTCTTTTCTGGATGGATCAACCCCGGCAGATCGATCATGGTTAGATGCGGGCCATCTGAAACTGTGTTCCAACTCGGAGAATGCCCTTAGAGAAAGCTGTTCTGTGAGGCCCAATTCCCATGGCAACTTTTGCTTTCTCAATGACCTCCGATAGGCCGTCGAATCCTGACAATTCTTCGTGGAAGCTGCGCAGGCCTGTAGCTCTGACTCAGAGAGAAATGTTGCGCTAAACTGAGAGGCCTGGCGGAGAATGACTTCGGCCGGGAAGCGTGTGCAAGGATTGCTCTTGACTGGAAAAGAGACACCGAAGATGACTTCCAATACGGAGAAGCGACACCCGTCCATCAGATAGCGACACCCTACGGTTGCACCCACAAGATGCACATGCACTCATCCAGCACCGAGGAATCAACGATATCAACGCTGAAAATGCACGGGCATGAGTGCAAGGAAAGCCCTGACAAAAGTAATATATATCAAGTTCAATACGGCTCTATAGATGTTTGAGGTATTGTTACGTCCGGATAGAATCTATTCCATCAGAGGTATTCCCATCATCCCGAAGCTCCTCCTGACTTGTGTTGTAGCACATGGCCGTGTAAGTGGACATTCCAGGCTGCAGCTTGAGAGCTCCTTCCTCATGCTGGATGTCATGGATATGTGGCATGAAGACTTCTGTTTTCCTCGTGAAAGACCTGCGGACCGAAATGGTGCCGTTCACCCCTATGTGGCCGTATCGGGTACTTACACCATCAGTACCAGGGACCATGGGGTGGCTGGTCATACCGAGCTTGTACCCAATCAGTTTTATCAAAGGCTGCAGAGTAGCCAGGCCTCCGGCGGTGATACTCAGACATTCCTCAACGGCGGACCAGACGGCGATATATGCAGTATCGTACAGGAAGTCATCGCTTGCGATATTTTTCATGTATGGGATACGGACAATGACAGCTGCACTAGCTCTGTATTGGGAAAAAAAATAATGGGGTTAGTCGCCTCAGGGGCACACCGCAAAGGATATCTGATGGGTCCTGCATTAGCGCAGAGAGAACACTTACACGCAACCCATGCCCATTAGGCCGATCAGGGCAACCTTTGTCTTGAGCTTCATGTTGAGATGCGAGACAATCCAGGCGGGGAGTAGCGCGAAGATAAAGTCACTGACAATGTTAATGGTGCTGAAGACGTATGAAAGGGCGAGAACAACGCCGTTCTCTGTGCAGCTGCCCTCTTGCGATCGGTCCCAGAAGTAGCTGACGGGCCAACACTGGAAGATGCAAGCAAAGAAAAAGGCCATGGAGCCTACCACGGTCAGCGTCATGCCTATGTAGATGATCCATTTGTGCACAGGCTTGACAGCTACCCGCAGCAAAAACCAGGCGATGGACAATTTAGCCAGCAACATCGTAGCTGAGTATGTCAGGTAGCAGAGCCACCACCACTGTGGCCAACCCACATCCCTGTCAGCGAAGCTCTGTACTTCCCGCGATGGAGCAAGGGTGCTAGTCTGGTTGTAACTCACCTTCAGAGCTTTCGAGGCATCTTCTGGTTGGAGGTTTTGCATATGTTGTCCCGTGCCATATCTGACACCAGCGAGAGAAAAGCTGCTGTACAGGATGAAGGAAACCTGTATAAAAGTCAATATTACACGAGGTGATTGAATGAAAGAAACCGAGGAGCACGGACAAAGAATGCAAACTCTATAACGTACCGTGGCGCCTACCATGAGCCAGTCATCTGAGCCAAATGCTTTGACCAGGCAGATACGGACAAAACAACGCAAGGTAGTAGTGATCAAGGAGATGACCAGAGCTGCTGTAGTAACACCGACGACCGCAGGGGCGCGTGAGCCCTCAACTGTTCCCATCGTCGTGGGCGGCTGCTGAAAAGATGTCCCGAGGTATGTAAGTATGCTGTCAGAAGAGCGATCGCCTTTGAGTTTGGTCGAGTCCCCAGCCACAACAGACTGGATGTGGATCGCAGTCTGAATCCCGGCCGGCAGAATGACAACTGTAAGCAAGGTTCACTGCTCACCGAGGGTGTGGGAAGCAGGTTTTGTCAGGAGAACTGAAGCCGACGAGGAATTTCAAAGAGCAAAGCATGCGCATTTGCATGCATTTTGAAGGCGAGTATGATCTCCCATTCAGCGAGAATATGGAACGGACAGCAGGTTTTGACTCTAGGGGATGCGGGGATATTACCTCGCGGATTGGACGCGCTCTCCGGGGAGGTTCACAGGGGTGAACCATTGCGAAGTCGACGAGTCCTCATATTGGACCCGCTCATTCGAGGGCTGCCCTGTCAGCTGTCTCCAACATCAGCCAGCATCTTGGGAGCCTTATCTCTGGGAAACCTAGGAAGCTTTGTGGAGGGTTCCATGTCGACTAGCCTCACAATCGAGACAGGTGGATTGCGACCAGCATGTTTTGGGGTGAAGACTCCTCGTCGCCGGAGTTTGAACGGATTACGAGGGGCACCAATGCCTAGAACACCCCGTAACTCCAGTTAGAAAAGAACCGTGACAAGCCTGAACTTTGAGGAGATGTAGACGCCGGAGGGCCGTCAGAAAGCATCCTGTGCAGGATGCTTCAGTATTTAGCTACCTGGTTATTGACGAGTGTAGAGCGCAGTCTCCGTCGCAATGTCCATTGTCCATCGAAGAAAAGTACAAATGTTCTCCCTTGTACTGGAATCCGCAGATCGACGCTCAACATTTTCATTGCTCTTCTGCAACTGGTTCGGCGTTTGTGGAAAAGATCAAAGTCCTACGTGGATGGCTCCGATGATCTGGACCTGGGTAGCGGCAAATCCCCTGATCCAGTCGCATCCAGAGGCCCGCCCCAGTGGGCGAGGATCGGCATCAGTGGGCCCTTGTCCCCAGTTGGTATGGCACTTACCACCTCGCTACTTGACCCATAGCAAAACCGTGGCTTTTGAAATTTAGACTTTGGATCGTAGATGATCACTTGAGTGGGCACTGGAGGTTTTAGAGGGCAAGTCTCACTTCCAATAAGGATCGTTGCCACGTCGTGAATGAATGAGACACGAATGGAATACGATGCAATGGAACTTGTAATATCTTCGAAGGGTGAAGAGTGAATGCATATCTCGATTATCGATGTTAAAGGCTGAAATCTTTATTCTTGGGCAAACTCTAAGCTGCTAGAGGAGCGCCGTTGTTTTGGACTTAAAAGATCATTGTGTTCTCAGTACGTCCGCTTTTGGTTCGACAGGGTTAGGGTAGTACTCGAAATCAGCCGGGGCGTTCAGCCCTGTGGTGGCGCGATCTGGGGCATTGGGCATTGCTCGACAAACCCACATTAATCTTTGACCCCGGGCCTCCACATCTTGTGCCCCTTCGCAACACCCCTCCCAGCACAGAAGAACTGGCGCCCGTAATACGTACATCCAGTTTCTATAGCAATAGTGGAGTACAATAGTTCGTATTGACAACAAAATATCGACTATCGATATAACCGCACAGTGTTTGACGGTTTGAGCAGAATCTTTATATAATCGCAGCATCAGTCACTAGCACAACTGCCGACTACATGATGACTTCTATATCGATCCCTCGAACCATGAAAGCATGGCAATACTCGTCCACTGCTGGCGGCATTGAGAAGAACCTCGTCCTCAACCAAAATGTCCCTGTCCCTTCACTGGCACCCTATATCGGCGCTCGCGATTCAGTGCTGCTTGTGCGAGTCCTGTCAGCTAGCCTCAACCCGGTGGATTACAAAGTTCCCGAGTTAGGCATCGTCTCACGTGCCGTCACTGGTATGCAGGCCACTCCAGGTCTTGACTTTTGTGGCCGCGTTGTCCAAAGCACTCCGACGGTAGATGACTTTGCCGTTGGTGATCTTGTGTTTGGCCATCTCGACTTCCAGCAACATGGTACTACCGGCGAGTACATTGTGGTCCCGACCAAGCATTGTGCCCGGGTGCCCGAAGGCGTGAGCATTGATGAGGCAGCTACCCTTGGTGTTGCCGCAGTCACGGCGTATCGTACGTGGTGTCCTCTATCGTCATTCTTCACTTCAGAAAGCTCAGACGGCGGAGAGGTACATGTGGGAGCTAATGCTCAAGCCTAGAGTCGATTTCGGGTTATGTCAAACAGGGCGATAAGGTCTTCCTGAACGGTGGTTCTGGCGGCACAGGAACATTCGGTATCCAGATTGCGAAGGCCCTGGGCTGCCATGTCACTGTGTCGTGCTCGCCTGCCAAAGCCGAGTTATGTCGCTCACTCGGTGCCGATGAGATCATTGACTACACCTCCGTTGACTTATCCCGCGAGCTCAAGGCAAAGGGGCAAGTGTTTTCTCTTGTGGTTGATAACGTAGGCACTCCTTCAGATCTCTACAAGGCCTCCGATGACTTCCTGCTTCCTACGGGAAGGTTCGTTCAGGTAGGGGTTCCCATGAGTTTGAACACTGTCAAAATGATTGCGTCAAGATCACTGCTCCCTTCGTTCCTCGGAGGGGGGAAGCGCACGTATATAGTCTGCTCCGTCCGGCACGATCAGGATGCCCTGAGACAGTTGGCACAGTGGGTCGCGGAGCGGACCGTCAAGGTAGTCATCGAAAAGACCTACGATATGGAGGATTTACCTAAGGCTTTTGCGAAGTTGAAGGAAGGAAGGAATGCAGGTAAACTTGTTATCCATATAGGGAAGGAATAAGCAACAAGACAGATTGTATGGAGGGCGGTATGGCATTTATGGTTGATATGAGTCAGAGGACATTATAAGAAGTTAAGTTAGAGCACACATTGCATTCACAACACAGAGAACGGATTTTTGAGCAGGTGGAGGGCTCGTGCAGAGATGCTGCCGGCTAACCACCCTCTGTGGACCAGGCTTGCCCGATCCCCTTACCGGGGCTGGTCTCGTCTGCACCAAGCGGTCCGCGGGCTCAAAGCTAAGCCCTTGTGGGAGCCAAAGCACCTAGGGATCAGGGCGTGGCCCGGCCTCTCTCTGTTCCCCCAAGAAACGACGAGTCCCTCCCCCGGATATGCGTGGCTGGTGGCGCACTAACCAACCCCCCTCGGCCTGCTGGGCTGGGCACAGTGCTAAACCATTCCTTGAGAGGTTCTCCCGTCAATGCTTCTCGCGCTGGTTAACGGAAGCCTCGGGACATGGCGACTTCTTAGTACCATATGCGCTTCAACCCCCCGCCGGAGGCTGTCAAAAGTGTCCCCGCGGGGCGGTGGTTTCCAGGGGACACTTCTCCTCCTGCCCTCTTGTTTCCCTTGACAACCCGCTCGCGGGAAGGATGGACCCTAGGGCCTTCTGGTCCTCCTCTGTGTCACTGGTGTTCTATATATCGACTGTCAAGGATATTTCTTCTCCTTGGATTGCCGTGTCCATGTGACAGTTTCAGTTTCATGTTCATCCACTGGTGAAACTTGAGGCTTGTGGTAGATCATGGGACGGAATAGCACAATAATAGCACAACGAATCAGGCACCATGCACCTGTGCGAAAAGATGACTTTGTTTTCCTATCAACAATCTCTCACACAGTGCATGTTGCTCTTATAGACCTCAAGGAAAACAATGATTATCTACAATGCTCTGACTCGAAGGATGATTGCAGCTCTTGACAACGGAATTTCAACATTTTAAACACCGACAACAAACACTTAGCAAGTGACCCCAAAGGGAAGACAATCTAACGCTATGTCAAAGCCCAAAGAACTTTATGTCATCACTGCCCCGAATTGGGACTGAGTGCCCAACCTCCTGAGCATAAACTTCTACAAGTTTGTCACCCCAAGTGTAAGTGGTGTATCTAGCCGCAGGGATATTGCCTTAAACTGTATCCGGCTTATTGTAGTCGTAGCCAGACACCACACCACTGCTTGATGGTTTCGTTGTAATTGTTCTGGTGGAGAGTTTTGTCGGCCGAGCCATGACAAACTTGCATCTTGGGGCATGAGCCATTGTATCCTTGGTAATATCGAAGACCATCTGTAGAGTGCGTCAGCATTGGATGTTGAAACTTAGTGTGGGGTGCAGATTCGAGTTCCTGATCTTACCTTTGCCCAAACTTCCGGTGTACTACGGGTCTACCCGTTCGCACAGTAGCTGTTCCACTGATTGATACCACCAAATTGGCTATAAAAAGAGCCAGCTAAAGTGCCGGAGTCGACAATTCCTGCAGCGAACAACTCTGGGTATTTTGGTACCATCACATTCTGTAGTTGGAGACTTGGGTAAGCACTAGCTCAAAGATGTCAAGGTGATTGGTACTTATGGTCATCATGCCGCCAGATGAGCTGCCTGTTGCAAACACCTTGCTGGCTTTTCGGCCAGCCTATTGGGTACGTAGATATACATCTTGACATTTGAGGGGTTGGGCCCGAAATCAGTGACTCAACTTAGTGCGGCTTGAGCCCGCTTCAAGGGCCTGCGGGTTCATTAACTCAAAAAAAAAAAACGGAACTTACAATTGTACTGGCACCAATGAGGCCCAGTGCGAGAGCGACATGACTGAAGATTCTCATTGTGGTGCAGTGATGACAGGGAAGCCTCAGTCCTGTCGATGGGGGGAATCACAGGATAAAATGGTCAGAAGACCGTCAGTATCGTAGCTGGCTGGTATAATAGTGAGGGGAATGGATTAAATATATGCTTGCGGGGTACTAGTCCACACCTGAAATACCTTGCAGTGCTGGCTTAACTAAATATTGGATGACAGGTGTAATTGGACATTGCAATGTTGACACTATTCCTTCTTCCTGGGTTTCTGCATTTTTTTTCATGGTATATACAGTAGCTAACAGCCACGCCTTTAAAGAAGGGTCGAGTGGGATTAGCTTGGCAGAAATCTGCTACATATATGCCGACTTAGCAAGATTTGTCGAAAAAGTGACGGCAAATCTGGGCATTCTAACCGGTTGGATGTGATGGAAATTACCACGAAAAAGATGCGTTTACATTCAATGTCAAAATACAAGCCCGACCGCACTGTTTCTCTCGGACACGTACCTAGTTTTACTTGGATCGCATCATCGACCGCATTATGATGACCTGGTCGGGACTGTTTCCGTTACTGTGCCTTTTTTTTCTTTTTCGGGGATTAGGAGGATTTTAGTCGTGGCGCTGTCCATATCTGCCGGAGCGACGGTTGACATTTGTTTATAAGAGCTTTTTATATTGATAGAAGTTCGCGTCTTACATGTAGCGTGGGGTGACAATGAAGTCTCTAGCCTTTCGGAGACGTGCTCTCCAGCCCTCAACCCACTGCCATGCAAGTCGAAATTCGCCGTTAGCATCAGTAGCATTAGGCGTTCGAGAACTGTTGGACCCTTCACCAACGATTGGCTTTATACTGGAGAACGCTCTGGAGGTGTGCATGATGTGCTCATTTTTTGTGAGATCACATGTGCCTTGCAGATGATCATCCCCAACTTTTAATGACTTCCCCTCGCGGTCACCGCTTTTAATATAAGCATTGTTCAATTTAGACAGTACCTTGACTCGGTCAAATCCATTCTCGAGAACAAACCATTGTGTTGAGTTGTCATCCTCTGCTCTAAGCCTCACTATTCCCGAGTGTGGTCACTGATGAGGATGTTCACTAGCCGTATGTGTGATGTCCTTACCATCGGCAAGCTCGAAATCTCCCAATACTTTTGACGCAAGCCCACTGTCGATTAACAATGTATCATGTGACTGCTTTCGCATGGGAAGTTCTTTAGCTTGACCATGATGGTGGAACCGGTCTGAGAGCCATGATCCGGCATTAGAGGGTGAGTGGATTGGATCCGTCATGGCTGACTGATGAGTTGCAAAACTCATATTTGTACGTTGCTGCTCAAAGATGCTGCGCATTCGCTTGAACAGCCCACCTGATGTGTTGTGTTCTCCAGCATGGTTCTCATGGTCCGCGCAGTGGATACACTCGTTTTCCTTGATCAGTTGTTCAGTTGAATTTAATGACTTCCAATCTTCAGACCGTTTCGTCAACCCATGATGGCTAGGAAGCAGAGGTGGTCGCTGTGACAGGGAATCGTGACTCAAAGAGCCACCTCTCTGATGGTGAAGCTCAGCCCTTTCGTTATGAAAGGTGACATGGACTTGAGAAGGAGGTGACGATGTCTTGGTTTCCTGGGTGCCTCGAGACTGTGGAGATGTCCAGCCATCATCTCCATACCACAAAGGCGCTGGATTATCCTTACTAATCCGGGCTTCAGGGGTCGTGAACTCTGAAGAGACTGGGGACTCACGTTCTGCCGGGGTTTGCGGTCTGTTGTTGACAAGGTTGTTCGAGGCCGGATTGTTCGTGGTGGCCGGTATTTCTTGATCATTAGTCGAACAAGGATTTGATATTGTTGAAAAAGCGATAGATTGTTCTAACTGTTGCACTGGTGGGCTCCTCACTTCCTTCGCATCTTCGCCATAATAGTTAGTAACCTCTTCTTCCCAGCCATTTTCACTCATAGCATTAGCAGAACTCTCTGGAGACTCCAGATAGGCATCGTCAATTCCTTGAGTTTTTTGGAGACGATCGCTGGATGTGGGTTTCTGAGCAGAAGGATCAGAAGGATCTATGTCTATACGAGATTGCGGAGAAGCATTATCTTCACTCCTCTCATCGTCGTCGAACAGAAAATCTTCTCCATGATTTGTAACAGTGTGCTGATCCCTCAATTCATCGATCTCAGAGGTAGCTTGCTCAGCCTGAGGCTCTTCTGAGTGGGTTGTGACAAAGTAGTTTGATGGTCCAGCCTGTGGCTTTCTCGGAAATGTCTGAGATGTAAGGGGTGTAACGAATCGTTGGGAATCGTTATCACTGCTGCTTCCTGACCTAGCAAACCTTGGCATCCGGTACCTTTCTGGCCGGAATGGATCGTATTCTGAGTCTTGGGACTTGCGCTTTCCTTCATTTTTACTCCTGGGGTTCAGACTTGGTTCTGTGTGAGGTTCTGGAAGAGGGTCTGGACCTTCCAGTTTATCCGTTCTGTGGGACTGCTCATCGTCACCAGCAGGAGCCTCGGAGTTCATCAATTGCCGGTTGATAGAAGGTTCCCGAAACTTGCGAAGTGTTTCCAACATTGTGATAAGACTCTCTACTCTATTCTCCGCGTCGTCAGGGTTTGTGGTGGGGTCAACATCGCCGGTTCTCGGTGACAAATTATCCGATTCGACAGCCACTACACTCTTTCCCGCGGAACGGTTCTGGGTTTCTTTTCCGAGCATGTGGATGTCAACTCCTGGTGACAAGTTTCTCGCGCCAGAATCTTCCTTCCATTCTGCAGGGAGCTCAGGATTGTCATTTTCGTTCACCACATCCAGTTCATTACTCCTAGTCTCTTTAGGCGAAAGCTGAAGCGCAATTTCACCAGAAACCTGTGGCAAATGGAGGCTTGACTCAGCTAGAATTGACGGGCCTGCTTCAGAGCCTGCTAACACGCGGTCAAGCCCCTCATTCACCGCCAGTTTTACGTCCTCTTCCCCGGTGTAATCTTTATCCGCACGATGATCCTGACTCATCTGACCATCTATGTCTTTGGAGCAATTCGTTGAGGGTAATGGAAAATCCCCTGGAGTATAATAGGCTGCAGAATTCGCGTCCCTAAGAGACTGTGAAAGAACCTGGTTGCTAGGAGCGATTTCATCATAGGGAACAGGCTCGTCATGGTGTCCGTTATTGTCATTTGGCCCGTCAGAGGTAAGATGAGCTCGAGATTCACTTCTCTCATCATCTGGGGGTGCAGGAGAGGTCACTGATTCATACAATCCTTCGCTGGAGGTTTCGATTTGTTGAGAAGCCGGCTCTGGTGAACCTTCTTTGGCCTTGGTAGAGGCATCCGTTATTTCAGGCTCCGATACAACTTCTGTGCTCACATGCCAGGAGGAAGAGCTGATGTCCTCCTGATTAACGGCGAAAAATCCGTGCTCCCCCTTTAATCTGGAAACTGGAAGACTGTGGCCATTGGTTATCTCAGGTATGGTGTCCCCATACTCTAGGCTTATCCTGGTCGCTGATTGGTTCGGGACCAGATCAATACCTTGAAGGCTCCTATCACTATCCGATGGCACTTGTCCCGAGGTTGTGGATGAATCAGAACCCAAAGTAACATCGGCAAGTATTGTTTCTCTAGAAGTCTCACTGCGAATTGCCGCTTGTGGCGTAAAAAAGTCCGAGGTTTTCCGGCTGTTGCCAGCTGGCGGCTCCGAATTCTTGCTTTCCTCGTGGAAGCGATGCATATCAAGTATCACAGCTTCCTTGGAAGCAGGGGATTCAATTGATGGTGAAGGCTCTTCTGATTGTGGGATGCCGGTTGTCCCTGCAGAATCTATTGATGGCCGGTAATCCGACTCCTGCTCGGAAAGTTTATTTCCAGTGAACGAGGATTGCTTCGAAGTCCACATCCCCTTTGGGATGCTGTCATTATGAGAGCCGGTCGGTCCAAAGGATGAAGAAAGCCGCGACGGTTTCCACAGACCAGGTTGACTCGGACTGGAAGCTCTCTTGCCGTCGGGACGGATATGAGAGTATTGAGAAGCCCCAGTAACCCCATCGGGCTTCACCGAGTCCGGTTGTCTGAAACGTAGGAGGGATGCCGTGTCAGTTTGCAAGGCCCTCCTTGAGCGGAGAGGAGTAATCGGTAGCGTAGGCAATGACTTTTCTAGATGTTCCTCAATGAGACGATTCAGTTCCTATAAGCAACAGATATCATAAGCATCCACAATAGTCGAAAGGCTCGGCAAGATATGAAGTCTTACTCTTCTCTTTTCTTGCAAAGCTTCCAACCTCTGACGACCTTCTGTAACTGCTGCACGAGCCTCTTCCTCAACTCTCATCATCAATTCGCCCGTTTCTTGTTCGATTCGCTGAGCTTCAGACTTAAGCTTTGCCTCTCTAGCATCGTCCTCTTCGAGGTCTCGCAAAGCAAGCTGTTGATCCTCTTCCTTGCGTTTGCGCTCACGCTCCTCGTCTTCCAGAATACGACGCTCTGCAACCGCCTCGCGCTCTGCTCGACGTTTCATCTGCAAAGCCTGTGTTTCCGCGTTGAATGCAGCTGACAGCTGCTGGAGGGCATCACCTCGCTGCTTTTCCAGTTCATCAAGCTTTGCATCGTGGAAAGCAGTATCGAGAGAAGTAATTGTAGAATGTATCTGGGTTAGAATCTCTTGCATCTGGGAAACGAGCCCGCAAATATCTGGTAAGGACGTCATCTTTTTGATCTTCCCGGGGGAAGGGGGAACACAATAAATAAGGAGATAGAGAGGGTTAGATTAGATGAGGTGGATAGGCGAAAGTCTCGGGAATAATGACCCTGGTGAACTTGGTCCCGTTCGGCCAGAGGTCATGGTGATCTCGTTTTATAATTCGAGGGTATTTTCTAGCACCATCAAGCGGTCTAGAGCGTGCTGTCTCGGGTAGTTGAAAGTTCTAGGCAAACGCCAGAGCGCAAGATGACGAAATGGCCCCACAGCGTGCAACAGACAACCAGTCAGGCAGGTAGTAATCCTCTGGAAGTGAGGGCGTAACTGAGCTTGCCGGTCAACAGAAGAACAACGGATATGATGACAAAAGCTCTTGTCGGCTAACCAAAGAAAATCGGACGCATCTGAACCTGGTCAATTTTGGCATAAGCTACACTTCAAGTGGAGGATGGGTTCTGGGAGTCGTGACAACAAGATCCTCAAAGCAGACGCGGTGAAGTCGAGAGATTGGTGGGCAACACTCGGAAGCTCGGGAGAATGGTCCTAGAGTGGCGACATTGATCCTGGCATAGGTACGTGACAGCGTTGAATGAACACTTGACCAAGTGGGCGGTTATTTCTAGGGGTCAGTGGTCTTGTTCAGGACCAAATGCTTGCTAAACTGACACAAGCATTCTTGGAGGTGTAATGACTGCAACATTATGGAACAAGGAAAACTTCGAGGAAACTTAGGTACTTTGTTAGCAATATCTCAAAAAATAACTTACCTGCCAGTTTCCAGCTTTGCAGTAAGTGTAGCTTTACAAGGGTGATAGCATCCAAAACATTTATCGCTTGGTCAACTGCGTAGGTGTTTTCGAGTTGACCTCAGGTAGACGGAACTATTCAAGACTGTTTAGAACTGGCATCTACATGCGTCATTAATATATCCTTAAGTTTGTCCTATGGGTAAGAAAGGGTGTGCCCCCCATGCAGCCGGACTTGTAGCCGTCTTGGAACACCAGCAAGTAGCTAAATGCAACACATGCCATCATAAACGAGATAAAAGGCTGAAATTACACCAAAAAAGATACAGGTGTTTGGCAATGGTTGGAAGACAAAGAAGCAACGCACATCACGTCCTCCGTTGCTAGATTGGTTCACAGCCGAGGAACACCGCCCTTTTCCACAATCGCTATGCGCCGCCGGTAGGCCTCCCGGAACTTATACCGCTCGTAAGTACCGAAGCCGTATGCAGCTAGCCCGATTGCAAGCCAAATACTCGTGATAATCAGTCCGATGGGAAAGAGAAGAATTTGTACTCCCGGCAGAACAAACGGAATGGTACCGTTCTTGAGTCCTTCGAGATCGGCTTGCTGTGAGAGTTGAGCCATGGTGAAGTTACTCATGAAGGTCTGCTGCGAGAAAACACCGGTGACGAAGGCAGCTTCGTTGGATGAAACGTTCGTGCTGACGGTCTGTCCATTGGCATCCACAGCCTTAAGTGTGACAATTGGCATAATCAGCGCTTGAAGTTGTGCTCTGACAGGCAAACGTTAGCGGCGGAACGAGATCGATCAAGTAGTGGAAGATGCTTACTCTGACATTGGGTTAGACATCTTGTCCTGGTCGACTTGGCCAATGAAGAGATATGACTGAAGCAACTTAAGGTCATCATTGTTGGCATCCTGCCGAGCAAAAAGCGCTGCCGCTGGCAAGACTGTGTCTTGGGCTTTAGACGTTTGCTTGACTTCGGTGACGGATGCGCCGTTGTACGTAAGAGAGACCTCGATTTGATCCTGCGGGATGCCAGCAAAGATTCCTGTCGGTTCACTCAATTGAAACAGCCTCAAGTCTGCCTCGAATGTCCCTGTGTTGTTATTAAGAAGCGGCAAGTTATAGCAAACGCAGGTGCCAGAAGGGTTGGATGCTTCCTTCAAATTTCGTAGTGCGTTTCTGCAAGCCGTATTTGCTGCCTGATCCCAGGCTTCTAAGTCAATCGTACCATCGGCCCTAAGTGGCGTATTGGTGCTCATGAAATCCGTCGTTTGCCTTACTTGCAGTTGTTTTGGTGTTCCAATGCTGGCGTATCCCTCTTCTTCTACCCTTCGATCCAGAAGCGGAATGCTATGGCCAACTCTCTCGGCGACAACGCTCCTCATCCCAACCCGCGCCCCAACGACCAGCAGGGCGGTGATCGATGTTGTCTGCCAGAGCATTGTTTTAAATGTTACACGCTTCCTCCTCTTTTTAGTTTGTCTTAGGCCGAACCGCGAATGACTGGAGGGAAAAGTACCGAATTAAAATTGATAATGTGGAATTCCTCAGTATCGGAGACAAAATGACCCCAGGCCTCAGCTGTTTGACGAGATGACTGTAGAGAATGAAGTAGAAGAGAAGCGGGACCCGCCCGGTTGGGAAAGGAACGATCTGTAGCTCCTCTATGTTCGAGGGCGAATACGTAGACTTCAGCGGACAGCTGGAAGAGAGGTTGAAGAAAAAAGTCGAAGAGCTGAAAGCCAAGAGGCGCGAGTGAAGTCAGAGAAACTGGAGTTGCCAGGTCTAGGTGGGTACCAGGGTGGTCGTCAGGCAAAATGGGATGGAAAGCTCGAAACAGAAATGGCTTGAGACCTGACTCGTCGGGTATATTGCAAGGATCAAGCCCCTCGGGACAAAAAAATGGGGACCTCTCAAACTGCTCTGCGAAATGCGCAGTTAGAAAACACAAAACGGTGTTCCCCTTCAAAACTAAGCACCAAGATCGGTAAAAATAAGGCTATGGCCACATTTCAGGTTGATCTTAGTGCTCATTATTTGTAAATTAGTGAGACTTCTTGTTCACCATGGGAGAGCACCACAGCTCCTGAACCCCAAACCCCGAGCATCTGCCCTGATGGCAGAGCGCTCGTACTGTTGATGGTATGGCCAAGCGCGGAAACGTGCACGCTTATGCACTCATTGCCACGATCGCCGTCAGACGTGTGCAGTGAACTGAGCGTCTAGGACGGGAGTTGTGTGCCCATGGTAGGATCTGTGTGGCAAAGGCGGAGCGCAGTTGTCAGATCGACGCTTGGACCGGGGTTTGCGACACCAGGGGCTGGCCCTCCGTAGCTCCACACTTTATTTAACCTTGGCAGTTTTGGCTTTTATGGAGAATGATGAGGGGGGTGGGGCACTCCGGAGGCAATAAATTGCAAGTTTTGCTAGGCTCTTGGAATTCCATTCTGTGGCCCCAGGTTTATGTACAGAGAAACAACCTGTAGGATCAAAGTTTGGGTTTCTTATTTCCACTCTATTACTGGTTCTCGCGGCAGGAGAACAGGTAAATGCTTTGATGAGGGAAAGGCACAAGACTTAACCTATGCTGCACTCAGGCCGAGACAACAAAAAGCTCAGGTGTGAAGATCCAAACCCTTGGCGATGTGGCACCGTGCCTGAAACATTCTAACCGCCCAGGCAAGTGGCAGCTACCAGCCAATCACTTGTCCTCTGTAAGATAGGCATTCTGTGGGAGCCTAAACGCCTAGGCGTTAGGGCGTGGCTCGCCCCCCCCCCAGACATGCGTGGATGGTGGCGGGCTAACAAGCCTGCCTCAGCCCTTTGGGATGGATACACAGCCAAGCCTTTCCTCAAAAGGTTCTCCGTGCAGTGTCTCTCCCGCTGGCTAGCGAAGGCTTTGGGCCATGGTGACTTCTCGGAATACCATGTGCGATTGAACCACCCCCGTGGGGGGCGCTAAAGGAGTGCCCCTGCGACAGAATAAGTGTCTAGAGGTCACTTCTTCCCCTGTCCCCTCGCTGCCTTTAACAACCCGCTCGCCAGCAGGCTGGACCCGAGGGCGTTCTGGTTCTCTTTTCAACTATTCAGGTCCAGGGCCTCCCAGATCGAGCTCTGGGCCAGGCCTGGGATGCCGCCACGGGGCGCCTTATCCCCAACGTTGAGACCCCTCCACTTCCCCCTCCGTACGCGACCACAGTCCCACAGGGGCATCGACCCCGACACCGATTCCTCGGATTCGGAGTCGGAGCTGGAAATCCACATCCCTGGGTTCGTACAAGTGTGAACCTTCCATTCAACCCAGGACACACAACCCCCCTTGGCTTACACCGGTTTTGCCTTAAGTGCAGGCTTTTCCTCCGGCGTTACTTGTATATAGGTTAGTTCAGTAGCTATTGCTCGCCGTCGTCGTGGGCACGACCTAGCACCCTCAGGGGTGGATCCGGTCGAAAAATAGAATAGAAATAAGAATAAGGATAGGTATTCTGCGGCAGACAGATGATACCTAGAACTCCTGTTGAGACCATAACTGGGGAACATAACCTGATCACCGAGGTGAATTCGTATTGTACAGTTAGCACACTTTTTTTTCTTCTTTTCGCAAGGTTGCAATGCCACACTGAGCAGCTGTGACAGTAATACTTGGATACAGGTGAGAGATGGATAGCATGCCAGTTGATAACAGTTATGTTCAAAATAGTGCAAAAGTGAACTATATGAACAGAGTGAAACCTAATTAAACATACAATCAAAATTGTCTCCTAGAGATATCCATCTTCAGAGTGAGCATATTCTCTACATGGATTACTCTACACAATGATCTCTCCCATGATCTGAATTACCATTTAGCAGATCTATCATTTTCAAAAAGCAGCATCACTCTTGTTGCAGCGACCCTTAGACTAATAAGTTCCTATCGTAACATGCCCTGATGACATTGGCGAATTCAATGGGTAGGTCAACGGTTGTAACGACAGCCTCTTCGACGTTATTTGCCAACAACCTCTTCCTCTCCAGTCCTGTTGGTATTACGGCCGCTAGTTGCATATGACCTTCGCTTTAGCCACCTTCGATGAAGGAATTCCCGTCACAATTAGGATCACGATTTCCAAGGGTATGGTAGACTCCATGATGTGAAGCCTCATCCGCCTAACAAGCTCATCAGTTAGGAGCTCAAGCAATCAGATATATAAGGGGAGCCTATCCTGATGTACAACAACAAATCCTTCATTGTCCTCCTTCCTTCGGGCATCTGCCAATACTTGACTGCAACTTTCAGGGATCTTGAATCAAGGTCGGACACTTGCGAGGGAATTTCTTATCAAGCTCCTCATACACCGGGTGTATTCGTGAACAGTTTCTTCCTCTAAGTATTCCACGATTCGGTGGCAGATGCGCGGCCAAAGAAGATAGGCGGTGAACATGCCATTGCAAAAAATGCCATGGACTGCATGCACCATGAAGCGCATTATCTAACCAAGCTTGTACATGCCCGGGAATTTCAAACAATGCAACTGCTTGTTCTACGACTCTTCAAGCAGGGTCTTGATCCAGCCTTAGTTGGTTCGGAACCATCGGGTGGAACGAAGGTGACGAAAGGTGGCTGCTATCATGCCTCGGACGCCAGCTAATGCCCCAAGGAGTAAGAATCAGACGAGCTGTGGACAATTTCTGTTAGTATAATCTTCTGGATAAATCAACGTATTTTTAAATTTACTTCTCACCCATTGCGACTGGGCCACTGGTTTCTAAGGAGTCACCGTTTTTTTTTTTTTGCTGTGGTTGTTTTTGGCTTTAATTATGGCTTCAAGCCTGTAGCCAAGTTCATTCCCTGACTAGACCATGTGAGTTAGAATCAATATCATACAATGAAAGCAAGCTATGCGAACAGATTGAACGGTATCTCACCGGCAAAGTCTGATCAACCTCCGTACCACTTGTCCCCAAACGCCCGGGGCTTCCTATGACTGGCAACAACTCCAAGCAGCACCTCATCTTCTCCACCCTTTTTGTGGCCATGTTACATGGATGAAGCCGAAACATGGGTTGGATGACTGCTGAGAGGCGATATCTTGAGTTTCAGCTGTTAGGTTGTTCAAAATGAGCCTCAGTTATGCGATTGTCTAAAGGACATAAACTTGGTACTGAATGGACGCTGAGAGGAAAAGATCTGACTCAAGAATGGAGGGGCGATCATTCAGTATGCAGCGGAAGCCTATACTTCCAACGATCTTGAATGCCATGGTAGTCAGCGGCCTGCCTGAAGCAGCTATACGGAAGGGTTCAGTGCTCAGTCTGAGTTTCCGAGAAGCCAATAACAGCCAGCGAGCCAGACTGTTTTTGATTCTAAAAAAGCAACTGCGTGTCTGGCTGCTGGCCTTTTTATACTGTTTGTAATATGATCTACAAGGTATTGCCTGAATTCAGAACTCAGCCTTCGGCTACTTCTTGTATCCATTGTACTCAGTTCCTTCACAAGCACAGCGTGCTCAGCAATGAAGCTATATATAGTTCAATTCATTATCTGTGCACTCAAGTACCGATTTTCTTGGCTAAACCATACTTAAAGACCTGAATGAACTGCCCCTCTAAGACGGGCTCATTCAGTGTTTATCCGTGACCAAACACAACCAGGAGTTCCCAAAGGATAAGCACATCACCACCACGTCCCCGATCACTTTCGTTCTACCCACATCTGTGATAATAACAGGAGGTGGATAATCGAAAATGTATCCCGACATCTTTAGGACTGAAAGGCTGAGTCTAACCAAAGCTAACTTTCGGGTGGTGTGAGGTCAGGTGTGTTCACGTTGATCACATGTGAAAATGGTAACCCTCCAGCTGGGTTCTCCAATGAGCCCTTGTGCCCCAGCTATGGCTCGGGTCTCGGAAAAGGAAAAGGGAACTTGGCACTGGAAAATAACCTGTTGTTCAATGCCTACGAGAAAACGTCATTGCCATATGATAGATAGCATAGCATCTACTGCTGTGATAACCGCTTTGCAAGTCGGAAAGCTTGATACCATACCGATCAGCGATTGAGTAAGGTTTTTGTTGATAAGTGACAACTTCGGAAGTTCATGGCATACATGGAGATTACTCTTGCAGTTCACTGACCTAATACTACATATGGTGCCTATTGGGTGTATTCATGGAAGCTGTACGTTGGCTGTTATAGATGTGTGTCTATTTTTTTTTCTTTTAAGAGTAGAAAATAGGCAGGTAGCATTAGTCATGCAGCGATAGAGTGTATTATCACATAGCAAAGAGGAGTTTCCTTGAACGTGGCTGTTGGTAATGAGCCAACGGCAAGCCATTCGTAGAAGAGACATAGGCATGTTCAGCCGCCAACCACAAACAGCCAAGGTTAACAGAGATCATTAACTGTGACTATGGCTAATGCCAGGTAATGCTTTTTCCGCTTATCCAAATACAAAAACTTGTCAAATTGATGATATGCTTAACCGGGATATTTTGACAAGTCGGTGACGTTGGCGACGTCACCCAAGGTGACATCCAGATCAGGCTGAGAACAATCACACTTGTTGGTATATTGTTGTGTCGTCGCTCGCCAAAGTACGTCATCCGACTACTGTCACCCAAATGGTCTCACCGAATCTAGGCTGTGGAACATTGACCAATGGAGTGCAAACAGACATGGCAACCAGTGGTTGGCTCTCATTCTACAGTTGGTCCTCGGGCCTTCAATCCCTTAAATCATGGGACCCCCAGTCGTCCTTCCTGTCCTGCTTTTGCAGTGGATGCTCTTTAGTTCTTGCTAGGTGCATTCTTAGTTCACATAACCAGCTTCCCTGAGAGATATCTCATATCCTCCGGTTTGCCAGACTTGACAGATATGTGGATAGCAGGGGCCATTATCATCATCACTCTCACGGCAGTACCACTATTAGTTGGAGCAAGCGTGGTGATACTCCTAGGTGGGACTCCAAAGCCCCTTTCTCTCCCCTCCACACCCGTTGGACCTAAAGACTTTGATGTAATTCTGCGCCAGAGTACCCCATCCGAGTTCCCAAACTCCACAGTAAACATCATGTTATCCTCATACAGCGGCACCTTGAGGCCCGAGACGGCTAATGCAAGCGAGATCTTTCCATCAAGCGACTCTTTCATCCGTGGCGCCATCCAGGCCTGGGGTGAACACCTCCACCTCGAGATTCGCCCGGATGAAGTGTGGTTTACCATCCTCACCCAGCTCAACTTTTACATGGAAAGAAATGCCGAAGCTGTTCGTCACCTGTTTGTCAAGCATCAAGGCCAAGAGACAATCTTCATTGAAGACACAACGTGGACCAAAGTACTCTGGCGGTTCAAAGACGAGATTCAGGCCCGAATACTGACGCCATGGCTGAAGGACTGGATTGTCCCGGACTTCTCGACCACCACAGATAACGATATCATGACAGCCAACATTTTGATGATGGGCTTCATGAAGGCTTACTTCCGATACGAGGGAGGCATCATCTGTGGACTCCCAAGCGTGACGCTATTGGGCAAAAAAGAGGATTGGGAGAAGCTCCTGTCACGACTTGACCGTCTCTCCGAATTTGGCAAAGAGCCTGACGAGTATCGTGCACGACTCACGCCTCTCCTGAAGCGATTCGTCCGTAGCTTTGACATACCAGATTCGCCCGAGATCCGGAAGTTCTGGAACCAGATTGTCTTCGCCAAGCACGAAGCCATTTGCGGAGGCTCCCCGCTTGATCTTTCTGGTTGGATCACCGGATTCATCTACTGGAAGAACGACGGCACCCGCTGGGGGGACAACAGGAAAGGCGGGATCATCATCGACGGCATCAGCTACGGGGGCTATCACGATATCTTGACACTGCCATCGGGCTATGCCCGTGCCCCTTTCATTATGCGTGACTTCATGGGCCGGGACAGATACCCGGCCTATGTAGCTGCCGGAACGTTGGGAAAGAGACTGATCAAGGGGGCTCCCCACGGATATATTGATGCGCTCGTCCGTTCTGGACAGAACGTGAGCAAGGCTGACTTGGAGCCCGACCTGCACGGTACCCTACGTCCATTGTCAGCCTGGTTGCTATATGGCCCTTTGGAGCACACAGAAATGCCGATAACTTGGCGCTCAGATGCTGAGTTGTCATCAATCGCATCCAGGGCGCAAAGAAATCTTGATGATACATGTCGAGTACCTGTAGGGAGCTCGTTGTAAGTGTGGCGTTGGCAACGGGGAGAAGCGTTGTCGAGCACATCATATGTCCCCTGGAACAGACCCTCAATGCTGAGTTGAGGAGAGTGGTATATGGCATTGTAACATGACACTGCGCTTTGATGGAACCAAAGAGTTTCTAGGAGCCGCTGAGCAACATCAGTTTACCAGGTTCAACTAGCAACCGGAGCGCCATATCCCCATCATGAACCCAAGAAAAAAGTCCAACTTGACAATCCGGAAGTAGAAGAATCTTGCCTTCCATAGATGATGAAATGTGCTTGCTTCTAAATGCATTCCGCGACATTCGTGCTCAACATGACTACCGCCCATGCAAAATTACTATTGTGACATTGTTGTTCCATAGTCGATACTCCAAAAAAACATGAAGTGACATCCGCTAGGCCGTCGACCGAAAGAGAAGTTGAACAGAAAAGGTCTTTTTGGTAAATAGAAGCAAATTAGTCTTCGCGAAAGATGAAGCTCTCAGGGTGAAGTGGCGAATCGGTTTTAACGGTCATCCACAGTAACAGCCTCAGATGAAGGATGTGTCCCGCCTGCATAAGGACGACCACGTGGGCTGCTAGCCCTACTGTGACCCGGCATAGACATGGTACGGGCGCGGCGCGAGCCGGGGCGCGAGATCATGCGTGAGCGGGCGCGTTGTTCTTCGAGGGCAGGACGGGCTTGCTCCTTGGAGATGACCAGGCCCTGGGTGATGGACATGAGCTCACCGTTCTCCACAGCGCACATGCTGGGCCAGACGACGAGCAAAATCTCATCCGGGTCAATCTCGCCATCAAGCATCTCCTCCTGTGCTTCAATCGCACTGTCATTGAAGAGCTGAGAACCTGTTGCGGCAGAAGCCGCCCGGTCAGCCTCGTCGAGCCGGTCATCGATAGCAGCCTCGTCAGTATCGGCCCGTGTGTGCGGCATTCCAGGGTCCCGGTCAGCGGCCTCAGCGAATTCCGGCAACTCAAGCACTTGCCAGTCGAAGTCGTCATATGGGGGCCCGAAATACGGCTCGATCTTCATGTTGGCCACCTGAATACGCATCCACTGTTCACAGGCTAGTTTGCAGGCAGCTTCAAGACCAGCACAGAAAGCCTCAAATTGCAGAGCACTCAGCAGGTGCTGTACGAGCCACGAAACCTCGCGGACGACTGTCTTGACGCGGCGGGCACCCTGCTCAAGTTGGCGCTCAGGCATCGCGGCGAGCAGAGTAGCACGTATGTGGGCCTCGCGCTCTGGATCCTCATCCTCGAGAGCACGCAGGAAGCGCACGAGATTCTCATCATCGTCATCGAGAAGGTAGACAGGGCGGAAAAGGTGCTTGTGCATGGCACGGGAAAGGACAGAGAGTACGGCGCTGATGCGCATACCCTTTGCGGCCGGGGAATTGGACTGCGGAAGGGGGATTTGCAGCTGGGTTGCGTGCTTGAGATAAGGAGAATTGCGAAGGTTCGTCCAGCAGGAGGGGTCAGCAAGGATGGCCTCGTCGATATCGGGTCGGAAAGTCGATTCGACTAAAGTCACGATGGTGGTCCAAATCTTGTCGAGAATAGTAACACTGGAAAGGAGTCAGCTTGTGACACATTTTCGCACGGGAACATGGGTTGAAGACTCACTATGTATCATCAGGTTCGTCTTGAAGGAGAATACGGTATTGCTCGAGCTCTCGGAGCTTTTCACTGGTGGTTTGGAGGTTCTGGGTCGTTTCCTCCAGCTGAATCTGCAAGTCACGGCCATGTTCTTCAGCCTTGTTGGCACGCTCACCCTCAGCCTTGAGCTTGGCATGAAGGTCTTCGATCTCGGCATTCTTTTCGTCGACTGTCTGTTGGAGCGAAGTAATTTGCTCCTCGGCAGCACGCAAAGACTCCTGCAGACTCTCAATCTCGTTGTTCTTGTGTGCGATAGTATCCTTAAGGGACGCGATCTCTTTCTGGGCGGCTTCGAGCTCCCGCTCAAGGTTCTTCTTTACCTGCTCCAGTGACTCAACCCTTTCCTTCAATGTCGCAATCTTGGCCTCGTTGTCCATCTTGATCTGCTCGAGACTGGTCTTGGAAGTATAGAGATCGGAAACCTTGGCCTTCAGACCCTCGATCTCAACGTCGTTCCTCGCCTTGATCTTCTCAAGGTTAAGCTTCGACTCAGCGAGACGGGCGATTTCGAGCTCGTTATCCGCTTTAATTTGTTCAAGGGTTTTCTTTGCACTCTGCAGATCGGCAATGTGCCCTTTCAAGCTCTTCACAACGGAGTCATGGCTGGCCTGGATCTCCATCAACTTGTTGTTTGCTTGCGTCAAGGCGGCAATCTCCTCCGCGGCCTTGGCGGCAGCGGCAGCGGCGAGTTCTTCGCCGAGTTTCTTTTCTTGCTCAACAAGAGTCTTAGCGGCCTGAAGCTCGGCGTACTCCTTTTTGATATTCTCGACAGCTTGGGCAGCGGCGCTCCTCTCCCTCTCAATAAGCTTCTGGGTGTCCTCGAGATCGCTTTCTAACCTTGCCCTCGCAGCCTGCATCTGAAGAATTTCCTGGACCTTCTCCTGAACCAGCCCCTCGAGCTCCTGCTTCTCCTTGAGAAGCTCCTCCTTTTGGGCCTCGAGCTCATTGCGAAACTTTCGGTACTCTTCTAGGACAACCTGATGGGAGCTGGACAGCTTGTTATTCTGCTCCTTGACATAGAGGAATTCGCTGAAGACATCGGCGACGAGCTTATAGTTGGGGTCTGAGGTCAGGTCGCGGATCGCTCGCACCAGACCGTCAACCGCCTGGGTGGGGTCGGCGTCGAGATGGGAACCCATTGCCGGTCTTGACGTGGACGGTGCCGTCGGCGGAGACCCGGCGCTGGGACGATACGAAGATTGAGAGCTACGGGGCTTGTTGGAAGCCAGTTTGGGCGTATGGAGATGCGCGATACAGTTCGGCGGTGGTGTAAGGCCGCGGGTAGAGGCGATCGAGAAAACGAATGGGCCGAAGGGTCAACGACACGGTCAAAACAGGCGCCGTAGAAAAGAGATTGCTGCCCTGGCGTCCGTGGGGCGTCACAACGCGAGCTGTGTCCAATCTTGGAGCAGAGTAGCTGTGGGGTGGTGAAGACTGCAGGCGAAATCCAAAAAGCGGATGACGCGCCGTTATGTACAGATGCGTAGGCGCTATGTATGGCAGATGAAGCCTAAGTCAGGCCGTGGCAGGGGAAAAGGCGATAGCTACGGTCAAGGTCGGTCAATAGGAGCACTGGGCCTGGAGCGGCACTAATGACACCAATACAAGCGCTCTGAGTGATGATGGGGGAGGCTGAAGGAAAAGGAGAAGAGGCTCCCGGCCGGGTACCCAGTCGGGAAGAGCCTGGAGAGGTGGCTGGTGTTGTTGAGCGACAACGAGCACCCACGCAAGCAGGAAATGTGACGAGACCCAGAAGAACCCGTGGACAATGACAGTGGACGCAGGGCTGCATATGGCAGACTGCCTCCCAAATTGTCAAATAATGGGTGTCAATTGGGCTCAAAGACATGCGCAGGCTTGTGAAGAGGCCGTTCTGCAGTGCTGGCTGGCCCATCAGGGCATGCCAAATGTGGTCTCAGGCGCCCCGACCTGGGTGTGGCCGGGGAAGAGGCGAAAGGCGGCGATCGTAGTGCATACATGCAGATGCGTGACGCAGGATGCGAGCGGAGCGGATGGAGCCCAACAACAGGCGATGGCTCCCTCAAAAGCCAGCTGGTAGTGTCCAACCATTCTTGTCCATGGATCGCTACTGCTGCATCTGACATCACACTACCAGCCAACTATCACCCATGCCAGACGCCAGGCGCACTGCACGCATTTGAACACGCACAACACGTAAGGGAAAAAAAAGTTGTGGCATTGGCCTCCTTGTCGATGTTGTCGACGGTGCAAATCACGCTTCAAATTCCGCATCGCCGATCTGCAGAAGCTTTGGCTGCTGGCGCGCAGACTTGGGTCTTGGCGGCCCGCAGAGTGTCCATGTCGTCGTCGGCCGACAACTCGTCGATGAGTCGATGAGACACTCAAGTGGGGGATGACCAGTGACCAGTCACCGAGCCGCTTCTCCAACAAAGACTCCTGACGTGGCATGGCGCTTTGCCAGCACTGCGCCTTCTTGGCTCTGCTTGGGCCCCGCTTTTGCCATCTTGCTCTGTCCCTTGGGACTTCCAAGCTTCACGTTGGGCGTTCCACTCGATTCCTTCCAGCAGAAAGTAATCTCTCTCTGCAATTAATGCCGATGAATTCTCAGCCGGATTGCCGGTCATTAGACAAGGATAAGCCATCGTTCAATTGACCTTGACAAGCTGTAGGGTTTACCACTTAGGAATTGGGGCTGTGGGAGCCGACTGCGAACGCCTCCATCAAGCATTGCTTCCCGAGGCCGTCGTCATTGGCAAATGTTCGGTTTGATAGGTAACCGATAGGTAGCGGATCTGATGCGATTGCCTATTTTTTGAATCTGCTTCAGATGGATTCCACATCCAACCATGACGAAAACGCTCTGGCTTTCTCTGTTGCCCTCCAGTTTTCTCGCGGCCCCTTTCGCCTGCGTCGCTCCTCCTCGTGACTGGCCCCACTGGCAACCAGATCCCCCTGTGCCGAATCGTCCATCCGCCAATGAGACTATTCGGGAAGACAAGCCGCCAGCAGGTGGATGGTGAGCGGCGCCGATGGGCTGGGTTTTCTCCGTCTTGGCATCCGAATCCTCCAGCTGTCGGCTGTAGCGGGCCTCTTTGTTTTCCGGACCAGGCGTTTTGCCAATCGCCATCTTGGCCGACTTCATCCACACTACTGCGCAGCTGATCAACGACAACAATCGCTTGCCAACATTGCCTAGAAAGCAAATTCTCATGTTTTCTAGGGTCTCACTCGCCATTGTTACTGGTCAAGTACATCGCATTCCCGAGCTTGTGTGTTTACGCCCCATTCGATGCGGCATATGTGACAGTGGCTGCCCTTTTGACCAGAGTTTCTTCACTGCTTTGCCTTGCTGCACAGTTTTGCGCTTGCTGTCTTTGTGTTGCCTGAGTGTGTGACTTATGCGAATATCGTTAGCACCTGTTTTATGCTTTATCGCCTCCATCTGGGCGACTAGGAAGTTCATCCCTGTCACTTCAAGTAGAAGCAGCCGGTGCTGCGCATTGTCTAAGCAGGAATCGCTCATAACAGATCCATATCAATGGTTTCAGTCTTAACACCACTCGCTCTGCTGGATGTAGCACACAAATTCCCCTCCGGGTACCTGCTCTAAAACCTGCCCAGCTTGGTAGTGGTAGCCCATGATCTGGGTTCTGATTGGTTGTTTTGCTAATGTCAGGGCTCGCTGTCACTGACATTAATAGCATCTGTGTTGCCATGTACCTATTTATATTGCCAAGATCTTATGGCCCTCAAAAACAAGAAACATCCTCTAGACTCGCAGGATAAGTTGTCTAAGTACATATGAATACAGTAAGAAAATATGCACCATCGTCTATGTACGTGAACAAAATACTCCGAAACCAAAGAGCAGCGAAGTCTGCTATTCTACAAATGGGTAACAGAAGAATCACAGGGGTATCACTTGACAGAGTAAGACCAGAAAGCCACTACCACTTGCCAAAATTGTCACCAAGGGCCAACAAAGCCAGTAGCATGGACTGATTAAATCCCGAGGGACAAGGACTTTGGGCTAGGGCCTTGCAACATAGCCAATTCATTTATCCATCCGTAAGCCCAAGCCATTCCTGTGCCAAAGTACTGACACTGCTGGAATGGTAGACTGGAGTGCAACAAGCTTCTCCAGCTTCACCCAAGTTAGGTAAACTTGTTTGCCGTCACTCGTGCCACAGCAACCATACAGTTACTGTGTTCATTCCACAAGTGAAGAGCCCTCCCAATTCTCTTTCCAGGCTTACTCTCATGATGCCATCATCTGCACGTTGTCGCAGCTGGAACACGACTTCTGGAGTGACGCGCATCGAAATGCGCCGTCCATTCTCCAGATGATCAATGTCTTCATCCAGTGATATTTGTCGAGTCCCGATGGACATCACAGCATCTGGAAAAAGTTGAGGCGTTCCTGCTCTTCCTCTTCTGTCTTTCGCCGGCGGGCAGTCTCCTCGGTCTCGTCAGTGTGTCCACTAACCGGCCGAGTCTGTGTCGCGTTTATCCATGCAAGATCTTTCGGTGCGGCGTAGGCGGAGTAGATTGGGTTGCAAGTTGGGTGCGGCATGTATGAAACTTGAACCTTGGTCTTGCTATTCTTGAGTGGATCGTCGAAAGAGGAATCGGTCGAGGTCTTCTTGGAGTTGGCAATTTGTGGTCGGTCGAAAGTTCCGTACTTCTCTTTGACTTGGACAGTGGCGGCTTCATCGTCTTGTTTGCGTTTCCTCCAGAAGCGCAGGAGAGTAAGACATCCAGGCATGGTGAATGGTGTTGTTAGAAAAACATAACTGCGATGGTTGAGATAGAGAAGTGACCTATTCTGGTCAGACTTGGGGGTTTGTGATGACAGGAACCGAGGGTTGAGGTTGGGCTGGGGAGGTAGAGGGTTAAAGAAGCGGGGTCAGGAGGTCGAGTCAGGTGGCTTATACAAGATGCAGCAAGTGGCTGAATTATTACCTGATAGGTGGTGATTCAGGCGTCCTAATTCAGAACCGGGCTACTTGACAGCAGCAATAGCAACGCCACATATATGTTGGATGGGAGTTTGGAGACGCAAGTTGAAGCCTAGGAGTTCCTCTGCATGCAGGTATGCTTCAGACCTCTCTCAGGAGAGAAGCATAAAAACTCTAACATGATGAGGACCGCAATTCGAGGAAAATCCGAGCCTTATAACCATCCTTTTCTCTGTGATCCCTACCGAAGATGATGAGGCTTTTTCACTGCCATTATTGGAAACATTCGCTTCCGGCTGCCACATCATTGTTATCCCTGATGTTGGCGATCTCAACCGCTGACAATGGCCGTATGGGAATTTGTTTCCGGGGTGCTGGCATTAGTTGAAAGATCCGTTATTGGACCCTTCCTTCGAGTGCTTGGGGCTAACGGCCAAGGAAGACCGAATTGGGAAATTCAGCTTCAAGCTAACTGGGCCAGATGACTGTTGCTCCTGAAATGATGCCCCAGTTCTTGGCAATCGATCCACATCCCATTTTGAGCACCAATTCATGTCTTGCGGGGAGCAAAAGCAATGATTCTTTGCATGTGACTATTGCTGGATATAACTATTGTGCAAGTAGTCAAGACCAAGTAAGTAACTCATGACGGCGTGTCGAGTGACAATTGTTGAGCTCTTGGGGACAATCAGCGCAAAACACCTTTCCAACATTGCTTGGCTTTTTTTGGTCATGCTGTGCAGTGTCTTCGCGACTTGTGAGAGGGCGTTTGATGACGGAAGGCGTAGATCAGGACATGTCACTGCATTGAGCAGACTAGCGTGTTGCTTGCGGTACCCCACTGGAGGACAGCCCCGATCTAAACTACAGATCGGTAACTGCAAGCACCTGGAAACATTATGCTACTCCATCATCATACTGAGCGAATGAAAGATCGCTCAATTGCTTTGAGGCCATTGTTGCCAGTTCTTGTTGGTAGTCTATGTCCTCTGTTACTATATGTTCATATTGCTAAAATCCACGCTGCGAGATCATGTCGCAAAATTGCAATTGGCCTTGCAGGTGGGATGGCTGTCTCACGAGCATAACATGCATCAATCACTCTAGTTGGCCGCTAGTGGCATCGTCATGCGATGTTGGGATGCAAACCACGCATAGTCAGCCAGTGAGATAAGGGGCAGCTAAGAGCCTTGTGCTTTTCATTTACCAACTTCTCAGTTTACGGAAGAGACTTTCCCGTAGCACAAAACTACCAAGGTCCTAAAGAAGCTGTAAACTTGATATATTCTGACGGTACTGCGAGAGCACCACCAAACTAGCGAACTGGCGGCGATACATAGCTCGTCCGGTACCTGCTCCACACTTTACCTTATACTTAAGTAGAGTTTTCACGAGCCCTTGCTCTTTTCTTTTCTTTTCTCTTCGTATAATAATAAAGCCTTTTGACCTTTATAATAAGCTAGTATTGCAATAGTTTACTGTCACGACCAACAGAGGGGTAGCAGGCAGGAAAAGTGGGATCAGGTGCAAAGCACCAATAAAAAACGCGGTTCACGCGGGCCCGAAACGGCCAATATAGAAAACAGCGGTCTTTGACGTGAGGTCTCCAGAGTCAAGAACCACTGACGAAGGGCTGAAGGGGCTCGGTAGAAGGAAGAAACAAGGAAGGATCTTGAGTATATGAGGTGGATAGTTACCTCGTAGGAAGAAGGGGACGAAGAGCTCCCCAGTCAGCAATACTAACAGTTGCGTATACCCAACTGGTGACTGCAGTGCCCTTGAATCTGGTGAGAACCCCTCTCTCGAATCCAAAAGCCTTGGCCCGAACTTGAACGCATCTCAGGAAGGCTAGATGATCGTCGTGATATCTGATAACCAAACTTTGAAACTAATAGGACTCTATCTATTGATCGCCAACTATAATTAAAGCCTTTATATAGGAATAGGGTCAGATAGGATGTGCTTGTTAATACACATGTGACGACCCAGAAAGACCTCCTGAGATGGGTTCGAGACGTGCCAAGTCGCTGAATCTGAGAGACAGAAGTTCTCACACAATCAGGATGATCCCTGCGATCACCAGGTGAACAGACAACTGTTTATATTGCTGACTGGAGAGCTTCCTTGGCCAGATGGCCCTGCCTGGAATATATATACATCTCATATGCCCTTGTGGCTTTTCTTGTTCCTTGCTGCTCAATGGCGCAAACTGTTGAGGACCAATGCCTCTTAATGTCGAGGAACTACTCCCCAATGCGTGGGGTCGTTGGTGGCGGATATTTGGGCTTGATGGGCCAAAACTTTCTTTTCCTTTGATCAGTGGTTGCACAGAACCCGCTCTTCCAGATAGAGCTCTTGTTGGTCGTGACATATACCTCTACCAGATAATTAAACGCTGTTAATGGTAAGGTAGTTGTGACGATCCATCCAGCCTTCCTGAGATGCGTTCAAGTTCGGGCCAAGGCTTTTGGATTCGAGAGAGGGGTTCTCACCAGATTCAAGGGCACTGCAGTCACCAGTTGGGTATACGCAACTGTTAGTATTGCTGACTGGGGAGCTCTTCGTCCCCTTCTTCCTACGAGGTAACTATCCACCTCATATACTCAAGATCCTTCCTTGTTTCTTCCTTCTACCGAGCCCCTTCAGCCCTTCGTCAGTGGTTCTTGACTCTGGAGACCTCACGCCAAAGACCGCTGTTTTCTATATTGGCCGTTTCGGGCCCGCGTGAACCGCGTTTTTTATTGGTGCTTTGCACCTGATCCCACTTTTCCTGCCTGCTACCCCTCTGTTGGCCGTGACAGTTTAGTGGAGTTGACTATAGAAGTATAATAGAGCGAATGCTACTACTTATATATTGAGTATACTAGAGCAGTATAGTTATAGGCCTCCTGAACTTAGATCGAAGGTGGTAGCCGCTGCAAAGTAGATACTAAGTTTAGTCAAGCAGGTAGAAAGGAAGGTATATGTCACGACCAACAGAATGTATCAAGCGGAAAAGGAACAATGGATTTTGACGAAAGGTTGTCAGAGCTAAGAATAGCCAACGAAAGAATGTCAGAACTTAAGCGTCAGTAGTGAAAGATCGTCAAAGATGAGAAAATCTGACGGAAGACTGAAAGGTCTTTGGTAGAAGAGACAAGGAAGAATTCTGAGTATATAGGTAGATAGACTCCTCGCAGAAAGAAGGGGGGACGAGAAGAACTCTCTAGTCAGCAATACAAACCGTTATCTAAACCAACTGGTGACCGCAGTACTTCTGAATCTGTGAGAACTCCTGTCTCTTAGATCCATAAGCCTTGAACCAAGCTCGAACCCATCGCAGGACGGTTAGTTGGATCATCACAACGTAGAAAAGTCAAGAACTATTTTTTGGTTTAAAAGAAAGCTAGAAATATAGTCTAGCAGGCAGCCTCTGCATACACATAGAGAGGAATGAGTGTAGTCATATACGGCAGCATGCAACAACCAGTCTGACTAGTGTCTTACCTGAACAAGCAATATACCACCCATTGCACACGTGAATGCTAATCGGTAAACAATAATCACACTGAGTTTCTACCTCTCAATGTTGAAAATTCTTAGATCCTTGACTCACTTATTCAGATATTTATCAGTGGTCCATACATCTCCCTAGGCTAATGAGAGAAGCATTAGAGAGCTCAACACGTTATGTGAGAAACTGCCTTAAGTGTTGTCATACCAGTGGCTAGTTTAACATTGACCTTTGTGACACTTGTTGAGAGTTGCGTTGGTATGGGAGTTGTGTAATGAATACGATCCAATGCGACATCCCACAGATTTACACCATCATAAGTATGAAGCAAGTTCATTAGAGTCACGAGTTATGTCTTGAGCTTTCTTAGTTTCCTCGGCTGGGGCCTGATTCAGCAGATACAGCCACAACCCAAAAGAGGACGAAACTTCTAGTACATTCATTGCTTTATTTTCATTGGAAGACCTTAACCATGATCAAAAGGCTGGTTCATGTTCACCGTACTACGGTTGGGAGTAAGGGAATGACAAGTCTAAGAGTCCCCGAATATGTTGTTACGTACCGTGATCCTTTTTCGTGTAACACATGGAGAATGATGTCCGGTTCATTGATAAACCAGCCCGGGAATAACTTGTACTTTAGCTGCTAGATGTCTCAATGGCTTAGTTAAGTTCAACACCACTACATCATTGGCATGAAGGTCATTGCTGGATCAACTGATGTTGAACTATATTCCGCTACGAAACGGACCTATATCACTTCCCGAGTTGTTACACCAATCCGCCAAGAGACAGATCCAAGCTACCAATTTCGTTGTGAGGGTTCATTAGGAATCACTCATGTCTGTAAATCAGCTGTTCATAGCGAAACAGTGTCGATGACAGAAGATGGCTTCATGTCTCATTGTATCAGTCATAGAGCTAGTCCGTCCAACCATTATCTCCGTTGACAGATATAAGGTTCAGCTGACCACACCCTATACACTTCCCACCATTCTGAATAAAAAGACTTATATATCACAACCGAAATGGAGACAAGACGCCTTTGTGGCCACTGGGTATCGACGGTCCTGGATATCCTTAACTATAACATAAGCCTGACTGACAGCCTGCTCATCAATGGGAGTAATTGTTGGGTTGCCGCCATGCTCAGTTCCAGCCTGTCCTCTCAGCATATCTGGCATGACGGTTGGGCGATACGAACCCAGTAACACCAAACTCATTTGCCTGGCCTGCTGATCCATGATGGAAGTCCATACTCACTTCGTGCGTGACTTGCACTCCAAAGGGATTATGGTTAAAACCGTTGCGCCCGCTAGAGGGTTGACGAGCAAGCTCGACGTCGCTATCGTGCAATGACGCTGCGGAGTCAGACCCCTTTCGTTTGGCACGGGCGTCAGGGGAGTCGAGCTGGGATTCGAGGGCCGAGGGATTGGTGCCGATGGTTTGAGTGTAGCCACGGCTGGGCTTTGCGGTATTGGAGGAATGAGAACGAGAACCCCATTGTAGCTGGGAGCGAAGCCGAGGGAAAATGTGAACCAGGAGTGGGCGCAAGGTTGGCAAACAGGCGCAGGTGATGGCTGAGGTGAGCTCGACAACGGACCAAATCGAGGCGTCGGCATTCTCCCAGGTAAAGTCTTCGAACATCTTCAAAAAACGGATACGAACGATGGAGATAATGACGGTGCTTGGTTACATTGTCAGTGCTTGCCTCCAAAAGAACAGAGAGGGAAGAGGTACTGAAGGGAGTACTCACAAGAAACCCAAGCAGAAGATGCCCAGCAGCAGGATCTTGGAGGGCCGTGCGAGGTGCAGCTTCCAGATAACGGGTAACGGCAAGCAAAAGACGGCCACGTCGGTGATAATGTTGCCAGCGGCGTTGATGTACCACTGGGGAATATTAGGAATGCATTTGGCCTGGATGGTGAGGTCCCAAAAGCCAGAGATGGGGTTGCATGTGAAGATGCCAACCATCACCTGCGATAGAGCCCAGCCACCCACAATAAACATGCTCACCAAGTAGACGATGCGCATGTTGGTGAATTTCTCCACAGCTAGCAGACGGTAATATTGAAGAAGGAACGTTAACTTGAGGAACATGAGCCCTGAGCAGTACATGACGATGGAGACATAGAAGGCCTGCGGCTATCAGTATGAATGAATGGCGAGAGGTGTCCGCACGGAAATGAGCTCACCCGGAGATATAGAGGGATGTTCGCCTGATCAATGGCATAGATATGTCGTCCCAAGCCATATGTTGTCATGTACGCAATGGAAACACCTGTGCCAACGATCACAAACTTCAAGGAGTCCATCAGTCAAAGGCGCTATTCCACAGCAGGATAAGTATAGAAACATACCAGGCTGAGGACACAAGCATAGTCGTCTATGCCCAAGCTCTTGACGACAAATCCACGCGTCCAAAAGCGCAGGGTGACCATAACTGTTGACCAGGCGAGACAGAAAATGACAACGCCGAGGACGATGGGACCTCTGTCGTCTGTGAAAACATTCGGCGGAAGAGTCGAGGCTTCTCCTGAGGCCGACATGTTGGAGTTGAGCAGCTGGAAGGATGAAAGTGTGAAAAAAGTCGATATTGAAGCTAAGAGATCGCTCAGGGCTGGGAGAAGGCCAGACCCTCAAGTAGACGAAAGGAGGATGGTCTTTGACAGGAACTTAAAGGAGCTGTGTTTGAAAGAAAAATGCTGACATCACCAACGGACATTCTTAGGAAGTTAAACGACAGCCATAAGCACCGCAGTCGCCATCATTGAAAGAGGAAGACTGCCGGTGAGTTGTCTGGTCGCCACGGCACATGATACTAATAGTGCCGGTCCCTTTAAGTATGTGCTACTTACAAGTAGATGTCGAGTGTTCAGGTAATTTACCCACTCTTTTGACTTCTCGAACCATCAGCTCTGCTCAGTGCTGACGTATGTACAATACCCCCTGGGCTTCTTGTTCGTTAGCGCAAGACTTTGGGACCAGGGTTTGCCTAACGACATCACTCAACCATAAACAACCATTTTCGGAGCAAGAAAGTAATATCAATGAATAATGTAGAGAAGTTTTTGCTCGATCATATCGACTACGTAGTTTTGACCCAGAATTGGCGATTTGGGCAAGAATATCGTGGTGTACAATGTGAGGCGAACTTGGGACCCTGCCTAAAGTCTCGCACTAACAATCAGACGAGGGGTGAACTGTACAAAAATTACTCGGATTTGCTTGTTAGCTCCTTGGTAAGAATGTTTAAGAACAGCACGGACCCTCGCTAAGGAGTAAACGAAACAAACCTCGGCACCTCTATAGCTAGGCAAGGTGGCCCGGTGGTGGTATTATGCAGTAGATATGTATGACAGAAATGTTAAAAAGTCTGCTCTTTTCAAATAGCTGTAAATTACGACGACAGTTTTTATAGTCTGTGCTACTCCTATTTACTGTCACTATCAAACTATTTCAATTAAGAAAAAAAATCCAGGGTCTTTTAGCTATGTAATAATCTGAAATCGATGGTTAATAGCTATGTGGAAGATCTTTATCATGCTGTTTTAAATAGAAGATTAGTAAGCCAAAAAAAGAATCTATCAGTACATTATGCATTTTAGAAAGTTTTTATAAAAAGTGTTCGGTTATACAAGGTTAATAGATATTTAAAATATCTAGACCTAACTGATGCAGTTAAAGATATGAAACGACTTCCTTGAATAGTATAGTTCTCTGCTAGCTAGTTGGTATCTAAGTATATCATATATCAGAGATTTTAGCAATAGTCTATTATACTATTTATAAGACGGCTACCTTATTTTTCTTTGTACTTCAAAAGCCTATACCTATGTCTTGTATATTTATCTCCCGTTAGTTTTGTTGATTGGAGAGTTCTTCAGCCCCTTTCTACGAGGATCTATCCACCTTATCTACACTCAGCATCTTCCTTTGCTTTCTGGCGCCTTTGAATTCTCTATCACACTTTTTGTGATATTTTTTCCTTGCGTTTCACTGGCTGCTCTGGACCTACATCTCCAGTGCTTCATCGATTTTTGCATATCCTCTCATATATCTATAGTTCCTGTTAGTCGTGACAATGTAGAAAATTTTAAATCTAATAGAGTATGTTTTTTTATATAATCTAGTACTTGATTCATAGCTAGTTAAGCTAAAGCTAGTGAATCCTGTTAGATTCTCGATATATTATTGCTTGAAAGCAAGATAACCCTTGTTATAAATATTTTTCGGTATTTTTTCAGTAATCTGAGATAATTTACTGAAAATAAATATAGCTCGTACTACTGTATACACTCATGGAGCTGTTGGCGGGAGCAAAACCCTCCGCCAACTCCATCGCTTAGTCGCTACGGGATCTCCAGCTTCACTGCAACTTCTGCGTCGCAAGCAGAGACTCTTGGCTAGAGAACTTCGGGCTAAGGTAGTAGATTTACCGGGCAACATCCCTTTGCTGGCTAGTCTTTGGTCTGTGCACTGCCTAGATCCAGCTCGAGTGAGAATATCAGCGGGAGACAATAGGCGGTCGAGAGTGGAGCAGTTGGGGTTGACAACCACTCGGAAGACCGTCAACAAGGTCTCGCCAGCCTCGCCAGTCTTGCCTACGGTATCATCGGCGCTGGCAGACTGTCGGTCCACCTATCCCTAGGCATCAAATGTAGACATCGTCCGACTGGGGCTTGCGCGAAGGTGGAGTTGTCCGATCCGCCAAGGTCAAGCGATCAAGACGCTTGAAGTATTTGGAATCCCTAGTGTGATGACGAGCGAAAGCACAAGCATGCAACAAAGTGCAGAAGCGACGTTGGCGATGTAGTCTTGGTGCATCTGGCGCCGGAAGCTGTGACCCCGCTGCGTCCGAGCGCATGTGGAGTTACCTATAGCAATACCTTGGCTTGCTCGTTAGCGCAAGACTTTGGGGCCGGGGTTTGCTAACGACATCTTAAACATAGAGCAACCACGCACAGAGCAAGAAATGGTATTAATGGATACATAGTTCATTTTGAGAAAACCCTGCTGTTTACATTATAGGGCCGAGCAGGGGCCTGCCCAAAGTTTTGTACTAACAGTTAAAGAAGGGATGATCTGTACACTACCTTGTATGCCTGGTCTCCAAAGTCTTGGGTTATCCAACTAAGGAGGGATTGTAACCCTGAGGATATCTATCTTGGCTGCGACTGTATCAGGTTAGTGACCGTCTCACTGGAACAAAATAGGCACGACCGGGCGTATCGAAATCGAAAATAAACATCCAGACCATCAGTCAACTTAAAGCAGATTACCTAGTCCCAGCAGTTGGCTACCGGCAGCTACCTAGGTATTTCAACGCTAGTGAAGTCTCAGCACGGATCTGCTTACGAAGGAGGTACGTAGCCATACAGATTGGTTGGTGCCTTGACGAGGTCTGTGCCCTTTGTTGAGCTCCTCATTGCTAGTGCTCAGTAAGTACCTGCTTAAGTGTGTGATCTGGACCTTTGAGTCTGCAAAATCTTCATTTCTTTTGGGGACCGTGCTCTCTTTCCTACGCTGCGGCCCCACCTCCCTCTGCGCAGCCTTCCACACATCCCTGTCTCGCGACCCTGCGAGTGAGTTGCTCTCGTCTCTCCGTTCGAAGCGCTGTTCAAAATCAACATTCGAATCAATCATCTAGCTAAATAATTGCCATTGCCATTTTCATCTCCATCTCTATCGTCGGTGCAATCACATCGCCATCCCAATAAGGTAGAGAGCAATGATTAGGCTTCTAACCCGGCGCTGTTTGCCGAACGGTTCAAGTTTACACACCTTAGCCCTACCAGCCGCGCCAATCAACTGTGCCGTACTCGCAGCTACCCTAAGCCGTACCCCGCAGCCTTGCTGATGCATAGTTCGAAGTGCATGACCCAGTGGCTTGTGCTTCGTTGGAAACCTTGTCAGAGTTTTCTGTCCAGGGGTTCTCTCCCAAGAAAATTCATGACCGAATGTCCATCTTACTATGCTGTATCAAAGTAGATCAAATTCACTTCCTATATACCTAGATCTATCGGTTCCCTTCAAGACGCACAAGTGGCTGTTGAACCCCCTCAAAATTCCCGAATGAATAGGCACACTGGAGTTGCAGCCCTGTGAGGCTTTTGCGCTGATGCACAGATTGACAGCTCCACATGCTCCGGCTAACTCGGGCAGTCTTGTACCTAGATCTTTTCCCCTGGCGGTAACACCCGCGATGGAACGCAATCCCGTGGTACCGAGGTTGGCAGTCCTGGGTGTTCCTATAAGCAGCATGTTACTGTGTATACCAGTGGATCCGCCCCTTTCTCTGCAAAAACAGCCTCACAAAACACGCCTCGTCCAAAACCCCAATGTTAAAAGTTCAATAACCACGGGCCTTGCCTATGGCTAAACTTTCGATTCCACTGTGAGTGCATGTTTCATGCTACAATATTGTGGTAGGTGCTTTGTGATTTTGTTGAAAAGCTTCGAGGTCAGTTGGGAGTTTTCCTAGGGTGAAAGCACAACCCTATATATTTCTAGCTTGGCTACTATGTTGGGTTTAGCGACGTTTGTTTATTGGAGCAACGTACCTGAGCCCGTTAGGGTTAAGTTACCCTGGGGGCACCGTAAGACGAGCGAATCCATGTGTTCTTTCACGGAGCGCACCACCCTAGCAGGAAGGACCGAGCTTAGTGCAACCATTCTGGTAGCGGACCCGGTGCCGTCCCTTAGCATAGACCATCAAGAGCAGGCCTCAATATATCCTTTTGCCTTAGTATGAGGGGTGAACATTGTGGCATTCGAGGAGCAAGGGGAGATTTAAGTTCTGGTTTCTGCCCGGTAAGCTGAATGGAAGCAGTCTCTCCCTCACAACAAGGGAATATACGCCGTGCTTCGTCTGGGATGCATTTTTTGCGTGCGCAATGGCCTTGAAGCGACTTAGCCTGCTGGCGCTCGCCACCTCGCTTGCCTCTTGCGTTTCCACACCCAGTGGCGTTCCTGCGCCCGATGACGCTTCGGTCGACATCGCCAGCAGTTTTGTGCTTGATCTCATAGCAAATGTGACCCAGGCCGAAGAGTCCTTCCATAGCAATGAGAAGCGCTTCCTTTCTTGCACTCAGGACTCGCTCGTCGTCAACCTTGGCTATGCCAGATACCGGGGATATCATGACTCCTCGACGGGACTGAACTACTGGAAAGGGTCCGTGCATCACATCCATCTCTTACCCTGACCTTTCCCCTATTGCTCGCCTGCACCCGGATACTGTTCACCGGACTCATGTTCGTTGGACGTATGCTGACGTAAAGTGGTTGTGCAGCATCCGATATGCTGCCCCTCCCACAGGCAATCTGAGATGGCAACCTCCTCAGGTGCTGCCGCCCAAGCTCAATCCTCCCATTGAAGATGCGTTCGACTTCGGGCCGATTTGCCCGCAGGCGATGCCCTCGTTGCCCAGCACTCCGTTCATCCCGGGCAACGAAGACTGCTTGTTTTTGAATGTCTACGCCCCGGCTGGCGCTTCCAATCTTCCTGTGCTCGTGTACATCCACGAGGGTGGTTATGGCTTTGGTGATGGTCGCCATGACATGACCGACATCATCAATGCTAATGACAAGGGCTTCGTTGCTGTGACCATCCAGTACCGAGTCTGTTCGCCCCACTGTCCGGCAAGTCAAGACTCGGCTAACTGTACGTCTTAGCTCGGAGCATTCGGGTGGCTTTCGTCGAGCGAGGTGAAAAAGCGCGGTGCGGTCAATGCCGGCCTTCTCGACCAGGCCCTTGCGTTGGCCTGGGTGAAACTGCACATCTGTCAGTTCGGTGGTGATCCTTCCAAGATTACCATCGCCGGTGAGTCCGCCGGTGGCGGCTCGGTGATGTACCATGGCATTGCGCTTCGCGGAACCATCGGCAGCCTGTTGTACAACCAGGGCATTGCAGCCTCGCCCTATCTTCCTTATCAGTACAAGTACAACGATGCTCATCCGACTAACGCCTATTATGCGTTCTCCCAGGCGGCTGGGTGCCCCAGCAGCGGGAATGTCTTCAACTGCCTACGTAGCAAGGACACCAATACTCTGCAGCAGGCAAATCATGACGTCACTCAGCAGGCGCCCTATGGATATTGGTAAGTCATCTACTAGGCATGGTTTTGGGCAACTCGGACCGGGGGCTAACCGTCTTCCAGGGCATTCGGTCCCGTCACGGACAACAGCTACATCTTTAACCGGCCTATGCAGCAGCTACCGACCAAGAAGGTAAACGGCAAGAGGCTGTTAGTTGGTTACAATGCCAATGAGGGTGCCCTGTTCGTCCCTCCGATCATCATGACCGAGGCCGACCTTGTTGGCTGGCTGCAGTCAGCGCAGTTTAAGAACCTGTCACCGACGCAGATCAACACCGTGCTTGCTGCCAATCCTAACAACGCGACAACAGACCCCAACGCTCCGCGCTGGGACACCAACGGCCTGACCGGGCCTACGGCTGTTGAGATGTCACAGGATGCCAACGGCCAGCAACAGCGTGCCAACAACATCTACGCCGAGGCTACGTTCGCTTGCCCGGCCTTCTGGCTGGCCGACGCGTACACTAAGCCTGGCTCCGCAGCTTATGTGTACCAGTATAGCGTGCCGTTCGCTTATCACAGCGGAGATTTAGGCGTTTACTTTGGCCCTCAAGAGCCAAATCACTCCGACGACATTGCTTTGGCCTTCCGCCGTATCTGGGGCAACTTCATCAGGACAGGCAACCCGTCCATCAGCGCGCCTATCGCCAACGGCGCCGCTTCCGCCAACCCATCAGCTCCCCATCCGGCCTCGAACTGGCCTGCTTGGAACAATGCGCAGCCCAAGATGCTCAACCTCAACATCACCGGCGGCACCCCGTACCAGGCACCGACCTTGTGGGGCACCACTGTCACTCAGTTCGCTCAGCCAGGCCTCCAGAACGCGATTAACCTTGTAGAGGCCTCTCAGTGGGAAGGCGGCCGCCTTGCTCGTTGCAACGTGTACAAGAGTCTGGCCCCCAGCATCCCTATCTAATCTTTTGGCGCATTGGATCAGCGTGAAGGCTTGCAAGAGCTTGCACACCTTTTCGCATCAAGTTTTTCCAGATAGATGGTTACGAGCGTCGTAGTCTTAATGTTAATCAGAGTTCACTGAGATCTCTCACCGTTGTTCAGCTGGCGTAGGCCCTCTTGATGGTCCTCTGGTTAGGAGAACTTTAGAGTATCACAGAGAAGAATTCCTTGTGGGTAGCTTCACGAGTAGGCTCAAGCGAGATACAATTTGCGAAGAAGCTCAGCCTAAACATGGCTATCCACCACTTTACCCATTGAAGAACGATTCCGATGACCAGCGTTTCAATCGCTTTTGACCGGTTGCGGGTCAGGGCTGAAAGTGGAGTTGACCCCACCATCCTTCGGAGGGACTGGGTGGGGAACATTGGGCGAGTCGCTACACCTCCTAACCCTGAACCCACAATATCTCGTAGTCTCGTTCGAGCTGCGGGACCCTTCGGCAAGCTGCGGCCTGCAATTGTTTCGATAATGTCGTCACCGCCAACCGATACTGCCCTCGCTTCATCATTCGTCCCTCCGAATCCTCCAGGCCATTCGTGTTGACAAGAGCGTATCGTTAACTTCCGTTGATGACATAAAATGAAGCCAAAGGCAAGCCTAGTCTTGCCGGTAGGCGCTGGTTTCCCGAAGTTGCCGCCAGTTCCGCACAACGCTAAAGCTACGCGGAGGAAAAGCTTGATCTTTGCTGCAGTTGTGACATTTGTCGTCTTACTGGCATCTTGCCCTGATATTGCTCAATTGCATAGTTTTCCCTTCAAGCTGGCTCCGAGCCGGCAGATCGACTTCAAGTCTCGGTGTGCGCAGCCCGATGCCCTGTTCCCCACCCAAGACGACGTCCTTGACGATGCCTACGCCCGTATTTCGACACCTGCCTTCCGAAACGCAAGCATCCGCCGTCTCTCTGGAGCCGTCCAGGTCAAGACCGAATCGTTTGATGATTTGGGCCCCATTGGCGAAGACCCAAGATGGGACGTCTTCTACAACTTCCACGACTATCTCGAGAAGGCCTTTCCCCTAATACACCAGCACCTGCTTCTCGAGAAGGTCAACACCTATGGCCTGCTCTATACGTGGAAGGGCAGCGATGACTTGCTGAAGCCGACATTGCTCATGGCCCATCAAGACACTGTCCCTGTTCCCCCCGAAACTGTCGATGCGTGGACATACCCTCCGTGGAGTGGTGCCTATGACGGCACACACATCTGGGGACGCGGTGCTAGCGATGACAAAAACCAGCTGATAGCCGTTATGGAGACAATAGAGTTGCTCCTCGAGGCTGGCTTCAAGCCCCGGAGGACGATTCTTCTTTCGTTTGGATTTGACGAGGAGTGCTCCGGTACACGCGGGGCGTCGAGCCTGGCCGCGTTCATCAAGGAGCGCTATGGTCGAGAAGGAATTGCTGTTATCGTCGATGAGGGCAGCGGCTTCGAGCAAGCATGGGGAACTCTGTTCGCGAAACCGGGCACTGCCGAGAAGGGCTACACGGATGTGCACCTCACCGTTCGGACGCCCGGTGGCCATTCCTCTGTCCCATCCGATCATACTAGCATTGGCATTCTCAGCGAGCTCATCACTATGATTGAGGCCGAGCAATACCCGACTCGCCTTGTTAACGAAAATCCGTACTACACCCAGCTCCAGTGTGGTGCCGCATATTCGCCCGAGTTCCCGCACAAACTCAAGAAGCTCTTGGACCGGCGCTCCTCAACTTCAGCCTGGCACCAGAAACGTTGGAAAGCCGAGCAGGACTTCTTGGCGATTGAGGCTGCCAAGCAAGGCCCGGTAATCAAGTATTTGATGCAGACTTCGCAGGCTGTTGATGTTATCTCGGGCGGTATCAAGGTTAACGCGCTTCCGGAGCGCGCAACTGCTATCGTGAACCATCGTATCAATATTGGTGAGACCACACAGGTTGTCAAGGACCGGCTGACCCACCTCGCTGGTGCTGTGGCCAAGAAGTATAACCTGACTCTGCATGCCTTTGATGGAAAGGAAGAGCCGTCGTCCATAATCCTCTCTGGATCTACATACGAACTGGAGGTTGCTCCAGTCACGCCGGCCGATGCATCTGTCAAGGGGCCTTTTTCCGTGTTAGCTGGCACCGTTCGCGCTCTGTACGGCGAAGACGTTATTGTCACCCCAGGAATCATGACAGGTAACACCGACACTCGGTATTATTGGGATCTGACGAAACACATCTTCCGCTTTGCCCCTGGATTCGACCCTGAGGATGAGCCTGGCCTTGGGACTATCCACACTGTCAACGAGAAGGTTAGCGTAAGGAATCATCTTAATGCTGTTAGATGGTTCACACTTTTTATCAGAAACATGGATGAGGCCGATATTTAGAATCACTTGATATCTTCCAGTTCTAAGTCAGAATAGCAAGCAAAGCGTGATAGCGGTGGAATGGAATTAGCAACCCTTGTTCCTCGCAGGCTCGATGCCAGAGTGTGATCTTGGAGACAAATTTCGTTTATAGCAGGAATCAGCAGTAGCTTGCATGTAGCTTTCATGTTATCCGGTCGGCGTTGTAAGATGGCACAGCATCTGCAGCCTTCCTGTAGAGGCGCAGAGCCAAGGTTTATCTTGAAGTTGCCGACCTGGCGCAAACGCCATCTCGGCAGTTAGGCATGCCATTTTTACCTTTTGCCTTTTCTCACATAGAAAACTCTCTTATCAGCAATCTTAGACAACCATACAACATCGAGGCTGATGGGCAGTGCCTGTGACTCAGTTAACAAATCCTTATTCGTCCACGGAGTGAGAGTGGAGAGGATCCGAAGGTCTCACAACATCCGGAACTGCCTCTCCAATGGCAAGCAACGCCGTGTCCTCAATTCTCAGACTGGCATTCGAATGATCTGCGGACCGAACAATGCGTGAGAAACCCGATGAGCACAGTCTCTGGACGAGGTTGGGTCATACAGGCCTATAAACATGGCCCGTCCTTGCTTTTACCGCATATTCTTTCCCAAACCCCTTATCCTGCTACCAGCCCCCTAATCCATCTCCCAAGTCTGACATCATCGCACACACGTTCCCTCAAACATTCTGAGATTGCTTCGTGCATCATTTGTGCTAACATGCGGTTCGTTCCTTTCCTGTGCCCACAAAAACGTACCATGCTCGGACTTTGCTCCCTCGGCAAACTCCTGGTCCCAACAACCTCCCACCCTTTGTCACGTCCTCTACACTGTTTTCCTCTAATGATGACGACGACGATGATGATGACTCACTGCCGTTCCCAACAGCCGTAACTCCGTTTCCAGGCTTCGACAACGACGATTACGACGACGTCCCCCCTTTCTTGGGTGATTCGGACGACGATACCGACGGCGTGACAGTGCCGCCAGGTGTGATTGCCGCCATTGTCGTGTCCGTCGTCGCTTTTATCATACTCGTCACTGGCATCTTCGCCTACCGGGACTACCGGAGGAAACGGGTACTGAAAAAGCACGAGGTTGCTTTGAAGGAGATCGAATCATCGGCTGCCATGACTCTGTCCGGAGCTCTGGATCCCCCTCCTCCATACGAAGTCCACGATTCTTCTACTTCTATGGTGGTATTAAGCGGAAGATACCAACCGCAGCGTGGATTTAGCACTGTCAGCACCGATATGAGCTCTCATCCAACCATTCTAGATGGAGTAGAGCCTGGGACAAGACCTGAACAGCCTCGGGGAACGTGATGAATCAATTCGCATGGAGAGAGAGCATGGAGAGAGAGCTGTTGTTGCATGGCTTGACTGTTATATTAACTATTCTCCATGTATGACGCCTTGCGTGTCCTCTTGGCTTTTGCAGCTCCCTTCTTCGGTTACGGTCCTGCACAGTACTCTAGCCATTCTTCCCCTTTACTTCGTGCAGTTTCTTGGGTTCTTTCCACCTTCCAGAAAGGGCCACATCTTATTTGTCATCGACAATCAATACTTTACAATTCACGTGTGGATACCTAGAGAGCATGGAAATGTGGGTTCTTGAAGACGGTTTTCTTCAATACGACCCAACATACGGAGATCGATTAACGAATGATGATCATGGATATATGGATGTAGAGTCATTCTATAAAAACGTTAATAAGAACACATCAAAGTATCCAAGATGACAAGGCGGTCATAATAGATATCCAACATCATCACAGGTTCCTTGACCTAGATTTTCGTAGTCCCCGACCTTGCTCCTCTCCCACTCCAAAAGGACTTATCCACCCTATCATCGCGCTCAGGCTCATTTCCAACCTTGCCATGCGTCCTCTCAAACTCCCGATTGTGCTCGTCCACTTCGGCCTGCTGTTCTTTTGTCAAGTGAGGCTTGTGTCCAGGGACACTGGCATTGCTGATCTTGGGCTTAGCAGGCGGGTGCACGGAACTTGATAGCGGCTTACCCCCTCCTGTCCGCCCAAGGGCATCGCCGTCGGCCAGCTTGTCAGGGATGATGGGTGTTGCGGTGGGAGTCCCTTCAGCTGCTACGGCATTTTGGCCGCGGGATTTGTTGGTTGTGGTTGAGGGGGTTTCAGGAGTTTCGGGGGAGGAAAGGGGCCATTGGCAGTTATAATAATGAGCTGTCGCCACGGAGCGGAGGTATGGAATGATGAAGGGAGGTCGGATTACTGGTGGAAAAAGACTGGGGGGTAATTTTGTGGAGAACGAGATTTTAGGCATTTGAAAGGAAGGCCGGGTGTAATGTTGTTGCTTGAACTGTAGGAATTTGCTAATATCTGAGAAGCCGGTGCTCGACGGAGCAGGTAGCACTTTGATGATTTTGCCTGGGAGTAGGTCTGCTTAGCAGACTCGGGTGGTTTTCATATCGACGCGGTTTCTGTGAAAGCGGCAATATCAGGTGCATGGGGGTTCTCCTTGCAATGATGTCATCAAGTCCGTACTGTTCCACACTGGAGGCGGAATTGCTAGCCTCGGTCGGTGAAAATCCGAACAACGGATTAAATTTTCGATCGATTATCGTCTTGGTACAAACAGTCACATTTGATATGGCATCTCCGGTTCACTGCTTCTTAGCTTCCCCCAGCCGTTCAATGAAGTGTTATCAATAGCCACCATGTATCACGATCTGAGCTTGAGGTTATGAGAACGTCGGTGCAGATAAGACCATGATATTTCCACAAGATCACTTATGGTAGGGGCTGTGTTGGCTGAGTCTCTGTTAATTAATATTGACACGTTTTGGGCAACCTGAGGTTATAACAAGGGACTTGAGCTCGGAATGCTCAGACATACATAGATAAGGAGCTTTGGAGGAAGGAGCCTCTTGACAGTATGTCGGGTAGGAAAGATCGTGATCTCACTGTCTTAAAGCTTACCTTAGCTTCCACGCCGAACAGACCGAACAAAGTTGAACTGAACACTTGGGAGCCTACATCATGAAGTTCGACACTCCTGACCGCCATGGTGGTGATGACAGCGACTCAGGACGCTATCTCCCAATTGAAGCGGAACGAGAACTCCTCGCGACTGCTGATACATCGTTCGAAGTACCGTCAGAGAGACCGGAAGAAACCACATCGCCTATCCCGCCAGCACCCATCATCACTATTGATCGGTACGACTGGTTTTCAACGTCATCCGAGTCGGACAGTCCAATGCATGTCGATGAAACAAATGATCTCAGGATTAAGGTCTCTCCTCTGCCAAGCCTCCAACGGCTTGGGCACGCCTTCGTTGTCCTCACCTTTAGATGCTTCTTGCTTATTCCGTCTTGCATAATCGCTTTCCACAACTTTTACTTCCGTCAACGTCCCGATTTAATCAAGCAGTATAGCACTTGTCCAGGCCTCCATGTCCGGTGAGTCTCAAATGCTGACTATTCACAGTGTCGCCGTTGGGAACATACGACAAGTTACTGACGAAATTTATGTTTTAATCTAGGGTGTTCTATCCGCCCTCCCATGAGCCCGGCTCATCTACCGGTGTGCGATATCCGACGCTCCTGACCATCCACGGTGGTGGCTTTGTTTTTGGCAAGCCGCGAGACAATGATTCTTGGAACCGCCGCTTCGCCAACAAGCACTCTATCCTCGTCATCGCCCTTGACTACAGGAAGGCTCCCAAGTATTGTCATCCTCGCCCGCACACCGACATTGCCACTCTCACTGAAGCTGTTTTGAAGGATGATAGTCTTCTAATCGATCGGGACCGAGTGGCTGTTGCTGGATGGTCCGCGGGCGGCAACCTTGCGCTGGGGCTAACTGCAACACCATTGTTAAGATTTAAAGTCTCTGCCGTTGTAGCTTTCTATCCCGTGGTGGACTTCGTCCCTGGTAAGGACATGAAAGCACGTTCGCGGCCATACAAAGCAGCCCTTGGGGGTTTCAGGGGCCAGGAGCGAGATTATCTGTACAACCTGATTGATACCTTCGAATGGGCATATCTCGGACCGGGACAGAGTCGCACGGACCCGTTGCTGAGCCCAACCCATACCGATTTCCATGACCTTCCGAAGTATGTGTTTACAGTGGGATGTGAACTTGATATGTTTGCCATGGAGGCACTGAAGTTCATGTGCAAGCTTTCGGGAAGAGAGATGCCGGCAGTCGGGAATATCGTTGGCAGACAGGAGATCGGAAGTGAGGGGGAACTTGTCACTGAGGGAGATGAACGGTTTGCATAGGAGGAAATAATGGATGATGGTGAGGTTTATCGGTGGCTACTTGTGCCCGACGTGGTCCATGGTTTTGATCAGGACATTATCCAGTTATTCGCCTGGTTATGGCGCGATCGTGCGATGTTGACCGACGCGCGGATCAAAAGGGATAAGGTTATTGACATTGTTGGTCAGTGGTTGTTGGAGGGTCCATTCAAGGCAGGACAAAATCGTGAGAGGACACAGATCTGACGTGCAGAGGAACATACCTTAGTGAGAAAGTACTAGCAAGATCCTATACCAGCTAAAACGGGTTGTTGAGCTGTGCACAAACAGCATACTTCGCTACTCTAGCACTCTATTGAAGCCAACAGCCACCAGACGTTACAATAGAATCGACCACAGTTAGACAATAATATAATCCTTCAAAACTTCATCAAGTTCATCATCATCTGGCTCGCAAGTCCTGTCTGCCCACACTTCATGGCCTTTAGCACTTCCTTCTGACCTTCCATCGGCAGCCCAAACTTCCATGACGGCGTTCTTTAACGCAGCAGATACGTTCGTGCCCATCAACCTCTCCACCCGTCTTTGGATTTTATCCCCTGACCGGTCACTAACAGCATCCCACACAGAATCTTTGGCTTCATACTCCATCTCGGCTTTATGAATCCTCTCAAACACCCTGGCCTTCACATCAACGACATCTAATTGCAAATCTTCACCTAGAAAGATCTCAAACCCGTCCGGGTTCCACCGATGGACATTTCCAAGGCAAATCGTCGTGGAATTCTCATCCTGGGTAACCCGGAACCCGGGAACCCGGGCCTGGACATTGGTGTTTGTATGCCCAACTAACTTGACAGTCCACTGGCGCCAGCACCCGGTTCCTTTCCATTCCGGACCGATGGTGAGGATACCAGACTTCTGATTCCAATTGAGGGGTGTGCGAGAGAATGAGGACAGAGGGGGCTGGGAGTTTTTGGAACCGTGGTCACTAGTATCTGGTTCTTCAACCAGCTCGAAGTGAGCGTCTGCGCCGACGACCAGCAAGAGAGTGATTTCGGTTGGACGGGCGGCGCCGTTGGTGAGCTTTGGGTTGCCGTCCAGAGGAATGATGGTGCCCTCTTTGGCGAGAACGGGAATGTGAGAGAGATCGCGATGGAGTTGGATGTAACGATCTCCGTCGTAGACGAGTTGAGGGTTGAAGATATCCACGAAACGGCCCCGTGGGAGCCAGGCGCGTACGCTGCCTAACAAGGTAGTGGCGTTTTGGGGCGAGGTGATGGGCACTACGATTAGGCTGGTGCCGAAGTAATACTGTGTTGGGACGGTGTATGCTTCGTTGTCGGTGTGATTCCAGTACATGGGCTGGATGAGCGGCTCACCCTCGTAGCTAGCACGGATGTTCATGGTATAAAGATATGGGATCAGGCGATGGCGTAGGATGAGGAAGTTTTTGATGATCTGGTGGGCTGTCGTTTCGTACTTCCATGGCTCTCTCGAGTTCCACAGGTTCTTGCTTGAGTGCAATCGTAGAATGGGCGAGAAACAGCCCAGTTGGACCCAGCGCACCATCAGTTGGTTGGAGCGTACGCCTCCCCAATGTCCGCCAATATCATGACTCCACCAACCGTATCCGATGTTGGAGGCAGTCGCTGTGAATTCGGGTTGGAACTCCAACCCGGCCCAGGTAATCTGGGTGTCCCCGGAGAACCCAATGGGGTAACGATGAGATCCCGGGCCAGCATAGCGCGAGAAGGTGATGGGCTGTTCTAGGACTTTGATATTGCGGCGGCTGGTCAGATAGTGATAATGATTGAGCACCCACAAGGGATCGACGCCAGGAATGCGGGACCGCGTGCCCTGCTGCCAGTCAATCCACCAAAAGTCTACGCCTTGCTTCTCAAGGTTGAGCTTCAGGACGTCAAAATAGGCATCCAGAAACTTACGGTCGCAACAATCGAAGCGGATGGGCTCTCCCTTGGAGGTGTCGTGGCCGAGGGCCTTGGCTACAAGCTCATACTGATCCTCAAATGAGCGAATGCCGTCGGCCGGGTGGTCGTTGAGGGTTACTTTCAAGTTACGCTTGTGCAACTCGCTGAGAAAGCCATTGGGGTCGGGAAAGAGCTCGCGGTTCCAGCTGTAGCCGGTCCACCCGGAGCCGTACTGTGGAGGAATATTTACCTTGTGCCAGTCCATGTCGATAACGGCAACAGTAAGTGGGATCCCCTCGCTTTTGAAGCGATCCATAAGCTCCAGGTACTCGTCTGCGCTGTATGCGTGATAGCGAGACCACCAATTGCCCAGGGTCCAGCGCGGCAGGATGGGCTGGTTGCCAGACAGACGGTAAAAGTCTTTGATGGCGGCCTTGTGGTCGCCATGGTACGCGAACAGGTAGCCATCGATGCGGCCAGGGACACGAGTAGCAATCCACCCATTCTCGAACAGCATGGACTTGCTGTCATCAAGGACAGCATAGGCTTTGCGGGAGAGGACTCCGGGCTCTAGTTTGACACGGCCGTAGGCTCCGTCCAGGGTCCTGGTTGTGCCGCCTAGATCGCCGTAGCAGTTGCCGTCGTAGGACCAGACATCATTGCCAACCTTGACGGTGAGTCCGGAAGATGAGAATTTCTTTTTATCGTAGGTAAGATGGAAGAAGTCCGTTATGATCTGCAGGCTGTCTTTTTTGTCTACGATTTGGTACTGGGGCGTCTCGAACCATCTGAACAGGGCAAATGTAGAAACACGGTCCTCGAAGCCGCCGTCTTTGGACCACTCGAAGCGCAGGAGCCTCTCGGTCAAGACGGTGAATCGGTAGTATGAGTCACTGCTGCCGCCTGTGACGATGGCTTTGGGATTTGCTTCTGGTTTGCAGGGGAATGAGTATCTGTCAGCCATCGTTGGAGCTAGATGTGGAGTTGGACGAGCGGCAGCAATTAGGCCTACGGGTAGTTCAGAGCTTTAAGGAGTTTAGATGAATGGCAATGTCGTGGATTATAGACAAAAGATAGGGCCAAGATCGATTCGGGTTAATGTAGGGATTACACAGTGTAGGTAGAAAGCTTATGCTCCCAGCTGACCACTTTACAGTTTTGACAACCTGGGACAGTCCAACAACTGCACATTATACGCTTTACCGAAGATTGGCATTGGTGATCGGCGCAGCGATGGGCAAGTTAGCGCTGACTCGTTGACTGGGGTAGGATGTCCCACGCGGAGTGCGGTTTCGTCCAGTGTACTTGTATGTATGGGGTTTGTGCCATTGTGACGTTTTCTGGTCAGGTGGACCTCAGTGTGTGGTTCATTGGCTTGGCGGACTCTTTGTTTTCGCTCAGGGGGATCCACATTTCGACGGGTCTTGGCCAATAGAAGCAAACAAATGCCCCACAGCGGGACCGGCAACGTTCTTCCCCGGCTCGCCCTGCATCGAACGATCAAACGGCGATGAGCTGGCTCCCATCTTGGCAGCGCGACGTCGCGTCCACAATCCACAGACAGGTGCCATCCACATCCACCTACTCCAACGCCAAGCAGAAGGATATTCCATAGGATCAAATCTCATCCAAACAGCACATCTGGATATCACACCTAAGCAGGGACCAGGGACCGCATTCAGAGGTTGTGGAGAACCAAGAATTCTTGTCATCAAGGCCCACTACCTTCACTACCTGCCATTTCTTGAACGGAAATCCAGTCAGCGTTAAGGTTTTGTGGTGTAGAACTTTTACTAAGGTCTGTCGTACATCTACGTATCTGCTTTCTGTCAATCTCCCTCTTTTGGCCGACATCTGTTGAGATGACCGATGCCGACATGGACTGCATTTACTGTGTATGCTACAGAGTTAAGGAAGTGCTGCGTACAAAGAGGACAGGTACACCACCTTGTAAAATGACGATCTTTTCCCAGACAGCATACTTGTTGATGTTCTGGTTAAAGTCAAGCGTTGCCACAATCCCTTGAAGCCATTGGAAACAGTTAACACAGCTGTTCGAAAGTTCTCGCGTTTTTCCAAGATTATCCAGATTTGCTCCTCTGCTGTAAACCCGGCTACCGTCACTATGGCGCATCCAGTAATGCATCATCTTTGCAAAAAACGACATTTCTTTCTCCGGGGACCAGGGTCAGCCAACTCTTGATCTCCGGCGCCGCGGTCATGGAACTGCTTGGTGCGTACAAGCAGGGTCTTCTGATGGCAGCTTTCGGAGTGATATACGTATGGCCGAAAGTACTGTGCCGTGGCTTTGCAGCAGCAAATCCCTTACCGAACTAATGTGACCGATGATGTCTGATCGAAGTGAACAGGGTACCAGCGGGTCTCTTCGGTGTTCCAGAAGACAATGCTTGAGGGCGAGGAGGGCCAACCACGACCCCTGTTTGTGGCCCTTGCCAACCACGCGATATGCGCTCGGGACGATAAACGCGGAGGGGCAACGGGAAGCACCAAATCAATCCACGACTTTGCCGACATTTACAAATGTATGTTGCTCAGAGAAGCTTAGGCGAGGTTTTCACTGTTCAAGTTACGTTGCCACCCACTTAATCACCAATACACGATATCTTGTTATTAGTATATTACCCACACACTATTCAATGTTATCTAGTCGATAAACTCAAGTTCCGACCACCAGCATTCCATATCTTGGGTAAGCGCGGTTTCACTTAGGACTTAGCTACCAGGGTACCACGCAGATGAAGATCTTTAGTTCAGCCCACTGCTTGGGCAACGTTAGCCGTTGTTCACGAAGCTCTCGTCCAACAGCTCCGGTTCTTTTCCCGTTTACCCACTCGTCAGCTATATAATTTCTGCAAAATACAGCGAGGCTGCAGCCATTGGCTCTTGCTACACACCTAAACATGCACTCCGTCATGCAACTGAACGTTTCTGTTCCCTTCCCACATCCCTGCTCTGGCAAGGGAGCATGGATGGAGAAGGCTGACAAGGGACGACCACTACGGTGCTACTGCAACACCACGATGGCATATCGAACGAGACCAACTCCGGAATTTGGGCAGATGTTGCGACATCAGTTGGTGACTCCCAGAGAAGGCTGCCCACGCACCTGTGACGCGAATTCCAAAACTGAATGGAAGGGAAGGGGTAGCAGCGGGGAACAGACAACACACGACCCCACTATGGACAGGAAGTGAAAGATATTAACGAAGGGACCCGGAGTGGCTGGCGCTTTTCTCCCATTTCTATCCTTCCCTCTTCTGAGTCGGACGGATCCTAGACCCAAGCGGATCATTCGATGCCAACATCAGTGTATCTGCAGGGACATCTTGCGTCCAAGTTCTGTTCTACCATCAAAGAGTTTTCAATGATCCCTTCTGGAACCCTAAGCCCAAAATGGGCGAGTCCGCTGCCCCATCGACATCGACTGCTTCGCCAACTGCTGAGACTGTCATGCATGGCATCCTTCCAGCCTCCCACTGGCAATCGGCATGGCACAAGACAAAGCCATGAATGGCCTGAATTTGTGTGCTTATAAGCCGTTTGTAGCTTTCATCCGCCGAATATGATGCCAAGTTGGCATACAATGAGGCTCTCAGTGAGCCCGCTTCAATTGCCAGCAGTATCCTCCAGTACCGGAGCTTCCATCGCCGGACCTATCATCATGAAGTTGGTGAGGCCGCGTCATGGGACCCAACAATGAGCGACACATCGAGACGATGGATATCGTGTAAGCAATATGCAACACCTCTTGCTGTTGGCAATGTTGGACAGGCGTCTGATGACCAAGCCTGATATTTCCGGTCACCACGCCAGCACCCGTTTGCTGGAGGACCAGTTCTTTTTGTCGCCCATCGGAGAAAGCCCTCAGGCGTATTGGCCCTGTATCAGGCGGTCCTCGCTTTATTTTCCAGGGAAGCGCTAACAATCCAGTAGCGAATCCTTGATGTTGCAACAGGCACCGGTATCCGGGCCAATGTAGGTCTTTTTGCGTCTTAGACGTCGCTAGCTCTTCTATCTATTCTCACCGAACATCACTGACTCAAAATCTTCCAGTGATGTAATATTGGCGACAAGTATCCCAGTACCGAGGTAATCGGCACCGATATCACTCCTATTCAGCCATCCCGGGTACCGCCAAACGTCAAATTCGAGATTGATGACGCCAACCAACACTGGACGTTGGCAGATGAGAGCTTCGACCTCATCCACGCGCGTGCCTTGGCTGGAAACATACTCAACTGGGAGAAGTTCTACCAGGAAGCTTACCGTTGTCTGAAGCCGGGTGCGTGGTTCAAAATCCAGGAGACCTCGTTCGACTGGCGCACGCAGAAAGGTGTAATTGCCGAGGACAGCCCAATGGGCCAATGGAACAAGGTCTTCCAGGAGGGCGGTAAGAAGACAGGCCGTACTCTCAGGATTGTTGACGAAGACCTCCAGGAGAGGCTGATGAAGAAAGTTGGCTCGTGGATGTCGTAGTGAAGGATTACCCTGTTCCAGTTGGCACCTGGGCCAAGGACGAACGTCTAAAGGAGATTGGCTTGTGCATTCGGACTGCTTTGGATCTTGACCTTGAAGGCAAATATACTTTCACAAACTGCCTCCTCTAAGAGAGCTACGCCAACTAACATACCACAGGTTACTGCCTCCATATGTGGAGCTTCGTGATGGGCTGGAGTCCGGAAGAAGTCCAGGTTTTCTGTGCCCATCTGCGCCGCCAGATGCACGACCCGAATCTGCAGCCTTTTTACATCCGTCGCGTTGTGTATGGGAGGAAGCCCGAGAATAAGCACTAAGAGTTTAAAGCTGGAACAAGCAATCAAACTGTTCAGGGGCTCGACTTGGAACATGACTTTGCGTTCACAGGTCTTTTCCCAGTCAATTGTACAAGTACGGAAACGGCATGTAGCTGTTAAATGATACTATACCCTATTTTGTGTTTTTAACCACCTCTCTCAATTTCCCCTGAAACATGAAATTGGCCAAATACTCCCTTCGTTTAACCCACAACCGTTAACACAAGCTGACGTAGTATAACAATACTTGATCTTCCCCTTCTCAACCCTAAACAAAGAGCTATTCGGCATTGCTGCATGCCCCTACATACAATTCAGCCCGTGAAACCCACAAACACATCCATCGACCCCATCTCTTCATTCACAACTACCTCTATACAGTACAACAATAGTACTCGGCTACACCATCACCCACTGCCCGCCATCCATCCTTTCCCTTGCCAGTATCCCCGCCCAAATCGATATCATGACTCTCACCATGGGGCAACCATACTCACGTTACTGAACCGGTCGAAATACAAGTTGCTCATCTTCGGGATCTCCTCTCTCGTTGCCCTTTTTTCTGTTGGGATAGGATCCCACACCTTGTCCCTGTCAAGCTCTGACATGTCGGTCGCATTAAACAACCAATTTCCTTCATCAGTTACGACAAATTCGATCAGGGCAGCCTGGAACGCCGACTTATCGACGAAAATCCTTGTGTGTATCGGCTGGGTGAACTGGGTCCGTGACGGCAATGAGTTCGGTGAAGGCAGAGCATTAGTTGGGATCGTGCAGGGAGCGGGAGACGTTGGCTTTGAGGGCAGATGAGAGGGAGCTTGTGGAGAGGGTTGTCAGGTAGTTGTTTTTGATGCAGATGAAATTTGGGGATGAGCCGATTAGTTGTGTAAGAGGTATGGGTTGCCAGGACCTTTGGGCAGCTGTGTAGGAGACTGTGAGGTTACGCACGAAGGGCCTGGTCCAAAAAGCTCGAATTAGGGAGGTGAAATGGAGAATCAGGGGGAGGATAGAGAATTCTCTCGTGATTGTGTTATTCCCGTGTTTGACTTGGCCTCTGGTTTGTTTGCTAAGAGGTTGTCAATCTGCTCGAAGGAGCCATTTGGGTTGTGAAAATCGGCTAGTGATTTGATTTTTCGAGATATACTGACCAGATCTGTACCCTGACAATGTCAACAAGGCGATAAATGTAGAGTTCTATGGTATGAGTCGGTTTTCGAACGTCGGCAGCTAAGTTAACAAAAGTAGGAGGTCGCTTAGTTTTAATGTCAACTGCCGATTATTGGATAGAGGAGGACAAATCACTAAGAGCCAAGTATTCTTTAGGGATATCCTACTTGCCCACGGCCCCGTCTTCAATAAATGTCCTTAATCACTTGGCAATATATACACTAAGTTTAATAAGTCTGCCACCACCAGGGCGAGCCAAAGACCGATGTCCATTTCTAAGGAATGCTATGAACTTTATCAAAAGTAAGATGAGACCGGTGCCTATGTCTAGGTCTAGTATTTAGTTCGAGATATTCTCTTGCGTTCAAGAAAATCCAAAAGAAATAACCATCTCAAATGCCGAACCAAAATGGACCACTACACCTCGATAGCTGACGCAGCTTCGCTGCTCAGCACAGGGTTAATCCGCTTCTCATCCCACTTGAATATAAAGTCATCACCCAGCTCCTTCCGGCAAGCCGCGGTGACCGCTTCCCACACGTTGGCAAAGACGCCAAAGCTAGCCGGATTATCCTCGTCGTTCCCCCCTCCTTGGAAGACACCGGTCCGCACCAGGCAAGTATTCCAGCCATACATGTTGCCACCAATGACGTCCGAAGCCGGGTTATCACCAATCATGTAGATGTTATCCGGCACGCGCTCCTCGCCATGCAGCATATCCATCCACGAGGCAATGACCTCGTCAGCGTACTTGTACGTGGCCAGCTCCGGCTTGCCGTACACGACACGCTCCAACTCGACGCCGGTCAGGGCCTTGTACATGGCTTCCAGACCGATGCGGAAGGCGCCCTGGCTCATACGAGGGTAGGGATGCTCTGTTGGGCAAAGAAGGTCGCCCTGGGAGAAGTAGATGGGGATGCGCTGTGAGACCGGGTCCTTGGCCATGGTGCCCAGACGGCCGTTTTCGGACCGCAACAGGTCAACGATGATTTGCATGTCTGTTGCGTAGTCGCGCGAGTCCGAGAAGACCAGGATGGCCTCAATGTTGATCTTGGAAAAGTCAAGGGGCCGAGCCTTAGCTTTGTCTTCCTCACTGACGGTACGGTAAGGGGCGATGGTTGGGTCCCACACGACTATGTCATTAGGCACGATGATCTCCTTGAAGCCGTACTCCTCAGCTACCTCGCGGCAGCGGTTCCCTTCGCCGCCAACGACCAAGACAGTGTTGTAATACTCAGCAAGTGCTCGCATAGGTGTGTGACTCTGGATGAACTGATCGGTGCTGATGGGGTTTTGAAGAATCTTAGACAGCTGTTGTGTGCGTGCCAGCTCCAGCTTGCCAGAGCCGTTTGTGAGAAATATGTGAGGGATCTTAATGCCAAGTTCATTGTCACCATTTAGCATTGAGAGAGCACGCTTGGCCTCAGGGATAAGGCGGTCACCGTGGACTAAGACACCATCAATGTCAAAGACGAATGCCATGTTCTTGGCTTTCTTGACCTTGTCTGCCTTAATATCCTGGATTTGTGAAACCAAGATCTCGCGGGTCGCATAGCTCGGCATCGCTCCTGCCCCCTTATCCGCCTTTAACGTCTCTCTGCCTTCTTGGTAGGCGAGACTGCTCAGCCTGGACTGGCGTTTGGACTTGGGAATAGGTAGAGTGGCACCAAACGAGTTCCGTGACAACCTCCGCTCCTTCATAGACGGGCTAGCGGAGAGATTGTGCATGAACTGTGTCGTATCTGCATCCGGAGACCGTAATGCTGGGATTTCGATGGTGTTGTGAGAGCCCGGTGAGACTGGGACCGCCAGAGCGGCCTCTAGTCCACCCCAGCCAGTAGCCCTCATGGGACTTCTTTGAGATCCATGGGCATCCAGCCATTCTTTAGCCTTTTGAAGTTGAAGCTCCTTGGGCCGCTCTTTGGTTCTTGGATGCGAAACTTTCTCAGGCGAGTCGAAAGGTGTGTTGATCTGACTCTGCGACGCCTTGTTGCCGAAATCAACGTCCTTGAAGCCCGGCTTCGACATTGTGTAAGATGCAATATTCAAACAAGTACGAAAGAAAACGAGAGATGAGGGACGATAATGAAACACAGAGATTAAAAGCCAGTTGAAGTTCACGGGAGAGTGGGATCTTATATCCTCCTTGAGAAACTCAATCTGTTCCAGCGATCGTCAGGGAGCCGGTTAGAGGTGCCCGTTAGCCGTGGATCTCGCCGTGCAATGAGCGACGGGAGTTCAGCAACGGTCCATCCTGTACATGAAGCAACAGGCCGAGGCGGAGTTTCCCATCCACCGAGAGATACTCCGTCATGACGAAATAATATGGAGAAATACGGGAACGAAGCCCACTTGAAAATCCGATTAGGACCTAAACTGCTCCGTTTTCGACCGGTCGACGTCTCCTCAACAAGTCCTTCACATGTCATCCGATGCTTTGAATGTCGCCATTGTTTCATGTCAAGGACGGCACCATGTTGGATGGCCTTGGCAAGCAGATCTTACGGGATGTACAACGGTCAGGGACGGCAAGCTCCGCTGCCGTCGACCGCGAGTGCCGGCAAAAACCATCTGTTGGATCCTAGGAGAGCTGGATCTATGATGTCATCGTTCCCATCAGCTCTGGAGCTTGGGTGAGCGGAGTCATCATTTCGAAGTGAAGGACCGGAAAGTGGGTACAGATGGGGTTGTAAAACGTTTCTCGCCATATGAGAAGTCTGTGTGCGGCCGTGTCAAATCCTAAGGCCGCCGGGTCGGAGACCGCAGAGACAGGAAGCTCCCCAATCGTGATCACACCCAGATTTGACACAGGGCAGCGGGAGCCGAGGGCGAGGAGCGCGGGTAGGGTATCTCCGACATGACTCGGGTACGACGATTGAAGATCGAGGATCCTTACATTGTTGCTTGGGATCATGGAGACAAAGTTCGGGCAAGCAGAAACTGCTGCCCCGACCCGACCCACCAGTAGGGCGACTTAGGCGTTGAGAGGTAGCACAGCTTACTTTTCGGTCGTAGATGATAGGTAGACTGATGTGTCTGCTGTTTTTCTGCAATCCCCCACTCACTTGATGGTGTGAGTGAAAGGTTTGAAGAGCACGGATCTCGATACGTAATAATGTGGAACCATGACTAAGCTGCAGTCCAAGAAACCTGGTTACCGGAAAGTCTTTACTGCTTCGAAGTTTTCAGGAACGCGTTTCATACGGTAGAAGCAGTCCAGGATTCCCCCTTAAACAAGATACCGAAGCTACCGCGCGTCTTCGGCTCGTCTTACGAAAATTCGAGGATTTATATGAGGCATTGATACTTTGGTTGCGGTGTAAACTGCTGTCTGGCATCGCATTAATTTGTTTCGATTCAAACTTCTACTGCTGCTCACTTCTCCGGGTTCCCCTCGACGCTCTTCCTTGTGGAGTCATCACAGAACAGCAGCAAAACGTGCGTTCAGGATCCCTTAGGAAGATGGCTGATGAGCATTTGTCCTTCATTTCGTCCGGGAACAGCTGGGCGTGGTGTCCGTGTCATAGTGTGCACGATTGCTGATGAGGATCTCCCAAATACAGTTCGTGTCAACATGGCGTCCTCCAAGACGTTTACCCTCAACAACGGTGTCAAGATTCCGGCAATTGGCTTCGGCACCTTTGCCAATGAGAGGTCAAAGGGAGAGACTTACCAGGCAGTGCTGAAGGCTCTGGAGGTGGGATACCGCCACCTGGACTGCGCGTGGTTCTATCAGAATGAGGATGAGGTTGGCGATGCTCTTCATGACTTCCTAGCCAAGAACCCGAGCCTGAAGCGCGAGGATATCTTCATCTGCACCAAGGTGTGGAACCACATGCACCAGCCTGAGGATGTCAAATGGAGCTTTGAGAACTCGTGCAGCAAGTTGCGGGTGGACTATCTCGATCTTTTCCTGGTGCACTGGCCAATGGCTTCAGAGAAGAATCCAGATAACACACCAAAGATTGGACCGGACGGGAAATATGTGCTCAAGAAAGAGCTGACCGAGAACCCAGAGCCGACATGGAGGGCAATGGAGGAGCTCTATGAGAGTGGAAAGGTGAGGGCAATTGGCGTGTCCAACTTCACGATCCCGAAGCTGCAAAAATTGCTCCAGTTCGCGCGTGTGAAGCCAGTTGTCAACCAAGTTGAGATTCATCCCTTCTTCGCCAACACCGAATTGGTCAAGTTTTGCCAGAAGAATGACATCCTGCCGGAGGCCTACTCCCCTCTGGGCTCACAGAACCAGGTCCCCACAACAGGGGAGACTCTGCGGGAGAACAAGGAGCTGAATGAACTGGCCAAGCGCAGTGGTTACACGCTGGCCCAGCTGCTTCTGGGCTGGGGCGTGCGCAGGGGCTACGTTGTGCTGCCCAAGAGTTCGACACCCAGCCGAATTGAGAGCAATTTCAATGTTCCTGAGCTCAGCGATGAGGAGTTCCAGGGCGTTGAAGAGGTCTCTAAAGGCCGGAACACTCGATTTGTAGACATGACGCACGTCTTTGGGTACAACGTTTGGTAAGCTATTGTTGCGGACTCGGTTGTGAGAGCATTTACTTACTTCTGCCAAATAGGCAAGATTAGATGTTCAGCGATTGACGGATGGAAGGTCGGAAAACGGGTAAAACTTCTCTTCAAGGTCCACGATTGGTGCTGAAATGGGCCATATTGGTAAGATATGCCAACCAAAGTGGCAACAAGGGATGCTAGTGTTTTATAGCCAACCGCAATGGGCCAAAATAATATGATCTGTTAGTAGGACAACTGAAGATAAACAAACCGTCTTGGAAGAAGCTGTGGATACGCTCAACCGCATGTGTTTACTTAGGTAGCCAATCACAGTGGGGGACAATACGACGGAGCCGGCTGTGCATCCTCTCGGATTACTTCCATTTTCAGGAAGTAACGATCGCCCATTGACTAGTTGAGTCTCGGCATGCTGCGGTACGTACCGGTCAACAACCCCAGTAACCGCCCTGTGTTGCCCTCTCCAACTGGCCCTCGCATGTGGAAGTTATGCTTCGATCTTGACCGTATGGGAGCATCTCAAATCAAGCCGGTGGGTATGCAACTGTAAGCAAAAGATGCATCTCTTGTGCAGATGACCAATGCTGTTTCTGGGTCCAAATTGCGCCATCCCGGCACACAATGTCCCTGTATCAAACCCTTTTTTTCGATGACATCTTAATGCTCGATCAGCTCTCAGCATAACGGCTGTTGACGCATCATTCATCAGCATTGCTGTGAATATCTGAAAAGGAACGAAACAAGAGCAGTTGGAGCATTTCTGTGATTTTTAGTGGTCAGGTGATAGACCAATGTTAGACCTTGTCTCACTCTGGCTCAATCCCTCTGCAACATTGCAAGGAGACACCATGGAGGAATTGAGTCTATAAGTATCCCGATCTTTTCTTTTCTCATTTGCAAAAGGTTCACGTGGGAAGCCCGAGATGTTTGGCGGGTGATAAATCTTGGAGAGGGTTTCACAGCGTTAATAACTTGAATATCATGGTCGTAATCACTATTGCTAGGCCAGCACGGAAGTCGACACGGTCTTTCATTACAGTCTTCCCTGGCCTCTTAGTCAAAGTCTAACAGATTGTGGCAAACAGAATTTGCCAGTGAAGTGACCAATGAGCTCTTCGCAACAGGAAAGCATGAAAGCTTGATCTTTCCCGCAAGGTATGTCTTAATGCTTTCGAGCTCAACAGTGAACCCATGCTGACAATTTCCAGGATGCTGCATCTGGTGAAGTTATAGAGGGCACAACATGGCTCAAAGTGGATTTTCAGGATAAAAACTACCTAGCACAAGCTCTTTGAGGTGTCCGTACAGTGTTATCCTTCACTATCGTTCATCGTGACCCAGACAACGTCAGCCAAACGGCTCTGATTGATGAGTCTGTCAATGCTGGAGTCAAACAGTTTGCTCCCAGCAAGCGGGTAGTGTAAGTCTTTTCAAGTATGCCGGCTTGTCTCTGCAATGCTACATCCTGATGTATGCTTAACAGGTCGAACATCAGTTATATATGGACCATTATAATGGATTTGCTGTCCGTAAGTACTTGGAGAAGTCAAACAGACAAAAAGGTGTCACTTTCTTGTGGCCACTCTACTTGCTTACTGGATTCTATCAGGTCATTGAATATTGCCTCTTCCAGCCGGGATGGTTCCTCAATCTCCTCGCTTGCAACAGCAAAACCAATCAAGCCCATCGAGCCCTCTCCATCAGTCTTCGTTGACTTCGACAAAGCCACAGTCACTGTCGCTGTTGGTCTCCATCACAGGTCAAAATACACATAGGTTAATGAAATTGTAAATATCGCCATGAGAGCCGTCGAGTATGAGGGAGATGGCATCGTATTAGTAAAATTAACGGTGCTACTCTGTCTCTATAGGATCTTGTCAACCTCGGCGTGAAGGTTCTTGGTAAGTCATTGAGCCCACTAGCTACTGGCTGTCTTAGTTATTCCATATCTCTCTAATGCGTATTATGTGCAACAGGCAAGAAATTGATATCAATATTCTGGGCCTTAATAAGTTGAAGGCATGCAAATAAACACTTCGAGGATGCTCCCAGTCGAACACCCATCAATGCTCCGTTTCGACGAGGAAACAAGAGCCTTGTTCTCAGCCAAAATTGCCAGCAGCATGCTGCTACATATTGCTGAAAATGGCGGCGTTGTGTCTGACAATGGAATGACATCATTCTAGACTACGAGTTTGAGGGAGCTGAGGAGTTTTTGGGATAAATATGAGAAAATCTATGATAACGTTGAGCCGTAGACTCCCCTGAGTTTGTGGGACTGAAGATGACTATTTCTAAAAGCAATCCATTAGGTACTTTGTTGACTGCAATGTCTCCTTTTACATACTCTAGTTGTGAGAATTCAAGAACTTAAAAACAGTTTCAGTACGACTTGATCAGCTACGACACCGGCAACTCCACATCCAACGATAATCCAGCTCCATTTATTGTAGATCTGACTGGGGTCGGGCCAAAAAGCATTCCTTTCGCGGCGGTAGCGATCGAACTCAACTTTCTTCGCAATATCCTCAGCACCATACCTCCTAGCTTGTGACTCTTCGGTTGCCTTAACGCCGCCAATAAACCTTATCCAGATATGGTTGGCAAAAGGCCCCAAAAGGGCGATAGGAGCAAGCATGTCGTTGGCATAAAGAAATAGTGGCCATGACAGCTGCACAAAGCATTCTCCTAAGTAACTGCAGACAAGAATCAGTAACCTAACTCTAACAATTCGGGTAAAGCAAACTTACTTTGGATGGCGCACAATATCCCAAACCCCATCCCGACAAATCTTCCCCTTCGTCTCTCCCATCTCCTCAAACTTCGCCAACTGCTGATCTGCCAACACCTCCAACATTACACCAGCACTAAACAACCCAACCGCCACTACCCTCGCTAAATTCATCCCCCAATGCACGCCAACCGTACCGCCTCCCCCAATATTCAGCCTGAACGGTGTTGTAACTGGTAGGGAGATGATGCTCGAGAACATAACCGCAGGCACGTACTCGGTCAACCAAGCCCAATTCCAAAACTCTCCTCCCACACTCCACGTCCCAAACAAGGTCACTCCGCTCCTCCTTTTCCTCCCTTCATACCTAGAATCATCTTTGCAACCTTCTCTTTTCAACGCCCGACTGAGTACGCGATAAAACAGCCTGCCCCCCCAGAGCGTCACACCCCCCAACAGAGTCTTCTCAGCGCCCGACAACCCCCTCCACGTAGTCCCAAAGGACACTCCAGCACCGCCAATATGCGTATCCCCAATTACAGGCAAATGACACGACCGACTGGGAACGGTATGTCTAAACACAGCTGCCCACCATGCGTTCAGCACGGGGGTTAGCGGCCAAACGATGTCCTTTGTGTCTAGGCGGTCTGTAGCGCGGCCGACAGCGTAGGCGGCGAGGGAGAGAGAGCTGCTAAGAGTGAGAGAGGGGAGGAGGGATGATTTGAGGAGGCCAATATCGAGAAGTCTAGGGGGCAGTGATCGGGAAGTGGGAGGGGTCGTGGTTGGGGTGACGGTAATGGTGGAGGGGCCGCCCCAGGGGTTGGTGGTTGTTATGTTGAGGGCTTCCATGGGGGTGCATTGATTTACTGTCCAGGAACAAAATACTACTGTGATGATGAACACAGCAGGCGATGAAGGTTAGTGAAACGTCTCGCGGTCTGGAAGAGCGGGTGTCTTGGGAGAGACTTCACTTGCTGGGTCATGACGCACTTGCCCGCGTATCGCATTCGCATCGACATTGCCACCAACTAGCTCTGCGATCGGTGACGTCCACGATAGGCATCAGGGTTCGGGTTTAGGTGGCTGATGTCATAGACATTCCGATGTAAGGCGACGAATCTGGACCTCATGTCAGTCTAGAATTTATTGCGGTCTCTATTGGTCCTGTTGATGCAGAACGTTATCATGACCTCCAGAGGAGCGTACAGAAGAGCACAAGCTCGTAAAATTCTAGGCTCTCAGTCTAATCAATGGATTGATTCGGTTTCATAATTTTTAGATTTTAAATCCGCTCCAAATGACAGCCATTGCGGAGTATCTCTCGATGAAGTTATACCATAGCGAAGAACTTGACCTTGAATCGTCCCCGTCACCTCAGCGCCCGCCAAACATAACCTCATCCTACACCGATAACCCATTCTCCGTTATCACCCTCCGCGCCTTACTCCCCGGTGAGTTCACAGCCCAAAATACCCCCCCACGGGTTCCACTACCTCTTAATCCCGCCAACTCTCATACCCATCCCCTCAAAAACGCCTGCTGTCAATTTGGCTCCAGCACATCCGCCTCATTTAAGTAAGCACCTCTCGTGGGCGTGACACTCTTTAATTTATCCATCACCTTCTCTAATCGGCTGTGCATCGCGTTGAACGCACTTACGCGAGCGGTGCCAGAGCCTAAACCGGCGAAATTGGCTACAAAGATATCTGCGTGCATGACCGTCGACCACATATGCTTTGAGATAGAGGTCAGACAAGCTGGGTAACCGAACTCTTCTGCTGGAGCCGAGAAATTGACGCCACAGAAGGTGAAACCTGCCACGACAGTCGCTCTTGTTGCTGTGAATGTCGCGTTGTAACTCGTAGCGTTAGCTCCGGGGAACAGGTGAGAAGCGAAGTATTGCTGCCAGGACCGAATCCGATGCCGGTCTGGGCAGGTGTTGTTGGGTTATATCCTGGGATTGTAAGAGGCGGTATTGTAAGTGTGACCGGAATGCTGTAGCCCTTGAGTGTGGTGTAGAGTGGTGAGAGGAGGCTGCAGATCTCTGTGGACGTGATATTTGGCAGCTGGAAGCGGATTGCGATGCTGTAGGAAAGATCGGACAGCTTTTGGATGCGACTGTAGTATGTGAGACCAGCATTACAAATCTCGCCGGTATACCGCTGGTATGCCCTAACACCTCTCCAAAATGTTTGCAGGCTGGTGACTCTCGGAACAGTGACTGGCATGAATGGGAACCAGAAGGGTATCACTTGGGAGTTCATGTCGATTGTCGTCACGGCTGTCGCTAAGTAGGCCTTCATCAAGGCCGAGGTCAACACATCATGAATACCTAGTACTGTCAGTCACGCTCTTTTGTCCCTTAAAGTCGCCGATGGAGAACTTTGGGATGTACTCGAAATCTTTCAGGTGGTGAGTCTAGATGCTAAGGTCACCAGCTCTGAGAGAACACCCGTCGAAGTAGTGGCCAGAATTCCTGGAACACCAGTTAGTGTGCTACGAGTTCAGTTAGCTCTTATTGAGCATTCACTTGATGATGATTCGAAGATGTCTATTCCGCGCAAACTTGACAGCCACCTGGATATGCCTGACCGTTGTGGCATTAACATAAACAGGAAAACACCATGAGTGCAGTTCGCTGTCGGAGACAGGCTAATCACGTGATTCTCTCCTGTAGCCCAGGAGGTGGGCACGGTCAATGGATCATCGAGGCAAATCGCGTCTGACTGACTTCAGCAATCAGCTACTGGCATCTTGCTGGATCATAGGAAGAGCCTGGGTAGCAGAATGCTCCTACTAGCACTGGTTTGAGTAGGGCACCTCCAAGGGTTTTGTTGAGCATGTCCTATTTCTCTTCTAAGGACCAGCCATCATCGTTGGGACCGACTCTGCAAGGTCGGCCGGTGTATGTAGGCGAGCTGCCGAGACCACCAAATGAGATGTTTTTGTAGTTCCGAGTCTCGATCTCAGTGAGCTGCACTTTTTCCCAGTCGAAATCGGCGCAGAAAGAGGAAAATGCAAACAAAAGATGACAGAGAAACCGCATGTAGCATAGCTTGAGTAGTGCGATTAGGGCGCATTGAAGAGAAGCTCCCTAGTGAATGAGGAATTACCTACTCTATTGCTCCTGCCAACTCTGGGAAATCGTCTTGCTTTCTGCTCTTCCTCCTTTAAAGACGCTTCGGCTAGCATTTTTCTCTCCGAGGCAGGTCCACAGATCTAACTAACAGGATGTGATCGAACCTTCCGCGTCCTAGCCATGAGTGATCGATTAGCAGCCTTGATTGTGTTCGTATTCGGAGGGCAACTGCTACTATAGGGGTGGGAAGGGCTTCGAAGCGGAGGGAGAGGTCACGAGGCCATGTAGAGCATGCATACTGCAATATTGGTCAGCAAAAGAAATTATCTAGAAAACGCGCAGTTGGCTGCTAAAATGCGACATTGCTGACCTTGCTTTCCATTCTTTGGTTACGGTCCTCCCATAGCATCCCGTCTCACTGCGCATGGGGTGCAGGTAGACATCTCGAACACGTCCGGTGAGCTGAGTGAGCGATCAAGACTGTCCAGGTAGAGGGACAAAGCCAATGTTGAACGGCAGTTCGGACTAAATTATTCCTTATTACTGTTCCCGGATTGGGAGGAACATGGTGATTATGGAGATTATATCTCCGCGCGGCCCCACCTACATAATTACATGTGCTTTTGTCAGCCTATGCTATGCTGTATTCGTTTTCTGTTGCACACGGCTAAGTTCTGCGGTGCAACTGGTTACCTGGTGAATGATCAAAACGGTACAGCGCTTTTTTTCTTTTTTCGCAGTTATGAGAGTGGGATTCTAGATTACTTAAGTGATACAAGGTTGTGAACTCATATTACAAGACAACTGATTGCTTCTTGAAGATGTGAGAAATCCCGAAACAGATCTATTTTTGGATGGCTGCCTGACTGGCTAGAAGACTCCCAACAACAGTCAGGGACAAAAGTGGTGAAATGATGTAGGATATCTGGTGAATTGTCAGAGGCTTCTAGAGGGTAAAGACCGTAAGGGTGCACGAACTGTCAGCAACCGTGTAATGTGGACTTCGTCTTCTTTGCTTCCATTAGCGACCTGAACCAGAGTGATCAACTTCATAGCACTCGGACCGGCAGGCATCATCATCAACGCAAACCAAAGGATCGGATCTGATCCCAGAAACGTCGTCTTCGCGGCGAGTAGGTAGATGATACTGATAGAAACCGCAGGCCAGGCGATGAACCGGACCAACAAGATGAACGCAACAGTCCCCCATGGCAAGCAGATCGCGCTCTCATGGTGCCGTCGGGCTTCCCTCGTTGAACAGAAAAGAGAAACACCCGCAACAACAACCGGCAATGTCACAAATAGCCCGCCTATGGTCTTAAGAGATTCGGTCAGCCAGGCTGTAAATATCCCCCCATCTTCTGTTAGGTTGAAGAATGCACGATGCAACGCCGGGATTAAGCCAAGGATGACACCGATGATAGCTCCAAGCAAGGGGGCGTTAAAAAAATCTGCAATAAGGAGAAACCACCACTTCGTTCGAGCACTAAGGCTGTTCCATCTCTTTCGTGGAATCATCCATGGACGTCGGGGATCGGCCTTGGGCACTGGCTGAATGCGTCTAGAGAGGATAAAAAAAGAACTACTCCGAACTGGATGTGGTGATGGGCGTGCTGGTGGTCTTTCGTCAGAGAGCAAACCAGTTACTTCGTTTGATTCGAGGTCGGTGGCGGTGGCCGAATGACGGATTCCATTAGGAATGTGCGGTGGTTTGTCTCCTTCATCCTCCTCCGGTGGGTTCTCGGAGTCGATTAATCGGGGACCAACCGCAAAGGTGATACAGTTGGATACGGTCGAGAAGATGAGGAAATATGACTTTGCCCGCTCGATAGCTTCTTTGGTAGTTTCATCTGTTACGACCAGAGACTCAAGAACTCCGGTGTCTTCCAAAGCAGTGATCAAGAGTAGTGGATAGCTAGTCGTATTATTGACCAAAATGGCAACTGTAGCCCAATCTGGCATGCCGAGGGCAAAATTGGCAGCAGTTCCAACAAAGAACGAAATGAGATGGCAGATGATGGCCCAGACGAAGATGATGACATATCTGTGGGCCGATGCAGCATGGAGCTGGGAGCCGACTTTGGTGATGAGCAATGCTGGAAGAAACATGCGAACACATATCTTTGAGATTGGCTTGGTATTTATGCGGTCAATGAAGCCGAGAAATGCTGCCAGGCCACCGTAGAAGACGACTAAAAGGACAGAAAGACTGGCTTGGATAGCACTGAGGAACGACTCTTGCAGGCCGGCAGAAACCATGATGAAGATTAAAAATGCGTAGACATATCTCTCATTTTTAAGTTGAAAAGGCGACTTTGATCTAGACTCTCCAGTTTTTTATCGCTCAAACCGCTGACATATCATGGGCGCACTTGAGAGATCTGTGTTACCTCAAAAGTGCTGGGAATTGGCTTGGGGTCCAAAGGTGCATAGAAACGTCATTGCCATTGAAAACAAAGGACGAAGGATGCTAAAGTTTAACAAGGTGGAGAACTGTGTGAACGCGAGTCAAAAGGGCGTGGACGATATGACGTCATCAGATCAACGGACAGTGCATGATCAAACGTTCTCAACGTACAATCTACTATTAAGAGAACTGAGAGCTGAATAACAATGAAAACATAAGATAGTCCGCAGTGAACATCTCGAGTGAAATTCTGACATCTCTCGGTATGCTCATGCGGCATACAGCTCCTTGATTACTTCCACCAGCTCAGTCTTTCCATTCCGGATCTCAGGCTCGTAGCCGCCGTTGTACAGCTCGTATAGGACCCCGCCCTCCAGGAAGCTGATGTTCATCTCGGTAAACTCCTTGGCCACGGCCGGAGGGAATACAGCTCTGTAAAAGTCGAGCAAGCTCCCCTTAGGAACAGGCCGGACCTCGATGCTCCTACTGGCAGCCTCCTCAAAGGCCTTCTGCACATCAAGCGAGCTGTATTCACGGGGGCCGTACAATTCGAAGATGTAAGGACTCGAAGTTAAGGGGGTGCCTGTGGCTAGAAGCTCCTGGGCACAAGTGATGCCGATGTCTTTGACAGCAATCTACAACCGGGTTAGACTCAAGTTGACGAAGACAGAGAACAATATCAGGCTCACCATTGGCAAAGGAAAGTCGAGAGGAGTAATGGTTGAGAAGAAGAAGCCCGCTTCCTTCACGGTCTCAAGAGACGAAGCCCAGTTCTCCATAAAGTAGGCGCAGCGCACAAACACCACCTCAGGGGCAGCGTCCTTTAGGACAACTTCGGCCGCATGGTTGGTGAGAATCTCTCCCTGAAACAAGTCTCAGCATCCGCCTAAACACACAGAATGAAGACAAATGGTTACGACATACAGTTCCACTCTCGAGCTGGGCCCCAACGCTCGTGATCAGAACCAGCCTCTTGACGCCGGCTTTTTGAACCGCTTGCTTGACGTTCTCAGATACCAGATGAGCATGCTTGACGATGTCCTGCTCGTCAAAGTACAGAGGGGGAGTGATGTTCAAGACGGCGTCAGAGCCAGTAAAGTCGATGGATGCAGCATCCTCCACGTTGCCCTTGACAGCCTCAAAACGGGGGTCAGACTTAAACTCCTCTGGCACACGAGACAAGTCGCGGTAAACACCCTTAACCTTGAGAGAAGAATTGGAGGTGTCCGAAAGCAGGGCCCGGATTGTGGCAGCACCCGTTTTTGGGGAGGCTGGGGCGATTGTGATATACATCTCGGCCGTTGATTAAAAAAGGCTTCGAAGAGAGGAGGCTATCCGGGTGTAGGATGTTCAGTTGATAGGAAATTGAGCGGTGTTCTTTGAAGTCTAGAGTTATCGTGTTGGCCTGGAGGACTGACTGGAGGCGTTGGGGACGCTAGGGCAGCATCAATGCCTGGAGACCCCGCGTTTAAATTCTTCTTCGATCTACACTGCAATGGCTCCATGTCATCACTGCCTAGAAAGTGGAGTGAAAGCCCAGCATGTGGATGGAGTCATCGACGGAGGCACTCTTCCACGCATCCATCATTGAGTCAAGATGGTGGTGAAGATGAAAAGGCTGTAGTGGACACCAGAACGCCACTGAGACGGTTTGGCACCAGCAAAGACGTGGGAGTTGACGAGGTATGGCTTCAGGCCTCATTGTTTAATAATCACGCCATTGTCCCCTCCAAATTGAAGTAGTTGGACGGACGGAAGTTCAGACAAATCCAAAAAACTAAGATTCTTGTAGGTTGCCAAGAGTGCAAAGTCAGCAGTCAGACGGAACAACTTGCAGTGTTCGAACCAATAACAAGTCACATATTTATCAGAGTGGGTCTCGGCCCTGAGTGGAGTGATTGGCAAAACGGTCCGCTTTTCATCCGGCTCGGGGCAAGTCTTCGGCCGAACTCGGCGCCGACCCTAATCTCCACATTCCATATCTAGAAAAGTGTAAACACTGCCCCGAATCCACGTCTCCGAGTCCTTCCGCTCTGTCTTGCGAAGTCTACAGGCTTTTTGCTGTGCCCCACCATTCACCATGTCACGGAAGTTACATTCGCCAGCCAGGCGTTTCCTGCCGGCAGCAAGCATCTTGTAGTCGTTCCTTCCGTCGAACATGTCAGTTCTGGAACCACTGTGCGGATCTCGCCGCTGAAGGCAACCCTGCATCGAGCGCGTCAGCCATCCCCCGATGTTGCCAGACATAAGTCTCCCGGTGACAGGACTTACGGGTTCTTCGCATCAAGATCGTCGCACTGCCATTCCACCTTTAACGCGAACACCTTAGTTTCACCATTATATCGGAACTGGCATCCTGTCGGCGCCAACGCGACATCGCCAATGGACTCGAACTGGCACTTGGTCCAAGTTATGTTGGATGCTGTTCTACCAGACGTAAAGTCGACACCCTTGTTGAACACTATACTCGGGAAGTCAGTCGCCTGCGACCCTACCGGTGCGAACTCGATCCCAAAGCGTAGAGATCCGAGAGTTCCGTTGCTGATTGTGACAGTCTCGAAGTCACTCAGTCTCCATGCTGGAGAGACAATTGACGAAATCGTGCAGCTGTCGTGGGTCGGAAAGGGGTCGGTCAAAACATAAGGAGGGAGTGTGGATTGCGAGACGATGCGCCCCTTGAAGCCTGCCTCATCGGCACTGAAGCCTGAGCAGAATGTGGTTGTTGGGTTGAAGTCTTGACACTCAACCTCTAAGGTTGTGCGGCCACTGGCTGTGAGGCTTACTCTTCACCGTAGGCAGTGGTTAGCAGACTTTAGTTGGGTGAGCTGGGCGGAAATAAGGGAGACTCACGGTTCTGCAGGATCCGTGTCGTCACAAAACCACGTCTGGTTAACCGTGACGGAGAAGGTTACAGGATCAAGTTCAATTGAGGTCTGAATTTGGTACTTGGGCTGTCGCTGAACAGTCATTTGAGGGGAACAGAATAATACTTGCCGCCCTGAGCCTTGGAAAACGCCTCCACAAGTTGCGCTGTACCCCAACACCCTGTTTTGGATAGTGATGAAGCCGGTGCCACCGCGAATGGTTCCCAATTCCTTTTGCAGGTTGAGTTGGGCCGAAGTGACAGCCCAGGATGGCTCTTGTGAGTTTGCGAAGCAACCCTCGGTATCGTGTCCTTGCGGTCCGCTAACGTATGCTGGTGTGATTCGCACCGGGAAGAGCAGAGTCGCTTTGACCAGCAACGGCTTGGCCGACGTACATGTTTCTACACCAGTTTCACTGCTTGAGCAATTAAGTAGGATCGAACTATTTCCAACTGCGCTGAATGTGATTCTGTTGAGGAAATAGCAGTCAGTATTATGATTACCTCTCAGCAGTAAAAGGTTAATCTGCTCACGGTTTCGTTGTGTCAGTGTCGCCACAGCTCCAGGTTTCGTTGAAAAGGAAGGACGCCGTTGTTTCGTCCACTTGAACTGCAGCTGTCAGCGATTGGTCTTTGCTATTCTGAAAGCTAACCGAGCAGCTATGCCATCCCGTCGCCAGACTCGCCGCGGCAGACTGGCATCTCAGGGTTGCCGTAGCATCTGTCGCTCTATTGTGGGCCTGGAAGGAGACTACTGTAGTGTTCTGAGTTGCTAGGTATCGGAAGTCATCAATTAGCCAGCTAGGTGTCGTGAATGATGTTGTTGTGCACCCAGCAACAAGTTGTGCATTCACCAGTCCCCATCCTACTGTCGGTATGAGGATCATGGCGAAGATTGGGACAGAGCAGCCTTTCGCCATGTTGGCGCGTACACGGTCATCCAGTCAATTGGCTAGTGATAGTGTTTAACACATTTGTCCAATGCCCAGGCACTTTATTTCATTGTCCAGAGTGCCTAGGCCTGACCCCGCAGCACAGCCAAGGATATAACCAATCTGATCAATATGAGGGTATTCCGGCTTTAATCTATGTCGCTGGTCCATACTTACACAACGCCGGTAAATATGTTTGCCATAATATGTCTGCATCCAGCCACTATGATCACTCAGTATTAACTCGGAAGTTTCATTATATTGAGCAATCATCGTCTTCATCTACTGAAGCTAGTCGGAGTTGTTCAACTGCCGTAAGGCAGAAATATTGCCGATCGCAGATTGTCAATGTCATTGTAACCCTAAGCCTGGACCCCTTGCAGCAGGTGTATTCTGGAACCATTTTGGAACTCTTGTCCATGTTCTATAGAGGTATGATTGCGTTGCTTCTCCGACTTTAGCATCAGGATGCTGTTTGAAGTATCCTTGGATTAGACTTACCAGTGAAGAAATATCATTTACCAAGTAGCCCGTGATCTTCTCTTACCAGTTTTTCATCAAAACCTTCTGAATGATACCAGCTATCGTGTCAAAGCTAGCAGGCCAAAAACTATAGAAGATGAGTAGATGGAAGTGTCAATTTAGGTTTAAAGCTTAGCCCGACAAGATCAACTCACACAATACAGACAAAAAATCGCACAAAGCTAGTCGCATAGGGAGATGGAAGAAATTCCCATTAGTGGATGGCTCTAATGAAATGAAGATTTTGTATTTGTATGAAGTACACAAACGGCACAACAACACCAAGTATCATGCAGAGCACCTCCAAAGTCACCAACATTGCAAGCTTTCGAATGCCTAGGCAGATGTTTGCGTCCGATGAAATTATTAGCACCCTATTTTAGTCAGAGAAAACACGAAGTCTATTTACTCGGTAAGCTCATCGCAAACATGCCTTGGCGATAGCTACAACAGGTTCTCATCGTTTTGTCTTGACTCAATTTCAATATTGCTATTGTGGGATACTTCAGATTATTTTTGTCCTCGATGCTGACTACATCGTCTGGAATTAAACTTCGTAGAGTTACAGGTTGCACTGATGTCTAGCAGTCCTATGGCTACCGAGACTTCAACCTCAATCAGTGTTATGAGCCAGATGATGGCAAGCAAGACGGCTAATTCGTGCCTCAAGGGATCAATTACCATACGCGAGATATCATCAAATGCTGACAGTATGCTCAGCATCCAGGCACATCAAATCAGGAAAGATGAGTAAACCAATATTGATAGGGAAGCAAATAGAGACTCTAGTGAAAAAGAAAACTGGATACGAGGAGTTATGCTGCTCAGAGCACACAAAAAGCTCGTTATCCAATGGATCGTGGATATAAGCAAGGATTTACACGCCGATTGAGTCTCAGTAGGATTCATGCTGAATGTTCTCACAAAATCATGCGGCCATGATATATATGTATAAATCAGGATGTGATCTACAAGTTGCTAATGATGTGAGAAGATCAATAGCAACTCGAGCAGGAAGGAAAATGACCGTAGTAACACTTGATAATGATGCTGTTAGCTGCAAGTGGACCACAGTGTGGTCACCGTTGACCTTCCTCGGTCAGGTGCACATTTGACCTTATATAAGATCCATGCTCATCCACCCTCACGTATGTGTAGTTTAGAAGGCAGAGCGTTGTTATTCTGCAGCACCCATTGTGCTTGACAGATACCCTCAGGGCTGCGTGTCCTGTAGGACAACGAGCAAGTAAATACTCTCATCCATATCACCATTTTCCTATACATCCAACAGGTGCGATTGGTGCATGTGTGAACGGACTCAAGGGAACCAGAGGGAGTATGGATCATGGACAACTTTTCAGGCCAAGCAGACGGTCACTTAAACCGGCTGTAACAAGGGACTTGGTCTGGTGAAAGCAGTGATCGACAATGGGTCAAATGGGTTAGATGATAGCCACCGACAATGTGGGTACACAACAAAGTCAATTAATACGTGTAATAATCTTTCTTTGTCCTCAGTGTCCTTGTGTTGGGGAGAGGAAAAACCAAGAGAAATCCTCCATCGCATCCAGGCAGCTTCCTTTATGGAGCCCTCTCGCCCTTGTGAGTGCCTCGGCCTTCCAGGCTTTTAGAGGTCTCGTCCTCCTGCCTTGGCCATCTGGCTCATTCGGTTGTGTGACTCCATACGTCTTCTGCGATCAACCATGTATTTGTGTCGTTCACAATAATTTTATCTCTGGTGTTCCTTGTGTTGGCAGTCGGGATACCCCTTTCCTTGGACTGCCGTGTTTGTGTGACATGGGTATCCGGGAAGCTTTTCACTGGCAGACTCAGGACTCTCACTTGAATCTTGTGTTATAACAGGATAAAGAGTTCACTTGAATGCGGGCTCCATTCCCCAGAAGCTAGAAACTGGCTCAATGGTGCAAACTACAGAGCGAACAAAAAAATCGAACCTTTCCACAGGATTTAAGCCCTGCCGGTATCATATGCGGAAATTATTGCGAATAGTCGTTAGCGTTTAGTCGATCAAGGTTCAAAATAGTGTCGGGCGAAAAGTTAAGTTGTATTTCTGACAAATAACTCGCTCACAGTCGCTTCGTATAATCCCTCACGGCAGCTGCCCTGCCGCAACGCAAGTCACCAGTCAGCGTTGCGGCTGAGCAAGGCTCGACTAGTCGACGCGCTTGCTCGTCAATGTCCATAATTCAACATATTCTGCAGAATATGTCACACTAACAATTGTGAGCTTTCACTGTGTGCGGTATGAGATGCTGGGAAGGGCGAGGGACGTGACAGTCAGCAGCAATATAGGGGATGAAGCAGAGGGCCAACGTTAAGGGCAGGGATCTCCGGGGGGAGGGATGAGGCTAAGGGCTTTGACATGGGCGGCAGATATGGGGATCTTAATGGGTCAAAGATGGAACCAGAGCAGACAGACACCATCAAGGGGCAGAGCTCTTGGGCGAAAGGTGTGCAAGCTGGGGTCAACAAGGGGGCCAGCGCTGGGAATGCAAAGGGGCGAACCCCAATTGACAGAGCGGATAGGCAAACTGAAAGGCAGGCCTGTGAAGAGAGATGCTTATCACGATGCCAAGCACTAATCGGAAATGGCAGATTTTGGACATACGGTCGTTGGAGTCGATCTCACTTTTGCGCTTGCAGCTCAAATTATTCAGCCATCATCCAACCAACAGCCGAACTTCTGCTCCCAAGCTTAAGGGATATTTTTTTTTAGCTCTCTATCGGATTTTAGTTTCTTCAGAATATATGCTGGCGGCTACCACGGGCGCAGGAGGTGGGCGAAGGATGTGGGCTTAGATATGGAAGTCTTTGAGCGCGCTGGGAGTGCCCAATGAGGAAAGGAAAGGGAAAGATAAGGTAACTCTCAGCGAGTGGCCGTGTTGGATATAAAAGAATATGGTGGATGCGGATGGAGTATTTACTTGTGTGTTGCCCTGCAGAATACGCGGCCCTGAGGGAATCTGTCAAGCACAATGAATGCTGCAGAATAACAACGCTCTCCCTTCTAAACTACAGACGCGTGAAGGGGGATGAGCATGGCTCTTATATAATGTCAAGTGTGGAGCTGACCTCAGTGGAGCCCGGGCTGACCGAGGTAGGTCAACGGTGACCACACCGTGGTCACTTGTGGCTAACAGGCCGAGTCAACAACCTGCTGCGGACAGATCATTTTTGGGCGGGAAGGGGGGAATGGGGGAAGGATTTGACAGACAAACTTCAGATAGAGAATTTATCATGCTATGGACTTGTAGGCGGCTGTATAAGGTTGCGGTCTGCACAGCTCCCTTCTTTTATTAATGGAAACAACTTGAGCTAGCGATGTCAATGACTTTTTAGCTGATTTTAGATGGAACTCCTTATGTTGTTGTGCAGACTTTGACTGGACTCTTTTCGGTAGACATCTCGATAGCAAGGTTAAATTACACGTTTCTGAAGGGACTTTATCTCAAGATTTATATATGGAACTTGGTGGACTTTTTAAAGAAAAAATCAAGTGTCTTGATATTAGTCACCTAGGATGACGAAGCTTGGAACCTGAGCTCATATTATGAGAAGAGGATGAATTGGTACCGTGGAAAATGTCTATTTATCATTTGGGTGCGGATCTTAAGTTTGGTAACCACTCATCCATGACAAAAGCAGAGAGCAATTGGGTACTTGTACGTAAACGTGACGAAGAGAATAATAACGTCTTATTTGAGAATTGAAAGCTCTGTAAAACCTATTCCATGCTGACAAATCAGAGAAAGTGGCTCGGCAAAATCGATAAATGAGTTGCTATCCAGATGCTCAATCCCCAGGTTTATAGGAAGAATGTAAATATGCGGAACATATAGGCTGAAGAGTCAAAGTGGAATCTTGCTTCAAAGCATTTATCTCAATATTGAATGGGTAGTCCAGGACAGGCGAATGAAGGTAATTGTGATGCATCTGTGCTCTTCAAATGTTCCTTTTTTGTGTTCTCTTGGACCATCCGTCTTTTAGTTAGAGATTCCTGCGATATTCGAATCCTATCAACGAGATTGTTATTGGTGTACTCAATGCAAATGCTACTTAGCATTGGCCTGGCACAATGACTCGGCTGAGAATGGGATACAAAATGTATAGAAGCAACGTTGGTCACATCCTTATTCAAGGAAACACCTGCAATACAGCGTGTAACATCATAGCAGATACAAAGAAAGCCCATCTTTTATAACAATCCTTTGGATGATTCGAATTTGTTTGATTCCTTCTGAAAAACAAGCATGATACGCACCTACATCTGTCATTGGGAGCTATCCGGACTGGACATAGTGCTTCTAAGTAATGAGTTTGGCTCAACTGCGTTCCTGAGTCATTCTAGGTTTGTTCAGGCCAATTTATCTTCTTTGAGGTAACTGGTGTTTCATAATGCTTGTAACTAGGTTAGTGGCGCGACTTTTCCTGATGACCAGGTGTAGGTGAGCAGCAAGTCAGGGATCAGGGGAAAGTATACAAGCTTTGGGTGGGGCTGTCTAACAGCTTTTAATCCCACTTTTTGACCCATCACTGTCCACAGCAACAAGCGCTTGACTTTGGCTTCACGCTGATGCTGACGATAAGGACAAAGGCCTTTGTTATGTGATGGTGTGAGGTGCTAAAGATTTCCAAACAGAAGACTTGGATAACAAGTCAAGGCTTCCTCGATGCGTATCATGAGAGCTGTGACCCCGTAGGCATCCTGATCATCCTAGATCTTGCGGGGTTGGTTTGGTCCACCCCCAACAAGGATACACTGTCCACTTGCCATGAAGGCATACAGGGGATGAGGAGAAGTGACAATTCAGGTTGCAGTAAACATCGAATGACTGAGATGTGCAAAGCAGTCAATGAACTAGATTATAACTTGGCTTCAGGACAAGGTTAAAACTGGAGCACTATGTCTCTTGCAAGATGATCTAGACACTATCCACTCCTACAAAATTAACGACATTATCTAACATAGTCATAACCGTACCTTATCCCAGTGTAACTTTGTTACATGTTCCAAGTACTATCACAGCTTTCACCAGAACCCATATGAACTACAGTGAACACCTTCAGGTTAACCAGCCTCACACTGAAAATGCGGTGTTTACCGGAACCTGAAAGGCCTAAGCCGTCTAGCACCAGCGGTAGAAATTGCGCTTGAAACCGTTGTGCTCATGGGAGGAGGATCCTCAGTAGCTGGCAGCTCTGTTTTCTGAGATATTAGGGGGGGTCGAGGAGTCTTCGTCTTCGTCTTAGACTCGAAGGCTGAGGTGCTGTTACTGGACCGAGCTTAAAAGTATGAATGAGTGTGAAAAGGCGTTTTCTTGGTCTGGCTTGTTGCGATGGATGCCACTGTTCCTGTGGCCTCAGGGCAGTTGGTGGTGGTGATGATCTCGGTCTTGCTTGTGCTAGTTGTGCTGACCTCGCAGGTAATTGTCACAAACTAAGTTGAAGTGGACATCGTGGCCGTGGTAGAAGTAGGAGGAGGAATTGTAGCGGTTGTCGTGGTGTCACATGGATACGGAAGTCCAAGGAGAAGAAATATCCTTGACAGTCGACATATAGAACACCAGTGACACAAGAGCTGAGAAGGGCAAAGGCATATCTGATTGATAGATCCCGGGAAATATGAGGGGGCGGCAAGAATGAGTTAGATAGCCTTGCCATGATGAGGAAAACCCCTGAAGATTGCAGGAAACTGCGAGATACTCACAAGGGCAAAGGGATTTTATAATAGGGCTACTTGCACACAATGAAGGATTTTTCTTGGTTTTCCTCTCCCAAACACAAGGACACTGAGGACCAAGAAAGATTATTACTCGTAGCAGTTGACTTCGTTGTACACCCCACATCGTCAGTGGCCATCATCAACCCATTTGACCCATTGTCGATCCCTGTCTGCATCAGACCAAGTCACCCATTACACGTGGTTTCAACGTTGCTCATGGTGGTCTCGCAGTTGTCATTATTGTATCATGTTGAGATTGAGCTCATGCTTGTGCTGCTAGTGGCCTTGCTCTTATTGCAGCTGATGCTGGTGAGTACATCGCTCGAAGTGGTCGTTGAACAACTATTTGGAGGGATAATGATGTAGGAGACTTCGCAACCAATGCCCGTAGAAGGAGGTTGATCACAAGGGTAAGATGTGTAAGATATAGTTGGGGTTTCAGGGCAACTGCAGTGTTGGGTGAGTGTCGAAAGTTGCAGGCAGGGAAGCCGGAAATATGTACGACACAAGTTGGTTGAGATAACAGTTGGGCAGGCAGGGGGAGGTTTATAAGGAGGACTAGTAACGTGGTGCCAATCGAATCGAATCGAATTGAATTGAATTGAATTATATTTTGGACCCGTCTCACCCTTGAGGATGCCTGGTCGTGCCCACGACGGCGGCAGGCAAGAGGTGGTTATGGGTTGCCTAAACTATACTGTATACATGCGGGAAAATCCAAGGGAAAAAACGGTGTGTTGCTGTGAGGAGATATCATAAATGAGAATGGGAAATGGGCTAAGTGGGGAGAATCCCAGGGATTTGAATATTCAAGCTAGACATTTCTGACTCTGATTGTGAGTCGCTGGGTGGGTGACGGTTTTGGGGGCGTTGTATCAAGCGAGGAGAGGAGACAGGAGGGCGCAGGGTGGGAATAGTTAGCCCCGTCTGTTCATCTCGCGCGAAGCCGTGAAGCTCCAGTTGTATTCTCCTGTTCTCAAAAAGTTGGTGCGAGTGCCAAAAGGCTCTTGGGTCCAGACACCCTGCCATAGGGTTATTGAAGGACGCGAGGGGACATCTCAGGAAATGGCCCTTGAAGCCTATCGAACCACAAGGGCAGGTTTTGATAGCACTCGGGGGGTGGTTGAACCTGACATGGTACTCTAGGAAGTCTCCGTGTCCAGATGCCTCTGCGACCCATCTAGCCAGACACTTTCCGTCGAAGAGAGCGAGGAACGGTTTAGCTGAGGGGCCATCCCACAGGCTGGATTGAGGCTTGTTCGACCGCCACCATGATGCTATGCCAGGGGGTGGGATCTTCCGTGGTTTGAGAGGGCTTGGGGGTAGCCCTAGCCAAGCCCGAAGCCCGGGTCGCCGGAGCTCCCAGACAGGGCGTCTGCGACTAATTGGTGCTAATCGTTTCCTGTAGCAGTGACTGGTACGACTCTATCAAACAAAGCTATTGGTAATCATGCACGGCAAGAACTTTGAGAAGGCAACCAGTCAAGGGAACTTACGCTGCAGTTGCTGCGGCAAAAATAAACGACGCCACCCTGCTGTTCATCACTGACCTTTCCTTTGCCTAAGCGAGCACTAGTATTCAGAGCTTTTGTTGAAAAAGCGAGGGGCAATGATGCAAAAGCGAGCGACGGAGTGAGAAACAATAATTTAGGAGACATTGTTGACGATAAATATAAAAACTCGGTGTAGGTTGTTGTAGTGTCACATCGGACTTTGATCATAGCATCTTGCTGGCTGTGAGTTTCTGTCAGCAGGTATGATATCCTTTAGAATCGGTTCTCTAAGGTGAGCGTGCTGAAAGACCGAAAACGGTGCTCAAAGGTCAGGCAGGCGTGATCTAAGCCTATCGTCGTATGCTGGATATCGATGACTGGGCGGGGTAGCTGAGGTTAGCTTTGTGTCGGTTATCATTGGCTCTATCCCCTCCAAGACTGAACTCAACCTCATATTCTGAACGCCACAGATGTTGATGGGGGGGAAAATCCCTGGCATTGACCTTGTGGTTCCGATTAGGATGCCAGTCGTTCGAGCCATGAGATTATAGTTCTTGATGCTGCAGGCACATGCAGTTGGGTTGAACACGAATTTTCTAGGCCGGTGTCATAGTTATAGGCAAGGGATGTAGTACAAAATAACCAACAACCTGACAATCCATCCATGTTGCTACAGAGACAACAGTTAAGATGGGCTGTTGTAACTACCCCTGAACCCTTGCGAAGTCAATATGTCGCTTAAGATCAAATGATTTGATTGCTATTCATCCAGAATAGCGGTGCTTAGCCTCTACAGGCTGGGGCTAACTCTCTAGATATTTGAGGCCATTACCAACTCGTTAAGGGCTTCTTTTAGGAGCTGTTTGCTTTTCTTCCAACCAAAGCCTGCCTTAAACGCGCTAGAGCCTCTAATATGGCCCCCTGGCGAACTTGCTCCCTTGACCCAGGAAAACTAAAAGGACCCCATGTCTGGGTATCATCTGAGGCCGCAACGGCGAGGAAGACTGTCCCAACATCTTTACCTTGCTTATCGGGCCCAGCATCGCCCGTCGTTCCGAGACCCCATGTCGCCTCAATACCATCCACGGCTGCAACACGACGTGCTCCTTCAGCCATTTGTGCGGCAACAGAAGCGTGAACAACGCCCTCACGTGCGATTAGGTTTTCATCTACACCAAGAATGTTCTCTTTGAGCGGAATGGTATAGGAAACAACACCGCCTCGGACACACTCGCTGGCACCAGGAACTGCGGTCAAGGCCATCATAACTCCGCCACCTGTTAATGATTCCGCCACCGCGAGAGTTTCCTTAGACTTTCGGAGAAGGTTTATCACATCGGATGCAATGTCAAACATAGTTTCGGTGCTGCGAGGAGTCATGGTGGTGATGATGAGAGACAAAGTCGGAAGTGGGGTGTAAGGAAACGTTGAAGGTCGCTTCACTGAGACTGATGACAAGTACGTGTGGAGTGCAGGCTGGGAAGCCCTGTACAAGAAACAGAAACCCAAGTAAGTAGCTCCACGGTTAGATAAGCCGGCCATTACTGTCAAGTTGGGCAGCAACTCCATAACTCAAGAGAGCATGGCCAGACGCCTGGAGATTTGTCGAGTGTGACGGGAGGTATTGACTCAACATATCAAGCCAGACAATATTCAATTTTGGCAAGCTGAGAAGCAGGAATGGTTCAAAATAACCAAGTGGCGACCGGTCAGTGAACGTCCAGAGTCAAGGTGGGCATTTTCCGGTGGAGCGAGGTTCTTGCATTTCATGACGTCGAACTCATAGGAGCTTGAAGTTCGATTGGTGCGCCAAAAATTATGCTTGTGCTTCCTGGGTCAAAGCTCGAGTACTTTAAGTCCAGGAAGCATAGGTATCTTTGCAGGGGCTTTTTGTCTGTAGTGATTGTGCCTTGACGCCGGTACGGTAGTCAGGTACAATAAAAGTCACCAAAACATACCATGGGTGGTGATTAATGAGGGCTTCATCGCATCATGCAGTTCCACAAAACAGATTAACGAACAACTGCCGGGCTTCAAAAAGCCTGAGTCACCTGACTGTCAACGGATAATGCATGGGGGTGTAGTTGTTCTGACAAGTATTACAAGGGCTGGGGTTGTTGCGGGGAGGAAAAGGAAGGTGAGTTGAACTTTTAGAATAGGGAAAAATGAAATTCCAAACTCCCAGAACCCTCAAACCAACCAACAATCACCGAGATGTCATCAAATTCCGCTGACTGTCCTTGGCATAAAACGGTCACCATCCTGTGTTGTATTACTTTGAATCACGTACTGCTGCTATAAGTCTGACCAATCTGTTTAAGCCAAAAGGAACATCTACTCTCGGATGGACTGGGGTCGTCAGCGTGAGGCCCGATTCTCAGCCAATTCCGTCGCCCCAATTGCTTCAGAAAACCACTTCCATGATCTCCAACGTGCTTACATTGATTCCGAACTCGCGCTTCGTCCATATCCGCAACTCAGTTGACATCATGGGATCCAAGCCAATATCCGCCAAAGTCAATTGCGTATCTATTCTCCTTGCATGTCCAACCGGCTTCAACATGAGCTCCTGCACCTCCAGCCCAAGTTCACGTGCGAGAAGCTCGACATTTTATCTTCTCCGAGAAAGTTTGGCCGCGTAGTTGATGTCTTGCCCAGCAGCTGCACCAAAGGATCTGATTTATGTAAGACGATAAGGCGCTTTCCTCTGCGTTGGCCATGCTTTTCTCTCATCGGCCCGTAGCAAATTATGATACAATCCCATGCGATGGTTGCGTCGCCAGTTTGTCCGGTTGTTGGAAGCATCAAGATATAGCTCTGGTTTTAGTCCCATAACCACCTGACGTTTTGCCAGGCCAGCTGCGACGTCGGCTGGTTGCAGCAATAACAGCTTGCAACTCGCTCCATTTTATGTCGAGAAATGATTTGTCTTCTAGTGCCGTCGCCAGTTGAAACACGCCTTTGGCAGGCTTCCCAGAGGCCATGACCGGTCTTTCCACATCCTCCTCATTTTCGGCGCTTCTAGCCAATGGGTGAATTGTGCAGCCTATGACCGCCAGTTCTTCATAAGCCTATTTCCTTTTGACCTATTCCTGTACTGCTGCGGGATAATATTTTCAGATCCTTGATTTCATTTCCAAATAACCAGATGGCAATTGTGGTCCCCAAGCCTTTCGAACCCCCCAATAAAGAGATACAATCCTCTAGGTCCAAACTCCAAGGCTACATCCGGCAGAACCTTGAGGCAGGTACTGTCGCTTGATCCCTGCACGTGACGATAACATTACCAAGATCGCCGCTTTGCAAGTGCTAAAATGCCTGTTTAACTTCTTCGGTTCCGAAACGTGTCATGGGCCTCAACGGCTGGAACAACCCTCGATAGCGCATATTGAGAAATTTTCAAGCAACATGGCAATTTGATCTGGGTAATCGGCGACCAGTTGTCTGACAACCACTCCAACGTATGTTTTATTCCCCAAGAACGGCTTCTTGGCCAGCCGGCCTGCTCCCAGAAAGTCTCTTTCCTCAGCTCCAGCATCATTCCATATCCGGCCACGCAGGCCTATAACTTGTGCAGCAACTCCAGAAAGAGAACTCGGCACCAGATCTACACCTTTTCCTGCTGTCTGTCTCATTATCCTTTGAGCCGAAAATCTGGTTGTCTTTGAGTTAAGTCTCTGCGAGAGGAGCTCTCGCTTGTTTTGCCCTCCCATTGTAGCATGTATTTTCACTCATCCCACGGCCCGGGAGATCTACAACGTCGCCAATCCAACACTTCCACATGATGAATGGATCAACATTGTATCCCAGGAGCGCAGCCGATCAACCTCAAGGAGCGCATATATGACAGTTGCCAAGCATACCGGTATCGTCACTGCCTCCACAAACGATAAGCTGTCATGAATGTGTTCAGCCAATGATGTTGAAATTGTCAGATGCATTTGGAGCTCGTTGATACCAACTGAAAGAATCATCATACGATTCCTCGGCCTCAAGGCGAGATTGAACTTGGGATAACTCGCCGAACAATACCAGATCCCTCCAAGCCCAACTGAATCTGTTTGTCTGATGGATGAGATGGAATAACTCGGAGCTTGACAAGGACATCACGAAAGTTCAAGCTTATAGCGCGTGTTTTAACTTTCGTTCTGTCCGGGGGCGATGGTTCGGATATGAACTCTTGCCACTCTCTATTTACGGGACTTGAGGGAACCAGGTTTAATGAAGAACAGTACCTGGGCATCCGTGCTCAGTCCAGAAGAAAGCAGCTTCTGACCTAGACTGAAGGATGGAATCGTCCTATACAGACAACATTATCAATTGTGATCTCTCTATCCAAGTTCAGCACAACCTCGTCCTGAACCTTCCCGGTTCCTTTGGATACCTTGATCGCCAGTGAGTTGAATCTGGCTTCTTCTTGCTCGCTATCCACTTTGTGGGTAAGACAATTAGCCCAAGTTCAGTCTAATTGTGTGAAAAGCTTCAATTTTTGGCTTCCTTGAGGATTACCACACTTCGCCTAGAAAGGGCGGGCCAACCATAACACATGCCCATTCTTCAAACGGCGAAGTAGTTGTTGGAAATCCTAAATTTCCTCAGCTATCATATCTCCATTGAAGAGCGGCTTCTCAAGGTCAATGCATGCAATGATGCCTGATTCTCCGTTGTTAGGGGTGTGCATCGATCGAGATTGTGAGGTCATGCGTAAGGGAGAGTAGGGAGCGCGTTGAGGAGGGATGGCTTGTCCTGTTTGATGGCTCCTGGCTGAGCCGGAAGGTTCGAGTTGTGATTTTCTATCCTCCAACAGTTGATATGAGTGCCAAAATGCTCTGGGGTCTAGGCGGTCAGCAAGAGGATCGTCAAAGGAGGACAGGGAGCACTGGAGGAAGTGGCCTCTGGATACTGTCTCGCCGCAAGAGCAAGTTTTGATCGCACTCGGCGGGTATTTGAATCGGACGTGGTACTCGAGGAAGTCACTGTGTCCTGATGCCTGAAGGAGATGTTGGATGGAAAATTAAACTTTCATCTTGTCAACGCTGAAGGGTTAACTTGGCAAATGCTTTCAAAAGAATGGTGCATAGGTATCTTCAACTAGATTGTAAGGGACATACGTCTTCTAAGTGACACTCTTTGGAGTACCGCCAGATTCAGATGTGGTTAGAAATATACACCTCCATCACACAGGTCAAATATGGCCTGACTGTTGATCACCCTTGAGATGATGGATCACATCAAGATCCCAGATGGGGGTTGACTATTGTCATGGGGAAGTGACGTCGGCGAACAGCTGAAATGCACCTGATGACGTGCCCGGATGACTGTAGCTGCATGTAGCTTCCACTACAATAGAGGAGATTCTAGCTTCAGAAACTGGCACTCAAGCAACATCAAGTACACATATGCCAATCCAAATAGCTTGGACATTGTTTCATGATAGCCTTGGCGAACAACCAACAGAATCTGCCTGGAAAGATGACGCTCATGTCCCCTGCTACACGGGATGAACTTAGTAAGCTTTACTCCCCTCAAGGAAGGTATTATCACACCATGGGGCACACAAATGTCCTTCTGAACTTCCTTGAAGCTCACTGTGCACACTTCGCCATCCCAAACGCAATTGAAGCAGCAATGTGAATCTGAGTATATTAGGTGTAAGTGGAAGTGAGCTTGATGCGTATAACACAGCGGTGAGAAAAGAGTGCCAATGAGCGAGCAGGCGGCAAGGCAGGGCGGCTTTGCTTGGGGGGTTCTCGAAAAGAGAGCCAGTCTATAATTCAGACTTGTTTCAGGGTCTGTATGAGCAAAATACAAGGGAGAACATCAGGCCTTTGTCGCTGAAGCTGCAAGATGAGTTATTCTCACTCAAGTGAAATTCAACATCCAAGCGCATGTGTATGAACATGGTACTAACAAAATTGAATCCCGAGGGATTCTGACATCATATTCACACTTTGATGAGAATACATATACATATGAAGTGAAAATATGAAATAAGATTAATGAAAAAGCATGAACAACGGTAGAGCTAAACAATCTGTTATGAGATGAGTGAGGAGAATTGAGTGAACATTCTGGATAAGATGAGGACTGAGAGTGGCATGAAAATGAGAAAAGTGGGTCCGGAACTGTGTCGGTAGTCGTTTTGACGAACTCGAGACCCACTGACAGGTTGCCCCGCTTCCCCGCATGAGAACGGTTGCCTTGCGTCTCCAACTCCTCAATCTTTTCTGTCCTCAGCCCGCTAAACAACCAGAGGAGCAGATCGACTCCATTGAGTGGTATCTTGAGGCGACTCATCACCTGCCCTCCAAGTTCCGACACACCAAGAATGGCATCTGCAGTCGCTCGCTACAAGCTCGTCTTCTACGTGCCCCTCAATGCTGTCGAGGCCTGTAAGAAGGCCATCTTTGCCGCAGGGGCCGGTCGATACCCCGGTGGAAACTATACCGAATGCTGCTGGACCACCAACGGCACTGGACAATTCCGGCCTGGTGACGCTGCCAATCCGCACATCGGAAAGGTGGGCGAGCTGGAGTATGTCGAGGAGGCTTGTGTTTCAACCATCTGCTTCGGTGAGGATGTGGCAAGAAACGCCGTAGCAGCGCTAAAAAAGTAAGACGTTTCACCAATTATCTTCAAATTCAACGTTATTTTTAAACGTTGACGCTTATCAATCCACTAGGGCTCATCCGTACGAGGAGCCAGCTTATGAAGTTTGGAAACTGGAAGACTTCTGAGCGCCTTGTCTCAAGATCCCAGCAGCACTGCAAAGCTTCTTCGAGTCTTATGTCTAATATCTGGGCGTGTATTCCGAGGGTCCCTATATTTGTGGATTGGTGCATGCCCACATGTCGAGGCGTCTTCGGACAGGATAATATGAGAACACAGAAATGAGAATTTCTCATTGATAAGTCGATCCCACCTGTTCATTTTCCCTTGTTTTAGCTATCAGGTCTGCATCATGCATATTGGTTTTGTCAAAATGTGATCTGCTGATATTTAGTTGTTCGTAGTCGACAGCCTCAAAACAGTTAACCTGTCGGCCACTAGGTGTCGACTTTTGTTCGTTCACCATTGTTACCAATGGAGATGAAGTGCTTGGCATGTCCTAAAGTTTCTCTTGGTCGCACGATCATTCTCTCGTCGCATCCATGAATAATCTCGCCTTACAAAAAGCTCATCTATTTTCCTACGCAATGCTTGGTTTGACCATGCAGCATGAGGTTAGAAAGGCAGTTTCACAAAGGCCTGTAAGCATTGCTGACCAGATATGGCCAGGAGCAATGTAAGATCCCGTCACTCCGTGGGGGGCTTCCGGAGTCACCCACCTGTCTCTCCGAAGCCTTAGCTCCTTCTTTTCTCTCTATGCTTACGGTGTTGAGCTTCTCCTTCCGTTTATCACCATCAATTCCTTGATAAGTACACGAAATCACGGTGCTTGATTCTGGCAGCAGTCCACTCCGAATGGTACAGGGACGAGAGCGCACCTGCCTGGACACCGATGTTGACTTGGGCATATATGTGCTTGTGACGGTAGAACCTTAGCTTGCCACGAACTCAGTTGGAATCTTTTCCTCATCTTCAACTCTTTGACAACAGAAGTTGCAAGCCGTTTTTGTGAGCATTCGATGGTTCCATCTGTTTCAAGGCGCTTGTTCTCTCGTTGCATCCTAGAAAACTATCTGACCAAGTCGTTATTCCGTGCAACCATCTCAACTCTCATATCGAGGTCCTAATCAATATCGATTGCTTTGCATCGAATAACGACCACCACATTCAAGTCAGCATGGAGCCATACGAAGAACCACCACTACACGACCACAGGGATGATCCCAGAGTCCTCCGAGAAAGGGCCAAACCGCCCCCCAGAGAGAGAAAACCGGTTTGCACGCTCCATCATCCGCGAATCCTATGCCTTCACGGAGGAGGCACCAATGCTCTCATCTTCAAGGCCCAAATGGCTCGACTTACTAAGAAACTGTCGCCTCATTTTCGCCTCGTCTTTGCCAATGCCCCTTTCGAATCCCCTCCGATCTCTCCGCTCCTGGCCAAGGTGTACAACGAGCAAGAGTTCGGAACATACCGTCGCTGGCTGCGCTTCAAGGAAGAACATCCCGATGTTGATGCTGCAGATGCCGTCAGACAGATTGATGCATCTTTGAAGGAGGCTATCGACAAAGACAATGCAGAAGGTGCCGACGGGGAGCTAGTTGGCGTGCTCGGATTCAGCCAAGGGGGCAAGCTAGCGGCTAGTCTGTTGTACCGCCAGCAAATCTGGGAGGAAAAAGGTTTGGAACTCCCTCTAGGGTTCAAGTTTAACTTCGCAGTGACGATGGCCGGTCGAGAACCTGTCATTGCCTTGGGCCCTAAGGAGATTTATGCCCCGAATGTGCTGCCAGATGCAGGGGAGATCAGCAGCCACGGTGGCGTGGCAGTGTCAGTTGTCCAGAAACTGAAGCTGCCGACATTGCATGTGCATGGACTGTTGGATGAGGGTCTGCCCCTGCACCAAGGACTTCTCGACAACTGGTGTGAAAAGAGCTCTGCAAGTGTGATGTCGTGGTATGGGGACCATCGTGTGCCTCTGAAGTCTCAGGATATTGAAACACTGGCCTGGGAAATCAAGGAGGTTGCCCGACGGGGAGGGGTCAAAGTGCCTAAGCATAACGATGGTGAGTACGTTTGTGGATTGAGACTTGTCCCGGTTAGTGAATTTAAAGGAAAACAAGGTTTCGCTGATCAGTGGGTTGGTGATGGAGAAGACAACGAAAACATTAAGGACACTGGTGACGGGAACAATACTCGCGATGCTGGGGCTGGTGCTTGAACAGGATCTGGCAGGAAACACAGGGAATTGAGCTAAGCATAGTAGTTAGGGCTAGAACGGTGACATTGTATTCAAGGAAGAGAATTCAAGGAAGAGAGGCTCCTAGCATCAGCGATGGTATATCATCCATGGATCACGGCCGAAACGGTTCTGTTGAACTATAAGTAGTCTTAGAGGTTCCGTTAGACTGATAGAAGACACTTGTCCAGCCCTGGCTTAGTGGTTGAATAGACTTTGAGGTTCCCGCCCATGATAAGCATCGCATAATGTGTTTCACCAATGATCAAGTTTGTCTTAGATGTATCTTAGTAGGGCACATCCGCATTTAATCTCACAACAGCATGTTTCTGCCATCAAGACGATGGCAAATACTTTCAATCTGTACTTTCTTTGGCGTGTAGTTGTTCAACAACGGACTTCGTCAGCAGGTGCCTTCTAAATGTTTATGATTCCTTAAGTCCTTTCAGATAACCTTCCATTGTTTTGGCGGTTCGCCATGGGGGTCACCTCGAATTCTTTGGCAAACGTTGATCACAACACGAGACAGACCGCCAGAGCTCCAAAGCTGAGAACTTTGGTTTGCAATGCCGGATGCCCTATTGCATGTGCGTCGGCCTGCCTTACATACATAGCCTTACACACTAAGCACCCGGTCTAAAATAGTCTTCCTTCCCATTGGTGATAACACGTAGCAAGGCCAAAACTGAATGGGAAGCGGGGGTTTGTCGAGCTTTCTCGAGGCTCTTTCGGATGTGCGGCCGATCAATGGAGAAACTCAACTTGGTTGATCATGGCATTTAACTCTTGACAAAACAATGGTATTGTCCTGGGAAGTCTCCGGTTATGGGAACTATTCTGTTCGAGCAGCTCATAAGGGAAAGGAAAACTGCTTAGGCGACCTTCAGTAGAGTTGTCCTCACTTTGCAGTCCCGCTCTTTGAGGGGTCATCTGTCCCAACGGGATGGTAACGGAACTGATAAAGCGCGAAACACTGACAGGGACACCCTTCGTCACACACAAACTATCTCCAGCACCAAACCTCAAGTGTGCGCAAAGCTTCTAAATGCAAAGAAGCTTGCAGAAAGCCAAAGTTCGTTAATTGATTGGTAGGAAAGTGTCTATGGGCCCGCCATCTTCCTATAGTGGTAAGTACGTCACTGCTCAGCTTGGGCCGATGTAAGCTGAGGACTTCCTCGATTCTTCGGATTGGACGACAAAAGAGATTATTTATCGCCTTTATCCTTGTGCCAAAGAAGTCTAGCTTTGTCCAGCACCTTGTTACTATGAAGAAGCATCCATTAATCGATCTCGAAGGTACCGCCCGAGAGGCATTTACACCTTCCTTGGCCAAACCCTGTTTGACGTTTCACAGTTGCATCAAAAGGAGTCATCACGTACAAGTTGCAATAAGCACGAAGAAGGAAAAGCGAGGAGAGCGCCTCTCAGAAGCCACAATATCAGGATCTTGAGCAGTCCGAATTAGGAGACCGTGACGACCAAATTCTCTCACCTAGGAGTTTGAGAAACCGGGAGCATTGACAACAAAAGTATCGGCAATAGTCATGTCCCGAACGCCAAGCTTAGCCCCGCAGTCTCCCCAACTCACGAGGAAACGCAGCATCCGGGACCATTTAAGGGTTTGGAAAAGGTCTACTCCTCAAATGGCCCTCGAAGTTGTCGAGGAAGAAACGACGAAACCCCGACTTCCTTACGTGCCCAAACATGCTGCTGCCGACTTCGCTCGGCTACCCGTCCCAGCGGCCGGCGCAACGGAATCTGGGGGATACCGGAGGCACAGCCTCCCTCAACGTCAAATAATCAACGAACCGCAAGAACTTTTCCATTGGCACTCGCAGTTCTCGGCAACCATGCCAACGAAGAGATACTTCTACACCCTCGGAGACAATCCCTTTCAGGCGTCGCAGAGAGCTGTCCACGGCCCGGTTGACCCCACGCCCATAACTCGGTCTCCGTTGGGCGAAAGTCCGAGCTTAGAACCGGAGCAGCAGCAGCAGTCTGACCACGAACTGACCAATTATGAGCTATTCATTATGCACGCCCAAGCTGAAGAACAGCGGCGGCACTCAGAGCGCGAACGGATGAGCCTGAACAACTTGGTGAAACGTTCTGCAGAAGCTTCGTCGACTTCTCGCGTTTTGCCAGACCCCCACAAGCAGTACGCGTCTGTTATGGAGAAAGCGTCAATGACGGACAGCGGTATGGCGTCAGGTGCACGACATTCCGAAGGTCCCAGCAAGAAACACAACCATATGGACAGAAAAGAACCAAGAAAGGTGCAGGGGTTACTGGAGGGAAATGTCGAGCTACCAGGACGCAAAAACACCTGTGTAAAGGACAGTGTTGGGGGGTCAAAGTCGCTGCAGAAGCAGTACCGCCAATCGTTGTCGCAAGGGAGCAGCCTTCTTGCTGGTGAACGGCAGCCAGGTCATGGTTTGCATCGCCGATCGAGCTTGAAAAAGCGAATCGCGGACTACATTCGACCTCCAAGGGTCGAGTCTGGGGTCGGAAGTGTGGTGGAATAGACAATCTGGATGATGGGTGTGTTTACGACAGCAAATTTCATGATTCAGAATGGTAGCAGGATTCTGTGGCTTGTGGGCATTAGTAAGATACCCTAAGATTGAAAATCAACAGTTTGGAGTTAGTGGCAATGGGTTTAAATCCAGAATAGATCGGCATCGACGTTCCCAGGTTTCAGGGTGTTGTTGGAAGGTTTTGCAGGGATGAGTTAACACAGCATGGACAGCTTGGGTCCTAGCGCATTTTCGTTTGCCAATTCGGAGTTGCCGGTCCTGGGCGACAAGGTGGCCTGCCGATGAGCCATCTGTCTCGCCAAGACAGTGCTCCATGTTGGACACGGCCGACAGCCGTTCGACGGCATATCGACCACTGGCGTCGCAATCTCTGGGCTGAGATGAAGCTGGGAAGGTGGAGTTGGCAGAAGTTTCGCTGCAAGTTCAGACAGATCAGAGCCTTCTGGGGGCCTTCTGGGGTAGAGGGTGGATCGACGACAATCGATCGCAGGCTTGGCGATGGGGAGAAATGCCGGGGTGTGGGGTCCGTCTGCAGTGCGCCCTGAGGATCCAGGGGAGCAGAGCCAAGGGAGTGAACTAGAGCAGGGGGGGTGAGCAACGCGATTGCCGTTGCTGGGAACGGCCGACGCAACCAAATCCGCCAAGCCTGTCAGGGCACTGCGCTGCTTCTGTAGCCACTTCCACTTCTCTCCTCACGTCCCCCGGCCCGGAGCCTTTCAATGGAAGGTTTTGTCGTGAACCGCTGGTTACAAATATACTGCCTGCTCCTGCTGACACAACCCCCCCTGAGGAGACCCCGACAGCGCAAAGGACACGACGTTTTGGCATCGTCCAGGTTGCTGGCACACATCGCGATGGCGTCCCACACGCTTAATGCGCTCCCTATGGAGCTTATCGTCTTCATCGTCGAAAACCTCGACAATGTCGCCGACATTGCTGCGCTCGCCCAGACGAACCGACGTCTCTACAGCACCGCGCATCCTCTTCTTTACAAGCGCGCTGCCCAATGTGGTGATGCGCGCCCACTAGCCTGGGCCGCAAGACACGGCCTCATGTCGACACTGAAGATGGCGCTGGACGCTGGCATCGACCCAAATCACGAGTTTGTGGAGCGCATTTCGGCCGATGATTGGGAAAGGGCCTGTGTTGTCGCTCAAGAAAATGTGGTCAAGAACCGTGGGGGAGAGCTCTGGGATCCTGTCACCAGGAAACCTTGCGAGTCCATACCACCGACTTTGCCCAGGACCGGAGGAGCCGCTGAAATCGACGAGATTGCCAAGCCGATTCGCACATCAGAAACAGCTCAGTTACCTGCCACACCTTCTGTTACCAGTCAGCCCTCATTTACCCCATTTAGCAGGAGTTTCACGTTCCGACCTAGCCTTGCGCCACAACCTGTTAAATCGACCTCTAGTCCTAATTTAGTGACTCGCCGTTACCGTGCCTTGCATGTGGCCGCTAGCCGAGGGTATAATGACATTCTCCTTAAGCTTCTTGACGCTGGCGCATCTACCAATGTTCCCTCCGAGCGCTTTTGCTCATGTGCTCCAGCATACGGCCTGCTCAATGCCCTCGAAAACCCTGAAGATGACCGCGATCCCCCAAGCTGGTCACCTCTCCACATCGCCATCTGTCACTCGCACGAGGAGACCGCCCAGTTACTCCTCGAGCACGGCGCTTCGCACATGATGGAGCATTTCAATATGACCAACGCCAACGACCCAGACAACCTCGGCTACGGCTCAACAGCTCTCCACCACGCCGCTGGCATGGGCCTAACCAAACTCGTTGACTACCTCGTCACATCCAAGATCCAAACTAACATTGACCCGCGCGACGACCGCACGCTGACCCCCTTCTACCACGCCTACGCCCAAAGACGATGGGACACCACCATCCCGCAACTCTTGTCCCTCGGCGCCAGCGTCGAAGTCGAGATCAAGATGTACATTCCCTACTCAGCCATCACCCCGTTCGGCGAAGCCTGCCGACTCGGTCACTTCGCTGTTGCTGACCAGCTGTTGAAGCTGGGCGCCAATCCCAAGCACGGCTTCGTCACGACGACCGTCAAGGGCGGGTGTCTGACGCCGCTGCACATGTGTTGTATGCAGTCGGCCGTCCCTGTGGGGACTGCCCCGCCCACTGCTGCCGCTGAGGAAGGGGTGGGCGAACGGGAGGGTGAGGAAGATGAGGAGAGAGAAATGGCTAGGATGAGGATTATTGAGAAGCTGATCTCTCTCGGGGCGGATATCAATGCTAGGGATTGCTTTGGCAACACGCCCCTTATGGCAGCCATGCAGTGGAAGAATCGGGCAGCAATAAAGGCTCTGATCAAGGCTGGAGCCGACCTGAAGGATTGCGCCACTGAAGGGCGTGAGGCCTTGATTCAGGAAATTAAGGCTTCATTGAAAAACAGTGTGGCGACAGCTTCCTCAGGGCCGTAGCCAAGATCAGAGGTTACATATCAGGTTTTTACATCTTTTTGGATGTTGTGGAGGATATATCGTAACGTTTTTGTCTTAGATACCTCTTGTCTTTGTTTTCAGTAATAGCCGGCTGGCAATCTCTTTACATATTTTTCACAGATACCTGGGTTGCATCCATTACTGTTACGATTGTTATAAAAGAGGAAAATTGATTGACCCAATGGCCTTGAACTGTACCTTTCGTTACCATCTCCTACCACGTCCCCTGCCTCCTCGTCCTCCCATCTGTTGATCATAGCCATATCCTTGCCCCTGGTTTCCTCCAAACCCGCCGCCAAAGCCCTGCCCCTGGCCTCCCTGCCCGCCAGTACCTTGCCCACCACTACCTTGCATCCCAAGCATGGCCGACATGGCATTCATATCCATCTGGGTTGGATCAATCCCACTAGCCATCATCTGCTGCATCACTGCCTGCATCTCAACCGGAATGCCTTCCATACCAGGCATGGCAGTCATGCCGCTGCCACCAGGACCGCCAGCGCCAACACCAGGACCGCCAGGCGCGCCTCCAGGACCAGCACCCGGCATGCTGGGCGGCATGAGCCCGCTCATCATCATCATGTTGGTCATCTCCTCGAACAACTTCTTGTTGCTGGCGGCGATCGCCTCTGGATTGTATTCTGCGCGCAGAGCTTCTTGTTTCTGGGCGTATAGGGCCCATGTGAACTCGTCAAAGCCGTAGTTGAAGTAATCGGAGAGATCGGTACCGGGCTTGCGCCACGGTTTGTCATTGTCAGGGAGGTCTTTTAGCAGCGTCAGCAAAGTTGGTGAGTCATGGGATAATTTGGGCAATAGGTAGCTGACCTTCGTCAATGATGACTTGGGTTATTGGCTTTCCTGTAGGCTTGTGGATAGGTATGGCATTGACATCAATTTTGGAGGATGAGACCGGCTGTAATTCTGGGGCAGGTTGTTTTGGCTCTTCTCTTTTACGGGCTGGCTTGGTGGTTGTATCGCTTGATGGTGTTCTCTGCGGAATATTCTTGATTTCGCTGTATCTGGACTGACTGTCGAAGAACGTATCCAGTCAGGTAGAGCTCACTAAAGAAACGAGATATGAATGAATGGCATACATTGGAGGAGGGGGCTTCGAACTATCCGGCCGGTCTGTGATGATGTCGATATCCTATGAGAAATGTTAATGCAATTGGCTACAATGACAAAAAACTGGGCGGCGCATGCATACAGAGTCTTCGTCCTCATCCATCTCGCCTCCTTCATCCTCTTCTTCGCCTTCCTCGAGCTCGCGCTCGGGGTTGGATTCATTTTTTGTCGCAGGCGCAGCAGTCTCTGCGGGGGCCGCCTGAGAAGCCGGTGGTTGCGGCTCGTCAGGGCCGTAAAAGTCGTCGTCGTCAATGTCCATTGCTGGTGAGGAAGGCATTTTCTGGGCTGGTATGACTGAGATTTGCTAAGAATTGGGGGGGGGAATGACTGTCTGGGAATGAGAATCTGGCTAATATTCTCGAGCTTGAACGATGACAGCAATACAAGCCGCTTGCGGTCGATGGAGCGAATCTGAAGTTCAGGTTGCGAAGGACAGGATGCGATGTAGCAGCGCTTAGCTTGGTGTGACCCACCAAAGTTTGCCTTCTTCTGGAAGGCGGTGAAGCAGAACCTGCATGCCACTCCAGAATCGAGCGTGTGCTAATGTGGATCTGCCCTCTGGTTGCGTGGGGCTGCCAAAAGCTATGCGCGGCCATTCAAAACACGCGGCGGCACCAGCGACCCAGCGCTGCGCAGAGCGACCGGCTTCTGGCAAACAAACATCCCGTCAGTCGCTTCACTCCCTCTTTGCGACGACCTTTCCAACCCGTCCTGCGTATAACGGAGGAAAGAGCGGCCATTGCCCATTCCCAGCTGCAACGCACAGCAGCCATGTCGCTCTTGTAAGTTGCCCATTCTGCGCGCGTTCGGTGGCAGCTGGCGCTTTGAAAGACGCAGGAGAAAACTGACCTCGTCTTCAGTGGAACCAACACCACCAGCCAGACCCCAGCTGGCGGTGGACTTTTTGGGACAACGACCTCCCAGTCCGCTCAGACAGGGTCTTTGTTTGGCACGGCGACATCCCAACCGCAGCAGACAGGAGGTCTTTTTGGTTCGACGGCAACCCAGACGCCGTCCTCCCAACTCCAGAGTACCGGCCTATTCGGCAGTACCACGGCCACAAGCCAACCGCAGCAGACAGGAGGGTTGTTCGGCTCGACGACGACAACGACGAGTCAGCCTCAGCAGACGGGAGGGTTGTTTGGGGCAACAGCGACGTCACAACCGCAGTCAACAGGCGGCTTGTTTGGCAACACGACAACCACATCGCAGCCGGCGCAGACTGTGGGATTGTTCGGCACGACTACTCAACCACAGCCCGCTCAGAGTGGTGGTCTTTTTGGCAGTGCTACGCAACAGAAGCCGGCTACTGGAGGGCTCTTCGGCAGCACAACCACAAATACGGGGGCCGGCTTGTTTGGTAATACCTCGAATACTATTGGAGGCGGCGGGTTGTTTGGGCAAACAGCGAAGCCGGCCACCGGGGGCCTTTTGTAAGTCATCCTGACGCGTAGTTTAGTTTGTCCTATCCTTGAGGATACTGACGACCAAATCCTGCAGCGGCCAATCGACAACACAGCCTCAGCAGCAGCAGAACGCTACCCCTGGCCTAACCATGGGCCAATCTACCAATACTCAGCAGCAGGTTGTCCCAGGCGTGCGCATCGATCTGAGCAACATTAAATCTACCACCCGCTTCAACGACCTCACAGAAGCTCTCCAGCAAGAAATTGCCAAGATCGACGAAGAAATCCAAAAATGCATCCGTGACAAGGAGGCTGTTGATGCCTTCCTCCCTGCTCACGGCGAGCAGCTCGCTGCGATTCCGACCGACGTTAACTTTGTGACGCGCAAGTCAGAGGGCGCGCATAACGCCCTGTCCAGTGACATCCTTGCGATCGACCAGCTGCGCGAGCTGGTCAAGCAGGATGCCGACAACGCGCGGCTGTCCTTCAAGGCCATCGACAACCTGAAGCTACCGATGCAGTACCATCAAGCAGGGCTATGGTCAAAGCAGATGGGAGGTGCTGGGACCGCTGGCGCGTCGGGCGCCTCTGCGGATGCTGATGGTCAGAGCAACGCGGATTTGATCAGCTACTTCTCCAAGACGGCTGACGAAATGGAAGAGATGATGAAGAAATTTGAGAAGACCATCACAGAGATTGAAGCTCACCTAACGGGTGTTGAGGCCCATGCCATGGCCATGCAGAATGTTGCGGCCCAGTCCAGGAATGCGGCCCAGGGTGGCGTGGACGAGAGGGTCTATGAGTTGGCGGCTGTGCTGCGGGAGTTTGAGGAAAGCATCCTCAAGGTTGCCGGTGTGGTTGGAGGTGTGAAGGAAGGCGTTACGGAATTGCAACTGAGGGACTTTATGGGACACGGTAGCTGATCCCTAAAATGCATACCAGTCTGAGCAAATTAATCCTACTGGAACATAGGTGGTGTACAAAACCAATGCGGTTGTGAAGCCGGTCTCTGTATACCCCTCGAGGTCAGAAAAGGCTTTGTACTGTATTTCATCATATAAGAGTGCCTATGTGGGTAAATGGTATCTCTTTTGGCCAACCATGCTCGCTTTTCAAAAACACATCGAATGGACTTTTGCCTACACGCCAGGGAATGCATTATACACCCGGTTCGCCTGAATCCTGTCTGACATTTAGAACTAGAAGTAATCACCCCCGTCGTCGCCGCCGTCATCGTAATCATCGTCATCCTGGTTCCCATCGAAGTACTGCTCTGCGTTGTAATCGTCGCCGGATTCATCTTCATACTGATCATCCTCCTCGGCGTCACCCTCTTCCTCATCGTCCCCATTGTTCTTGACCCAGTCGTCATCATCCTCTCCAGACAGGAATTCCTCCTCGCCCTCGTCACCGCGCTTCTCGAGCGTGTTGAGGAGCTGGAGGGCCTTGTCCAGGCTCGCACCGCCACCTGCAACGCCAGTCTGTGCTTCCAGCATGAAGACTTCTTCTGCTGTCCTATATGAGGTGATGTTGGATAATCCCAATGTTTTGGGTCCTGTCCTCCGCTTCTTGCTCGCTGGGGCGCCGTCATCCTCGCCGTCCAGCGTTGCGTGGAGTTCGGGCGGGAAGAATTCTTTAGCGAACGGACGAGAGCCAAGGTCAGGCAAGGTTCGTGGGACTTTTTGGAACCGGTCTGAGTATTGCGGCACGGCGGTGAAGGGATCAATGGTGGCTCTGGATACTGTGCCATAACGTTTGTTGATCTGTTCCTGGCCATACACGCGGCGAGGACCAGAGTCATTATAGGAGCGTGCTTGTGTGTAGAGAGGGCTATCTTGGCACTGTTCGCGGAAGAGTAGAAAATATGAGACTATCTTTTCCTCCTTTTTTGTAAGAGGGGGGCTTTGGGAACATCATAAGGCTGAAGAACCAAAGTATTAGCAGAGTCGCTCAACAAGAACCCGAGACGGCGATTCATCGAACTCACTGGAAACTGTTCTGAAGGCTTGCCATCCAGAACGATATCTGAATCCATAGTCCACGGCACGCTATTCTGGGCGACACTTCTTCGCCCATTCATCATCGGTCCTCCGCGACCACCACGGCCGCCGCGACCTCCTCTACCGCCTCGGCCAGACATGGCGATGCAAATGTGTCCAAATACTCCGGAGGTGTCACCTCATACGTCTTAGTGTGGATAGTGATGGATCGTAAATAATCGCGGCAATTAGAGCGCAACTGAGCGAAAAGATGGCGGTCGGCGGTGGTAAAACCGAGTCAAACGGTAGACAGACACTCGGTCAAGATTCAGGTGGACTGGGAACCATTCAGTTACAGCCAAAAATTCCAGCGAGGCGCCGCTGTCTTGCGCATGCCAAGATACAAGCTCTCCATTACGATAAGATGTATCAGACCCACATTAACGGCTTATCGGTCCCTTGACGTTCCATCACCATTCTAGACATCCTGCTGCCCCACCTCCGGCTTTGTTGCTGCAACACCCATCCGCTGCAGATCCATGGAACGAACTGCTTCGAGTGACGCCAGCTTCTACCTTGGAGTCGAGACTCTCCTTTCTAGATTCCTCCTCCAGCCTCTGGATATAAAATACCTTTTCTACCCCGGAGCAACCTCCTTTGAAAAGACAATCCAACAACTCTAACTCAGAACGAGCGAAAATGGACAGTGTTCCAGTTCGCGGGCTTGATGAGTTCGACAGGCACCTTGATGACCTGATTCAAGATCCAACATTGGAGCTCAATGCCAAACTATTTGATGACATTGAGCTTCAATTAACAGGTAGGCGAAGCAGTGTGCACTTGAACCGTCTCGTAATTGTCACTGACATCGTCTTGCACAGAGGCCAACATCCCTCCGTTGATCCCTCGGTTCCTTCCGCGTCTTACCACAATCCTCAAGACCTACACCCGCGAGTTGACCATTATCACTAACATAACTGGGAAGCTCATCCGTCCAGTATCCTTTGTCCAGGTTATGCAGATGGCTAGTCCCGATGACCTGATCCAAGCTCTTGAGTCTCCATCCTCGCCTGCCAACGTGCTGGCATTAGCTATCCTCCAGAAAGCCTCAGCCAGCCCACAAGAGGTTACTATGCTCAGTGCATACGTCCCTCTAGTCAAGGCTCTCATTCACCGGTGGCTATCCTCTCCTCGGGTAGAAGTTGGCCAGGGGGCAAACAAAGTCCTTGGCGATCTCCTTGATGTCGACTGCCCGCTTCCTCCTCCCCCTCCACCACCGCCAACTGCACCAGGGGAGAACTCCCCTCCGATCATCTCCAGAAGAAAGGCTCCTGGTAATGGCAGTTTGTGGAAACTGTTATTCCAAGACAAAGAAATCTACACATACATCCTCGAGCTCTGCTCCGGCCGCCATCCAGAAACAGCTCATCCGCGGCAGCTCTCTCTGGCACAAGGGAGACTCTTACGCCTTCTGCCCCGCCTAGCGGCACTTGATTTCCGTGCCGTCAGCCACTCTCACATCACCCCTCCTACACCAGTTCATCTCACAAATGGAAACCAACAAAACGGCGATTCAATGACCCCAGTTCCTCCCGTCCGAAACCCTCGTCCAGGAGACGGTCTGCTACAGTTTGCCGCCCTCTGCATGGTTCAGAGGTCTGACCAGTTAATGCATCTCAATTTGATCGATTTTTTCGAGGCGCTGGTTAGCCTATTGCGAGTAACCGAGCACACACCGCTCAAAGTTGAGGTCATGCGATCAATCTTGCGCGAAGCGACGGCTGGAGATGAGATGCTCAAAAAGGCACTCCTGAGCTTGCCGGATAGAACCGTGGACGAGGAGGCAGAGGATCTGAAGAAGTGGATTGAGGAGATCATGCCGGGGGAGACAGTGAGATTAGCCATACGGTAGACGCGAAAAGGTGCGACACGGTAAGGCATCCTAAAAAAAAGCCATTATCAGGTACATGTTAGGCACCGTGATATACACGCAGATATGATGACAATTCAAATGTCGTAAGAATTTTGGTGGGTCAGAGACAACACCTCATAAGCGCAAGTGTAGCTGCAATGTAGAACTCTTTGAAGGCCATTTGGTATTACATTTGGCTGATGTCTGCTTAGCTAGAAAGTCAAAGAATCGAAAAGCAAAAGTGTATAACCCCTTTTGATGCCCACCGACCCACAGCTTGTGGCCCTGCAGGGGATGCATAAGCGACCTCTCCCCAAGAAACAATACTACAACAGAACAGAGGGTAGACTACATGGCAATTCTCATGTCCAAGCTCAACTGTTCGCCGCTCTCCTGTCTATACAATATCGAAGAAACTAGGACAGCCCCGTCGTGTTCTACACAACAGGCCTCTCTCCAAGTTTAGGGATTCTAAAGCCCGTCATTGCTTCAAGCCTTACCCATAACCCGACTTGACGGGTCATCACCGATGCTCTCCATGCTCGGCGACGGCCGTGGCCCATGATGGATAGAGAGCACGCTCCCGGCCCTCTTCCTCTGTTGCTCAGCAGTAGCAGCGCCCATGCTTTCGATACCCAGCCCGACCTCGCCAACCCGCCTGAGGACAAGCAATAACGCCGTGCGCAGCTCCAACCCCAGGTCCTTATTCAACAACTCCACACAGAGCGGGTAGAAGTTATTAATATGGGAAGAGAACGCCTCGCGTGGGAACGCGGCATACCCCTCGAGCACATCCACGACGACGGGGCGCCAGGCCATAATGTTCCTGTGCTGGCTTTCCTCGTCGAGCGCAAGATAACCCCGGATGATGTCCTGGCACAGCGGAACCAGCGCAGCCTCCACATCAGCCTTGCTCTCCTGCCGCTCGGGAGAGGTGTCGGCGAACATTCGAAACAGGATGGAGACGTAGGTGGCTGCGCTGCCTGACTCCTGCTTGAGCAGGTTGGGCGGCTGCTTCATGAACCCTTCGCGCCAGAGACGCATGCGCAGGTCCTTATCGGCGTTGAAGCGTTTGGCAAAGAGGAAAGACTTCTTGAGCAGGGCCATGAGGCGGAGGAGTTCGGAGGAAGGGATTTGGGTGTAGACGGAGTCGTTGCTGAAGAGCTCGTTGACCGTTTCGATCATGAGTAGCTGCAAGACACAGCGGCTGATGATGCGGTTGAAGAACCGACGACGAGCAGCAGTGACGACAACAGGCTGCTGCTGCAATGGGTTGTTTGGTTTGAACTCTTCCAGCTGGGGTTGTGGGGTATACTGGCTTTGTGATGTGGAGGACGAAGGAGTTGTCGCAGATATGCTTTGACTGTTTTGGCTAGCTTCACTGTCAGCAGCATTGCTTTCGGGTGACGCAGAGTCCCCTAATTCGGCTCCATTGATCTTCAGTGACTTCTGATCAACGGGCAAAGTGGCCTCTGTGGTCGGGCTAAGAGGACCACCGAGCTCGAGACCACTGGACGGAGGAGCAAGAGAGGCCGTGGAGTTGATAGTTGTGGCCGTGAAGAGCTGGTATGCCGTTGTCCTCTCGAACAACTCGCAGAAAGCGCCGACAATTTTTGACCAATGTTCCGGTGTGAATTTGTAGACATTTTGCAGGATAAGCTGTTGCAAGCAATTGCTACCTATCCTTGCAATGGTGTCATTCTCCTGCAAGATACAAAGAGCGAGAAGTTCGAGAAACCGATCAAGCATGTATTCTAAGGCATCAAAATAATGTGTGAAGAGGGTAATCATGTTGCGAAGGGCCTGAATCATGGTTGTGGAGAGCCAGACCGAAAGCTCCTCGTGGTTCATAGCATTGGTCATTTCCGGCCTGGACCGTAAGACCATGAAGATAGGGTAGAGCTGCTGCCTCCATAGAATGTCCCAAAATTCTGACGGCCAGTCTCCACCATACCTTAACAAGGTCTCGAAGAAGTAGTTGAGGGCGTTAGACCGCACCTCGAGGTCTTCGCCAGTCATGAGTACGTCATGGAAGGCGAAGAGTACTGGAAACCAGAATCCCTCTTCCACAGAAGTACGAGACTGCTGTGAAGGGGACTTCAAGTTCGTCTCGCCTTGACTGGAAGTACCCGGTGCTTTCTGAGATAGAGGGCATTCAGGAGTCTTTAGCATCGTCGGAATGATGGATTTAAGAGTCTCCATAGCCTGCAGGCTCTTCTTCTGGAAACGCATGTTCTTGGAGAATTCAGTAAGGCAGACAATCAAATCGGTGAAGGCGCCTTGCGAGATAACAACACCAAACCTACTCCGATAAACCTGGAGCACGTTCTCGTAGGCCAAGTTGACGATGCTCTCATATGGCTCCCGGGCAGCCACGGTGAAGACGCCAAAGATGGTCCTCCAGCCTGAGCGGATGTTCTCGCCTCGGGCCTGGATCATTTGAATAAGGCAGCGAAGAATCATATCCTTGACCGCAACATTAGTCGAGTTAGACATGACATGCTCGAATGGCTTTAAAAAATCCTTTTGGAACTTGAAGCCTGCCAGCTCTTCAATCTCCAGGAATCTCATGGAGAGCTGGCGTAGTGAGTCGAGAGCGAAGAAGACGATGGCTGTGTTGGCGTGGCAGCCTACGCGATTGAAGTGCTCACCAAGGACATCCCAAATGTGACTCCACTCGAAACGAACACGAGACATATTGTAGTAGCTGATCTCGACGATCTTCTGCAGGCTGTAGGTACGAGGCGAATCATTCGATCCCGAGACTTTGATCTCATCCCAGCTGACTTCAGTCAAAGCCCGGGCAAAGTGAATGATGGCTTCTCTCGACAGATTGGCTGTGTTGGTAAAGATCCGATCGACGCTCTTGATAACTTCGTCCGAGCGACTCTCAAGGGCGATCTCCAGTGAGACACCTTGCGGGCCAGTATGGGCACGTGGACGGCCCTTGCGAACAGAAGACGTCGACTTTCGACGATCAGTTGTCTCTGTCCGTTGGGGCGGAGGCATGAATCGAGCCTTGGAGACATCAGGAACAACGCTTTCGTCCACACCACCGGAAATTAGCTGGAGACGATCAAGTTGGCTGATGCACAGGAGAACGTCCTTCCAGGACTCCTTTAGGTAGTTGCCTTCAGTTTGAGCCAGATCAAGTATTACCTTCAGAGCCTCAACATTCTTCGCTTGCATTTCTCTCGGGTTGTTGAGGTTGGCGGTGTTCTTGAGGGCAGAGATGAAGGCCTCTCGAGGAGTGGAAAGGTCAAAGAGGCAGGCAATCTTAGTGCCCAGCTTCATGCCTTCAAAACAAAGCTTGTTGATCTCAAGATTATGCGTATTCTGTGTCAGGCTAGACAGAGTCGAAAAGAAAGACATCCAAGTAACATCGAACATAGAGCCAACATGCTTGAACGAGGTTGCTGGGATGAACTTGACAATTCCTTTTGCAGCGCTCTTCCTCTGGCTGCGATACAGGTCCCTGAAGAGCTGTTCGGAACGCATGGAAATCTCTTCGGACTGTTGAACGTATGCTTCTCTTTGCAGATCACGCCCGACATTGGACAAGGCCTGGCCAAGCCCAGCAGCAAGGCCTGTAGTCTGGGGGAGAGTGCCAGCAGCTGCTGCCGCTTGTCGTTCGCTCTTGAGAACAATCTCGTTGTTTTGGATGTCTTCATATATACTGATCAAGTACTCATCGGGCAGATCAGCATTGTCGTTAATGCCCCGGTTATTTTTGATGAAGTCCTCTTTCGTCATCCGTTTCTGAACTTGAGGGCTGTGCAGATCGGTATTGAGCATAATGACAGAATAAGCGAGGACATAGGGCGTATCTGCATTAGCAAATGCATTTGGATTGTTGGTAATATAGCGATTGGCGAACTTGAGCATGAAGCGATCGATTTTTTGTGCCTCGCCCGGTAGACGGAATGCCTGCAGGAACTCACGCAGAGCATCGACAAAACGCTTCTTGCTGAAGTCCATCATGTCCACAAAGGCATGCATGATCTCGACATTTTTCTGGTCGCCTTCACCCAAGTACTCGCCAATCTGAGCCTTGTCCAATCGTTCTTCGTGCAAAAGGAAGCGAGCGATGTCCTCAGGCTTGTCACTAGGGATAAACCCTTCCTTGATCAACTGCTTAATACCATGCTTAGGCTTGAAGTTGAAGGCTTTAATCGCATTAGCCAAAGCCGTTTTCCTTGCTTTCTCTTTCTCAAGTTGATCGGGGTCATCGTCAATGACCGGGGTTGACGGTGCAAGTGGCGTTTCCATGCGCGAGGCAGCCTCGCTAAGAGAGGGGTCAATCGAGTATCTAGCATCATCACTCGAGGCTCTCCGATCAGAATTAACGATGGCTCCGTTGGCTTCTGGCCTCCCAGGCTGCGACCAATGAAGGAGAGACCGCAACGTATCCACAAGAGCATCAAGGGCCACACGCTTCATAATGTACTCCTTGGGGATTTCTCCATCCGCATCGTGATGAGTGGCAATTAGAGCAACCGAAAGCGGCGGCGGAAGAACCGTCTTGATCTGCCACTCGCCGGCTGCAATTGCTTTCGGGTGGTGCTCCTGATATTGCAACTCTTGGGCTGGAGTGACAGGGATGGTAGCTGTCGCAAAACGAGATAGATCCTCGACAATCGTCTGGAAAATATTGTCCACGTTCCTGTCACAGTCATAATTAAGGTATAACTCGACCAAAGCCCGCGGATCTTCGCATAACCTTTTGAGAATGCCCACGAAAGTGAGCTTTTGGGACAAGGGTGCGTTCTTCCGGGCTAGGAGGGCCAAGTAGATTTCATTGAGGAATACGGCAATTTCATTCTGCGATCATGTGTCAGCAAGTGAAGGCCCCAATTTTTTTCGCACAAACTGACCTTGAATGGCGCTCTCATGTACTTCAGCATCAGCCAGAAAATTTCGCAGCAAATTTCGAACACCCGGTCTACCGAGCTGGCACCGTTGCGAATGATGCTGAGGCAGAGATAATACTTGATGGCCTGCAAAAAGTGTGTGGACTGTCCATTTTTGGTATTCCTGATCGTGCAGAGGGGCGACGTGAAAACAATGATGTGGTTGTTAAGCAGGGTGTGTATGATATGGAGTGAGATAAGCTTGGAGCGCATGGCCTGGCCACGAAGGTCATAGAGTTGATCCGGTGTCAGAACCTTTGTAGAGAGGTTGCAGAAAGAACGGAACACCAGGTAAGCATCCCGGATGTAGGCCTCGTCTTCGGCATCCAAAGCTTCTGACGACTCTTCCGGAGAACTTTCACTGAGGCTCTGCTCAGAGACAGATCGCCCGGATGGCCTAATGGGCTTGACTTGTGAAACCATGGTGGGCCCATCGCCCATGTGCGAGTCGTCGAAGCTCTTGCGGTGTTCAAGATCTTTGAGTGTCAGTTTCCCGCCTTCATCTTCGGCACCGTCAGTCTGGGCAGCTTGTCCTGTGCCCTCGGTTCCCTCTTCACTGTCCAGCTTCTCGGCTTGTGAATCCTGGTCTTCGGTGCGATCAACCGCCAGACTGCTGCGGCTCTGCTTCAGTCTTCCTAATGAAGCACGAGCCTCCTTCATGTGCAAGCGTGTCTTGACCCGCTCGAATACGGTGCCCACCATCTGGGTAAGTGTCCCTTGTGCCACTTGCTGGTTTGCAGTGTTCCGAGACAGCAGAAAGATATTGTAAACTTGGCGAACTGCCTTCAAAAGGCCGGCGCCGTGCACAATGATCTTGTCATTGAGCACTGCTGCAAGGAGCGACTTGACGATCTGCAGCTGGATCTCCACCAGGGTTGTCTCGCCCTGAAAGCAGTCGCAGATGGTGTCAATGGCGCGCTCAATGAGAGGGGTTTGTTCGGCGCCGTCTTGACTCAGAGCAGAGGACGCTGGGGCAGAGAAGTAGGAGTATGATATGAGCTTGCCAATACAGTCGAGTGCGGTTGTAGTCAGCGGAATAGTGCCGGCTTTAGTGGCCAGCTGGAGCGGCGCGAATAGGATCTCGGGATCGGGGAGCTGCTGGTCGTTCTCCTTGATCGCGGAGAGGGCCTTCTCGGCCAGCTCGGCCAGCTGTTTGTTCCGGCCGGCATGTGCGGCAATGATGTCCAGTGAGGACACCACAAATTTAAGGGAGCTCATGGCGCACCGGCTAAGGGTCGGTTCTAGGGGCAGAGTGCCATTCGCAGGAGCCGGTCAGCGCATCAAGGGACCTTCCAGGACGGTCGATCGGGATGCTTCCAGGGGTCACGGGGTCGCGGGGAGTTATCGATTGCGATATATTGTCTCTTTACTGTCGTGTCCTTCGTCTGATGATGGCGCAGTCCAAATCGACCAGTCTGTTTCTCCTGACGACTTATGGCTTATGCGGGTGCGGCAGGTCGTCGCAAACAGTTGCATGCAGTTGCGGGCAAAACGGGGTTTGCAAATATCCAGAATCAGGCCGTGCAAGTGCGCATGCAATGCAGAAGAAGTTCCGAATTTTTCAAAAAAGCAAGGACTTGTAGTCAACAGTTGGGATAGCGTTCACGATGGCCTGCTAGTGCACGTCGAGTTGGCGCCCTGCCGTCGTCTCGGGTCTTGCTTCGATGGAGATGACAGCAAAACCTCTGGCTTCACGGAGTCGACTGTGGAGCCTGGCCCCTGGCTGCGCCCGAGGTAACGCGGCGCCGACAGCTGCCCGGCAAAGACTCCACCTGTCACCCACCGTGGCCAGCATCCCTGGGAACTGCTGCACGGGCTCCAGAAAGCATCACTGTGTTCAGCTCGACCTTATATATCACAATGTCCATTCCAGCCGCAAACCCTCAGGGTCCTGTGGCTGATGAGTGGGGCTGGTATCTCGAAGAGGTTGGGCAAACTTCCATGTCTTTGTAGGGTGACAACGACAGCGTATGTCAGCAATTTGGCACAAGATCGACTTCTTCAGTGTCCACAAGTATGCTCTGCAAGTGTGAGAGCCGAGTTGTACGAGTTCAAACCGTACAAAAAGAGCTACCACGACGACACTATCTCCGATGGGCAAGCTGTCAAAATAGGGTCTTGGCTGTGGCTTGTTTGGTGGCCAGTACCAGCGGCGGGTCGCTGTCCTGCAGCGCCAAGAACCGCTTCCTGATTGGCGTGCGGACCATCCCAACTTGGTCTGTCCAGAATTTTGGTGAATGGACGGAAGCTAAGCTTCCCAACGACTTGCATCCCACGTAAAAAAACTGGTCCCCCCAACCTGCAATCATCACCATTATCAGTCTCCGATTCCCGGCTCCCACCGTTTTCCCCTCCTCCATCCTCTTCGGTCCATTCATTTTCAATCCCTCTCCGAGCCGCTGCGGCTTCTTTTTGACCAGTTACCTATTCTCAGTGCTTGCGCATTGGGTTTTGTTTTCTTTTTGCGCCTTCTCTAAGCTCCCTCAACCCTTTCCCCACGCATCCTGCCTTCGGCACTATTTCACACCACACACACAAGATGCTGGCCCAAGTACTTCGAAGGCAAGCCCTTCAGCATGTCAGACTTGCGCGTGCCGCAGCGCCCAGCCTAACAAGGTGGTATGCTTCGTACCCTCCGCACACTATCGTTAAGATGCCCGCCCTGTCCCCGACCATGACGTCGGGCAACATTGGTGCTTGGCAAAAGAAACCCGGCGATGCGATTACCCCGGGTGAGGTGTTGGTCGAGATCGAGACCGACAAGGCCCAGATGGACTTCGAGTTCCAGGAGGAGGGTGTTCTCGCGAAGATTTTGAAGGAAACTGGCGAGAAGGACGTCGCCGTTGGCAGTGTAAGTTTGCCCTGTTGATGCTTCCCCACCACGTTCTGCACGGAACCCACCCATGCTTTTGGCAGCTGTTTTGACAGCTAACATCCTGCCCCCACCAATAGCCGATTGCCGTCCTGGTCGAGGAGGGCACCGATATCAATGCTTTCCAGAATTTCACCCTTGAAGACGCTGGCGGTGATGCTGCCGCCCCCGCCGCGCCGGCGAAGGAGGAGCTGGCCAAGGCTGAGACTGCCCCTACGCCGGCCTCGACCTCCGCTCCTGAGCCCGAAGAAACCACCTCTACTGGCAAGCTCGAGCCTGCTCTCGATCGCGAGCCCAATGTTTCCTTTGCCGCCAAGAAGCTTGCCCATGAGCTTGATGTGCCCCTGAAGGCCCTCAAGGGCACTGGCCCTGGCGGCAAGATCACCGAGGAGGATGTCAAGAAGGCCGCTTCGGCCCCGGCCGCTGCTGCTGCCGCTCCCGGTGCTGCTTACCAGGACATTCCTATCAGCAACATGCGCAAGACTATCGCTACCCGCCTCAAGGAGTCCGTCTCGGAGAACCCCCACTTCTTTGTCACTTCTGAGCTTTCTGTCTCTAAGCTTCTGAAGCTCCGCCAGGCCCTGAACAGTTCTGCTGAGGGTCGGTACAAGCTCTCCGTCAACGACTTCCTCATCAAAGCTATTGCTGTGGCTTGCAAGAGGGTCCCGGCTGTCAACAGCTCGTGGCGCGACGGCGTGATTCGTCAGTTCGATACTGTTGACGTCTCCGTCGCCGTTGCTACTCCCACTGGTCTTATCACCCCTATTGTCAAGGGCGTCGAGGCTAAGGGCCTAGAAACCATCTCGGCGACCGTCAAGGAGCTCGCTAAGAAGGCACGTGATGGCAAGCTCAAGCCCGAAGATTACCAGGGTGGCACGATCAGCATCTCCAACATGGGCATGAACCCGGCTGTCGAGCGTTTCACTGCTATTATCAACCCTCCTCAGGCCGCCATCCTGGCTGTTGGCACTACTAAGAAGGTCGCTGTCCCGGTTGAGAACGAGGATGGCACCACCGGCGTTGAGTGGGATGATCAGATCGTTGTCACTGCCAGCTTCGATCACAAGGTTGTCGATGGTGCTGTCGGTGCTGAGTGGATGCGGGAACTCAAGAAGGTTGTCGAGAACCCTCTTGAGTTGCTTCTCTGAAAGGTTCTCTAAACAGGGGGTATGGTTTGAGGAATCAGGATTCCGGTTTAGAGTGATTTAAGGGAACGGCATGGGTGGTTTATAGAGGATTACGGGAACTCTGGTGACGATATAAGGAGCCGTGTTCCATCATATGAGGTGGCCAGATTGGGAGATACTTCAGTGCTTGCTGGTCAGGTGCCGCCACCACAAGGGCCTCGGCGACTTAAATCGCATCCTATTCGCAACGTGGAGATCCTCGACCGGCCGTTTCAAGTTCATGGCTCCTGATTTCTTTTGTCTTTTCATGATCATCTGTACATTGACCACATTAATCGCGTCCTGGGTTGTTTAATCGAGCATGGAGTTTAGGCCATATCTGGTTTTGCGAGCTGGGCGATGGTCAAAGTTCTATGCGAGCTTTTATGCAAACACTGAGACAAGTTTAGTGTGGCACACACTCAATCGCATGTCTTTGGGGATGATGAATCTTTTTGTTGACAACGCAGTCTTTGATATAATTTACCAACTCAGACTCAACCTCAACAACGGCATGGTACCTATGCGAGCGTCTCAGCAACCCAGATGCCCACACTATTGAGTTCCGAGTCTCGATTTTTAAATGTAATCGTTTCACCTATCATCCTAGTTGTAGGTTATACAGCCATAATATCTCCACAAGAAATTTCTACCTTATATGTTGTGACATTTTCACTCTTTGCCTAAACATGTATCGCTCACGGGCGGTGACACATTGTTGAGATGTCGAGGCATTGACCCCTCGTCGAATGATTTCGTAGTACTGATTGGCTGATGGCTAATATCTGCCCCACCTCGTACGATACAAAAAGCCCACTCGAAGCCGAAAATTTCAACTTCTTTTTTTCACCAATCATTCATAAACCTTCCTTCATATTCACTCTGGATAAAGTCTTACACCATGGCTGTCTGGAGGGGAAACTGGAGGATAGATCAATTCTTGCACTTACCCTCTACTTCTGGCAGCATTTGCTGCTCCGTCGGGAAGTAGAGAAAATTTCGCTCGATACATTTTATCCATTGCTCTTTGCCAGTTTGTCCTCCCTGGCCTTGTGAGCAGCGTGATGGATTGGTGATGAGAGACTTATCCTATGGCAAGCTCGTATAGATGACAAGTTGCTTTTGTCACACACCGTTGACTGCGTAATTTTGTGTTGAACTCTGCCTCTTTGCCATGACAAGTCAGGTCCGCGGCACATGTTGTTACCGAAATCTAGATCCAGATCGACTGGTTCCCTTTCTCCTTTGCCATTTGAAAGTTACTATGGGGAAAGAGCAGCCATTCAATGGTTGAATGGACGTTCGGGGCACGCCGCAAGACACGGCACAGACTGAGATTCGCCCATCCTCTGGAACAAAAAGGGCGGACAATCGGTGGGGAAATCGTGGCGCGGAACACAACACACAGTGGGAACTTTTTACAGCATTTTATCTCCGACACTCCCGGCTCCTGTCGCTCGCTCTATCAAAGGCCGCAGACCGCTGGGGAGGTTGGCTGGGTTTTCGTTGGCGACGAACATGTAACGCAGTACTGCTGCCAGCTACATGTCGCTACGCAACATAGGCTGTTTGGACAAACGGAATATCAACAGGATCAGAGAGAGCCGGGACTGTTCATTGTGTGGAGAGCTCGGCTCTCGCTATCCCGACGAAGCAGAGGGGTGGCCAAAGGGAGACAACGCTGGCCGAAACCTCGAATTGTGGATTATATGTCGGCCGTCGTGTGTTGACCATCGGCTCCTAAGATCTGATTATTCAATGTCCCGCTGTCGCCTAAAGTCTAAGGTTCACTACACTTTGCCATGTGGCTAGCACAGATTATAGCATACGTACCAATTCTTCTGCAGCGTTTGGCAGCCAAATTCTCAGGACTGTGAGCAACCCTTTGTCCGGGAATCTCCAGGTGGGGAAGTTGCTGAAGGCGAATGACGAACACCTGCCCGCCTCGCTCGGCCCTAGGGTCTAGGTACCTACATCGACTAGCTGCAGGCCCTACAGTCCAGGATCCATCGGAATGTTTTAAAGAGTCCAGAGATGCGCTCGAGGGATTTTGGCCATTCACAGCATTTAAAACTTGGGCGGAGGGAGGGACAATGAGAATCTTATCTCTGGGGAGTTGCAGTGGTCCGAAAAGTGCTGACTGGCATCGTGGTTTCACAGGGTATGCGCCAAGCCTACCGGCCCACACTCACAATGGCACCTCGACTGTGGAAGGGAAAGACAATGGACAATGTGGAGGATCTGAAGGAGCGGAACACCGAGTCCGATCCTGGTTCAATGATGAACGGCTTTATGGTACGAGGTTGGCAGTGTACCTGGCAAGCTTTGCACATCCAAAGGTAGAGGTTGGGGAAACTTCGGAAGGACGATGCTTTTAATAGTGATTAAATGTTTCCTATGCCCCTCCCTGTGGTGAGCAGCATCACCTAAAGACGGATGACACCGTCAATTCGCCGTGGAAGATGACAGGAAACCTCGGCTTTGAAGTCTGCGATCTGCTCGGGCATCGGTGGCATTGATGAACTGGGTATCTCGGCCGCAGCTCGTCGCTTGTCGCATGGATGGGAGGAGGATGAACATGATGATGCACGTGCTTCTGGACAGGGCTCGCCCAAACAGCGGACACCCTGCCTTTTCGGCTCGGGGCTCTGTTCCGTTTCACCCAGCCGGCCGGCAGCGGAGATAATGGTGGCCCTCATCCCATGCCAGCCCAGGGTAGTCTTGGCACATGCTCCCGAACGCCGACGCCGTTTTCTGTCTGTTGCCGGCGAGATGTCGCCATCATATGGCGGGAGTTTCCGCAGTCTCAATCACAGGTCATCGGCGCGCAACAGCTTCCTGACTCCCAAAGCTGGCATCGGGCAGGCAGAGACTCGGGCGAGCGCGCAGCCGCGTGTTCAGTAACGGGGAAAATATCTTAAGACAGATGAAGTGGCATTTTATTTTCTGGCGATGATGCCAGCGTCAACGGAGGACTCGCGCCTCTTGCGACGCACGACACACAATGGAACTGCTCGGATCTGGATAAATCTGGGCCTGGCTTGCGATTTCCCCGGTCCAACCGACTCTAGCCAATCCCGGGATTTTGTGTCCGACATTAGCCCATAAGAGGAAAGTGTCGGTGATTAGCTTCCCAGCCTGCCCCAGCCCCCGCATTCCCGTCCGAAATGCCGATCTGAAGTGCAGCCTTCCAAGCAGAGCAGCCCGCCAGAGCAGAACATAGCAACAGCGCCCGCATAGCCTGTCCAGTGGCCGGCGGGCTCTGGACAACTCCCCATGCGGATTATGGGCTGGACGCTACGCGACGGCTACGCTGCGGATTGGATGTTGTTCCTGGGCTGTTGTCCCTATTCGGCTGTCCTTCAGCCTTCGTGCTTTCATGCTCCATTCAATGTTGCTGTTGTGGGCGCCGTGCGTTTTGCGTGCTGCGTTGGAGGTGTAGGCGCAGTGCGGTTTAACCGTCGTGCGTATTTTGCGTGTCCTGCTTGCTCCATCTCCCCATGCCCCCCCTCCCCCGCCATGCTCCATAGCTGGTCGTCCACGCCCCATCCTCCATGACGAAAAGCCGCGGGGGTCGGGTGCCCGTCAATGCAAGGAAGTGAACTGGGGCTCTGCCCGACAAGAGTGTGAAAGAGCTGCGTGGACTGCCATCCATCCTGTTCATCTTGCCTGTTGCCCATTTGCTGTGGTTCACTTACCGTCCAGGGTTTCGGTGTGCTGCTGTCGCTCCATCCATCCCACTTGCGGCCGACCTACCACCCATAACTTACCACCTACCACCTACTAGTGGCCTACCTCAACTTTACTGCTTCTCCCAGGACTGGACCGGACCGGCAACATCTTCATCCATTGAACAACCTGGAAGAGCTAGGGCACGTAAGGCACCTTACCTAACCTTTACCTGACCTGGCTGCCAGCTTGCCCGCCTCCTGGCTCACCTACAGATTGCCTTTCCGACCCTTCAAGGCTCGTCAGCCAGAGCATCTCATCGTTGCTGCCGGCGATCTGGGCACTGACTGACGCGATCGTCCGATCCTTGTCGTTGTGTAGCCCGACAGCTATTGTTGCTTTCCCTTCCCTTCCCCTACCGCCTACCTGCCACTGATTTTTTTTTCTCTTGCTTAATTTTTATTTTCTTCTTCTATCCTGCTTCCCTCTCTCCGGTCGCACCTGGGGATCCTGTCCATGCCTTGCCCTTTTCCGGACGTCTTTCCTCGCTCCTTGAACGCCAACTCCGAGCGCCTTTCCTGTCGTTGTCGCCTTCACCCTTCCGGGGCTCCACCGGAAGTCGACTTTCCTCGACCCGGCCGCGGTCACGGACGCGGACGTGGATATGGACACGGACACTGATGCTGCTGCTACTGCTGCCCCGGCCCTGTCGCCATCAGCAGCCACACCGACCGGCAGCAGCGGCGGCGGCGGTGCTGGCGGCGCCGGCAGCGGTAGTGGGAGTGGTGGTGGCAGTGGTAGCGGCATCAAACTCGCAGAACCCCGGCGGCGCAATCGCCCGGCGCTGTCGTGCATACAGTGCAGGACACGCAAAATCCGATGCGATCGCAATGAACCCTGCGCAAGCTGTATGAAGTCCAAGATCGTCAATTGCACCTATGAGGAGGCACGTCGCCCGAAACCACGCCTGTGGAGGCTGTCGCCTGCTCCAACTGCCGCCCATCCCGAATACTCTCCCAATGGCCCCGACGAGCGCATGGCTGTAAACACCAGTTTTACTGTGAGGGAAGCCCCTGGGCCTCTTCCGCCTCCAACGTCGAATCCTTCCTCTACAGGTCAGCCCGCGGGGCTACAGCGACGCTCACCAGACCCATCGTCGGCTCCAAGCCCTCTAGGACAGCTTCACGGCCTCGGTCTAGCTCCAAATAGCGCCTCGATCTCTGGCAGCACAGCTGCTCTTGCCGAGAGAGTTCGGCAGCTGGAACAACAGCTTGCCGATGCTCTTGGACGCCCAGATCACGGCTTACCATCTGTGAGGTCGTTGCATCATACTACAGGACCGCTCGACGATGGACCCTTTTGTAAGCCGCAGGCGGCCAACTTTTTGGGTAATGGAGATAAATTCGTACGTTATGCTACCCGTGTTGGACTTCAATGTTTTAAGTTGGGTTTGTTCGGGGCATGTGGCATGTTTACAATGCTGTCCGACATACATCATTGCCACTCGTCGACAGCAGTCATTATACCACGAACGATTGACTGACTCTATGCCAGTTTCCTCTACTCGTTAGTGTGGCAGATCGGATCGAGTCGGACAAATCTTGCGACGCCTATTTCTTTCTACAAAAGTGCAGAGAGCTGAGCAGCGCAATTGCATCCACACGAGTTCCTTCGAAAACTCCTCTTCAGCTCGGTCACTCCATCCCAGCACAGGCAACTGCCCGGCCTTTGGTTGAAGCCTACTTCAGAACCTTCGAAAGTGTCTACAGGATCCTCCATGCCCCAACATTCTGGCAAGAGTACCGGGAATACTGGCAAAACCCTCCAGCAGCCAGTCCCAGCTTTGTTGTCCAGTTGCAGCTGTGCATGGCCATCGGGACCTGTTTTCAGGACGATGTCATCCGTCTTCGGCACTTGGCATCTCAGTGGATTTACGAGGCAAAGTTCTGGCTAGCGACTTCTTCAGATAAATCCAAGGTCAGCATCACTACGCTTCAAACTATGTGTCTCCTTCACCTAGCCAAGGAAACTTGTGGGATAGGGGGCAATCTGTCCTGGGTAAGCGCTGGTTCCTTGCTCCAAACTGCGATGTTCCTCGGCCTCCATCGTGACCCAGACAACCTTCCAAGGATGTCTCCACTCAAAGCCGAGTTGAGAAGACGACTTTGGGCCACTGTTTTGGAGATTGTTTTGCAATCCAGCTTAGATACCGGTGCTCCTCCGCTGTTGACATTATCCGATTTCGATACCCGTTCACCGTCTAACTACGATGACGAACAACTCCTTGACTACGACGAGCCCCCGCCCTCACCGAAACCCCCGAACGTGTTCACCCACAGTACAGTTCAGGTCGCCCTCCTCCGATCCTTTCCTGTTCGGTTGTCGATCGCGCAATATGTGAACCATTTCAACTCGTCTGCTACATATCAAACGACATTGAAATGGAACACAGAATTGACCAATGCATGTCGAGCCCTCCAGGCTACCTTCCAGCCCTTCTACGATCCAGCGGGCATTCTCCCCAAACGACTATCATTATTCCAACTTCGCCTGGCTGAGCATATGGTGCACCGCTTCTTCCTGGCTCTTAATCACCCCTGGTTATGGTCGGCGCACAACGATTCCGCATACTACTTCTCCCGTAAAATGTGCGTCGAGACGTCCCTCAAACTCTACCGTGCAATCGCCACAGGGTCTCCTGCGGGAGACTCAGGAACCGCCAGTCCTACAGATGACTTTACGCGATTAGCAACGTGTGGCTACGGACCTTTCCGGTCTGCCCCTACATTGGCTGTTTTAACGCTCTGTCTCGAACTCTTGTGGCAGGTGCAGGAGGATCGTCCCTTCCGGCAGAGTCTGGGTATTGACCACCAACAACCTGAACGACTTGGTGCTGGCAACGAGTCAGATGTCAACTCATCTGTGGGTATCGGCATCGGTAGCGGGGCTGCCCCTCGTCACGACTTGCTCGAGGCTGTCAAGTATTCCATTGGCTGGACACAACGACGGATTCGGAATGGAGAGACGAACATTAAGGCCCATCTCCTGTACACTGCGCTGCTGGTTCAAATACAGGCATTGCAACGGGGGGTCTCGGATGTCGAAGTCGAACGTCAAGTCTTCGGCGCCGTCAGCGAAGAGTTGAACCGGTGTTGGCACCTCTTGAAGGATGTAGCTGCCAGTATCGGGGTCATACCTCCTTCGAATGGTGCGCCGTCATTGCTGGATGGACCGAACTCAGGTGGATGGTCTGCTTTGGGGACTGGATGGTTTGCATCATCGAAGTCGGTAAGTGTGTTCGTTTCGAGCTACCTAACTCCTTTGGGTCGGTATGCTGAGAGTCGCTGGTTGCAGGGCGCCGTTCGTGGGTTCCATTCGATCTTCGACATACATGATGCCGACTTCTTTATTGGCACCTAAGTTGTGACATCTTGAAAGATCCTCCGCAACCTGCTGGCTCCGAGTTCCGGTGATGTTGGGGGCAGCTTTCTCTTTGTTCCTCTGAAGTTAGTGCGGATGTTGGGATTTGTTCCCTTGTTACCAACAAAATACCCGTTTGTCGGCATAGCAAGGGGTGCATGGAAAGTCCGGTCACTTTTGTCTGGGCTAGTTCCTGCAAACTGTTGGCCGGGTGACAGGGATAGTTGTAGAGTCCCTGTGGTAATTATATTGCAATAGATACCCTATGTTTCCATACATCAAACATGATATATCATTGTTCTTACTGCTTCAGCGCATATTGCTACGTTCTTAAACTATCAACATTTTCGACGATCTTTTCCAGAGATATACTCTGTGGATAGTTGTATCGATCAATGAACTAGGTTATTGAACGCTATGTGCATTCAACATTTGCTAAGTGTTAAACTTGCGGTCAGAGGGCTCAGGTTTCCTCTCGTAGGGATGAGTTTCCAAACAACTCCATCTTCCTGCTCTTCAACGTATCCTACAGTTATTCCCTTGCGGGAACTTTTCAGGGTTGTGTTTTCAATATTTCCTCGGAGTATCCTGAGCAACAAATGTTTGCGCAAAGCACCATACTCCCAGATGCACGATCAATGAGAACTGCAGTTTGTCCCAAGACTCAGATGCCTGCGTCCACCCAAACCTGGTTGTCAGAAAGCCAACTCATCAGGAAACGCCTCGCCCATTCGCTCCGTGACTATCAGGCTACACAAATATGTGTGAGACAACAGGGCTAGTTGCCCCGTCTTTTCGGTGAGCCGCACCCTCACATACGGAAACATCGGAATGAGTAGCAGCGATCAGCAGGTTTGATGTAACAGTCTCATCCCTCCAGACCGCTGCTCAAGTACCTATCCAGCTGAGAACCCACTCGAGAGAGAGCAAACCTGGTTGACGGTACTCCATAGGGCGCAAGAACCATAATGGCTGCATATTTGGATGTTGTGCAAAGAGCAGAGTGTGTAAAAATCTCCGTGATATGATAGAGGAAGGTCCTGGTGTCTGCGGCCCTGTCATGGTTCATAGAGCTGGTCGTGACGAAAACGCAAGCTTCGGATGTTTCTTGGCTTGTCTCCAAAGGGGAAGGCACCAAGCCCGGAGGAGAAACTGGGGTGCATGTTCCGCAAACTTTTTCGGTGAGAACCGTCCTGTAGGCATTCCCGGAATCTCACTTTTTCTATTTTTGGTATCTGAACCCCGCAAATCTTTCTTGGCCCCTGTCGTTTTTGCTTTTACTGCCCGATGCTCTGCACGAACCCGTGGACGCCGAAGTTTCAGTCCTTCAGCCCGGTCGCGTTCTGTTTTGGTCAATACCAGATACCTGGACGGTGGCAGGGCCGCAAATTAGACGATGTGGTTGATCGTGCATCTCCCCTCAGTTACTCGACTGTGTTTCTGAGGTCACAGCCTTCATTTACTCAAACTCATCACCCTATGTGCCATTCTCGAAAAGATGCGTTTCTCTGCAGTCGCGGATCCCTAGAACTCAACTTTGCTTGTTTCTCAAGCAGCCACCTCAGCGTCATGATGGCCAGATACAACGTGTAGTCTCCATATGGAGGGAGGTAGTGCGTGGAGGAGTACCATGGTTCAATCGTGGCAGATTAACATGGCAGAATTGGGATTGCGGAATGTGTAGCTCTACCATCCCGTTATTTTATCCACCCAATCATTGCCCAAAAGAGCTTGGCTGATTTACCCCTTTCGTATATCTCACGTTTCCAATGCCTACGTGCTGCGTAGCTTTCCACATACCGGATGATTGCTTCACACTCAGTATACCGGCATGACCGCAGAACAGCCGGCCTGGGCTGTCTGGGCAATACCAGACACGGGAAACGGCCTGGGACAAGGAGAGTTTGGAATGCTTCTAGGTTTTCAAACTTAGTGGTGCAAAAACCCAGTGTCTTTTGCTCAAAACCTTCGCGGGCATCTGACATTGTTTCCAAATTTGTCTCATTACTTTTCTGGGCCCGTCAAATCGCTCTTTACAACCCTCCAAGCGCAGTGTTGTAGCTTCAGATAAGCAGCCGATGCTGTCCGTCATATCGAAATCTCACCTCATAGAGTCCCAAGAGTGCCTTTGATGCTTTAGTATCCCACGGACAACACCATCGATCTTTTTCCACTATACCTGTTCTGCTTAGGTATGGATACAAACCCAAGGATGTCACTGGAGACCTGCACGGCCGACGTCACGCTGGCAACACAATTTTGCCCCCAAGTGAAATGCGTTGCATAGGCGATTGCAACTCTCGTCCCGGATCAGTCTAATAGCTCCTTCGATACCACTTCTTTCGACTTTCGCCAGTTCCTGGTCGGCTGACCCGGAAGTTTAACCCGTTCCAGGAGGCTTCAAGGCAGGTGGAAGCTTGGTCCATATAAGACACAGCAAGACCTTTTAAGGCTCAGATGCCTTCGACACGACGCAGCTGAATTTCACATCACTCCAGCATCCTACATCACTTATCTTGTTATGGGATTGTTCACCCACTCACCGATTGCCCAGCGATGGAACTCCTCAGATTATTCCTTCTATCCGCAGTTTACGCTCGGGTATCTTGCTCACCCGTTGGTGGACCAGAAGCGCGGAGAGATGAAAACGGCCATGCAGCGAACGCCAACCAGCGTCGAGAGCCTCTTAATCTCTGGCCCGGAAAGTCGCCAGCAGATACCGTTGTTCTCCAGCCATTACCGACAAGAGGATGCACGACGACGTTGTCCGAGACGTACGGGTATCCTTGCACTTGGGACGGAACCGAAACCATCTATCCTGCCACAACCATCGCATATCGACAAGTTAACTGCAACGGATGCGACGTCCTCCACGTCCACAAAGACATGTATTTCTGCCCCAACCAGAGGATTGATACGACCGTCAAAGTCGCAACGCCGAGTACGTATTGGAGCACAATATGTCGACCGTCTGGGACGCTGGGCAGAAGAGTCGAGGGCGCTGTTCAGCTACCACGCGTAACCACGACTGTCTTTCATAAGCCCCCGCCGACACCAACACCCACGCCGGCCCTTGTCTATACCGCAATAGCAAGCCCGAGCAGTGAACCGAAGTCTAAGGAGGCTTTCTGAAGCGGTTGCCTATCACATCTGCAACGTGCCTAGTTTTTGGGCATACTTTGTGGTTCACCACTTAAGCGAGAAAGGTTGGACAATATTACTCAGCGCCAACCAGCTCAGTGCACTGGCAGCGCCATTTTGCATTGAAAATCCACAACTATCACAGCAATGACAGCAAGAGCCTAGCTGTCAGGTTGCCAGGCATTCCTCCTCAATGGTGCTGCTTCCAGCAAGGGTATAGAAGAATACTAGTCACCTTGGCCAGTCAGTATATCTGTGTAACAATACAATCATGGAGAAACGTATCTGACGCAGTGATCATTGAGCATCCGACCAACCGGAGCACCGAGACCTTTCAATTCTCAATTACTCATGAAGCGGGAGATTTGGGCTTTTTCAGCTTTGGGTGGTCGATACGCTCAAGGAACCAGCAAAAGACACTTGTTGAATGACTGGTGAACTGTGTAGAGAGTGATAATGCTCTTTTTGTTTATCGAAAACAACCTGCAGAGCACATTCGGCCTCGTTTCATTGTCAGATAAGTCGTTTGCATGGCGATGTTTTGATGACGGTGCTCCGCCAGCTTGATTTCTCCACAGTGTGGGTGTTGCACACTGAAAATCTTGCCCCTCGTCAATAATCCTAAGTGGGTCATTGCCTAGGTCCACATGTGGAGAGCAGCTTCGTTTGCTTAGAGCGCCCCCAACTTTAATTCCACCTCCAGCCTTCTCTCGAGGACACCACCCCACCACTGAGAGAGCTTCACAGAAAAAGAGCTTGAGCGTGGTGGCTCGGCACTTGACAATATGTATTGGCGTGTCTGATCCCGAGACTTCTGCAGACCCCGTCAACAGGCGCGGGGGCCCTCCACCGACGTGGCAGCACCGAGAGAGCCCAGCATTCCAAGACTTCGATCACTCCACTTGGCTCTCTCATGACCAGCCGCCTCTGCAAGAGCATAAGGTGTTCCACCCTCACCAGCGCTACAACAAGTTCTCACTCGCCTTGGCAACTATGAATCAAAGCAGACCTTGGACTCGCCCGCTTTGGGAATGGGAATACAAATCCGTGGCAGAGCCAATGGCTTCCAAAATTCATCAGTACTCGAGAGTTACGATTATACGTCAGTTCCTTAAGTCCCCATACACCCATGGCCTCAAAACATGGGGAAATCGCCTCTATCCACCACTACTATGATGCGATATTCGCCGAAGTTGTGAAGATCGAGAAAGCCACGGACAATCTGCATCACCCATCCCACGGATTGATTGGAGCAGCCACCGAGAAGATCATAAAACTAATGAAGAACATTATGGAAATTTATAGTTTCACCATCAGCATCCTGAAGAACCGTCAAGCTGACCTCCCTGTGGACTTTGAGAATGAATGCAGGAATCCGATGGTCTTATTGAAGAGAAAACTAATCTTCACAACCTGATATGGCAAAGATTGCGACTACTAAGACAGAATGTGCATCGAAGAGATTGGAAGATGAGCTTGCACTACTAAACGTGAATGTTATGAACACTTGAAAGATAACAACTTCTTGAAGTCGAAACACGTAGACCTATAGGCCGAAAGCTCATTCTTGGAGAAGCGTGACAACACAGAGGGGTTAGTCAACACACTAAGCGAGGATATCTGCCAGCTTCATAGTAACCTCAGGTTGGAGGATGACGGGATTCGTTGGAACACACTGAGAATACCAAGGTACAAGAAAACTCCCAAGTACAAGAAACAACTCAAGTTACGAAAAGAATCAACAGTATATCCCCCTCTATAACGAAACAGAAAATCAGGTTTCGACATTGACAGCAGAGAACAGTGCATGAAAGATAGGGAGAAACTCTCAGTTAATGTTGACGAAAAGGAAATAAACATTACCAAGCTGCAGAATCGTCTAAAGAAGAAGTTGAACCGGATTGTCGAACTATCAAAGCAGCTGGAGCAGCCCAAATTGGGCAAGCTTGAGTTGGAGAAGTCTCTCCAAGAGAAGATGACCCCATCAAGGAACGGTCTGTGATGCAGATTTCTCCTGTGGAATACTTTCCCAAAACACCAAATCTCGAGATATCAGCCAGCGAAGTTCAAGCAATACCATCTGTATGTCAAGAGAACCTAGTGCAACCTCAACCGTACCCTAAACCAGGATCAAGCGAGATCTTCCGGAGGAGCCACCGTCTCAATTGCAGCCGCTGTCACAACTCCCGAAACTTACTCCGTAGCACTCCTACAAAACGTTTGTCAGCAACTGCATGATCTTAGTCTCGGCATAGTACTCACTTAGCAAGTTTTCACGTTGAATATCACGTTGAATATGGAAACCCAATTATTGACTTTGCACAATGGCTTGCCTATATACCATCAAACCAGATTCCTACAACTCATACTCATGGATTCTGGGAGCTTCACCCTCCATAGACATTGGAACGGGGCACAGCTCCTTCTCTTCGTCCATCTCTTGAAGAACACTTTACTCATCTCTGCCTTCTCTACCCCTGGCCGGATATTATTGCCATCGACCATCTTTCTACTACCGCTCAAAGTTTGATTTCTTTGCTTGCCACACTACTCAAGATCAACTATTCTGCTGGTCTTCATGCAGGCATGACCTTCCCCGAAACGATGGATGCACTACTTCCTCTAATCATTGGTCTCTTCGTGGCTCCCAGTCCTGACATTGGTACTCCGTCAACACAGCTCCTTTGCTCACTAATAGCTTTGCGAACTCTGTAGGCTCCTAGAGCATGGTTTCTCCAACTGCTGCAAGCGTCTGTGGAATGTCAGCAGCTTTTGCGGGATTGGGTTGCCTGAACACCCGCTCTACCGCTTAAACTCGGCTTGGAAACCCTCACCGGTTTCCCGCTTCTCCCAGCGATTCTAAGTTCCTACGAGATCAGCTCCGGCTCAAATGTGGCGGTGAGTTTGCTGCTTCAACTTCTGCACTTCTAGTCCAGAGCGAGGCACGAAGAAAGTGGGCCTGCTGCATTACGGCGACAATAGCAGCTTTTTGATGATAGATTTTACTTCCAAGACGTTTTGGATGGTGGAGAGCGGACTGCGAGCATGGCGCCAAACAGCGATAAAACAAGTTTGATTTTGGGGGTGTCCAGGAAGGGTGATGTCTTGTTCAAGATCACTGTGGCGCTAAAGGAAGTCACTGCGTTCTGGGTGCGCTATGCGATGGGTGATGATTGATACCCATGGGCGTTTGCAGGTCCCATTCTCGGTTTGTTCTGCATGATAGGGTTAATATGGTCCATCAATGTTAAGATATCATTATCATGAAGACTAGTAGATGATGCATATTAGGGACCTGGAACAGGTGTTTCTGGCATCAGGTACAACATACTTGTCTGGCATATATCTGAGTAGAGACATGTTTAGGGGGTTAGGTACTATCATTTTTATTACGTCAGTTTGTTTCTAAAATGGCACATAGAGGAGTGCCACTCTATGTTTTTTGCGCAGCTTCGATGTTAAGACATTACAGCAATCAGAAGCTCCTTCCAGGGCAACGCTCAGTCAAAATTTGTGGTTCTCCACTCACACCATGCACTTCTGGGCAAACCGTTTCGGCGTTACCGCACTTCAGCGCTGTTAAGCTGCCTATCTTCGCTCATCTCGTTCATTGCAGTTTTCCTGCCTTCCCATTAGAATATCGGCACCTTTAGCAGCTAACTCACTTATGTTTTTCCAGATAGCCTGATCATCGCAAAACATTTTTCAATTCCATTACTGCCAGTCGACACGCTTCTTTTTGATACCACCCTGATTTGTCTGCCTTTTTTGATTATTGATACGCCGCTCTGTCACCCGCAAAATGACCGACTATCGTCCTGAAAACGGCGATATCATTGAGGATAACGATGACTTCAAGCCATCGCCTCGTGAAGCGTTCCATACCGAGCCCCAGTTGTGCGACTACATGCTGCGCAAAATTCATTCCTCAGTCCCTCTCATGATTAAATCCTCTCTGATATCAATGGGCTCGGGCCTATTTACAACTCAGGACATCGAGGAGGGCCAGGAGATTTATCGCTCAATACCATTTATGACTGCTGTCGACTATGACCGGAACCTGGACTATCTGTGCTACCACTGTCTCAAGGAGACAGAGTATGTCCCAGGTGCGAATTTAGGCATGTTCCAAGAGCAAAAGTGTAAAGCATGCTCAGGATGTCGGGCGATCAAATTTTGCAGTAAGGTTGGTAGTGGTGACAATGAATGAGTTGCTAAGGAATAACGGGTTATGCTGACAGAGGGACTTGCTTGTTCGTTCTTTAGGAATGTCAAAAAGATGCTTGGGTAAAATACCATAAGAATGAGTGCAAAATTCTTAAAGAAGCTCCGAGACTGAGGTCACAGCACTTACTTGCCTATCGACTCACTTTCTGGCGGCTACAGAAACGAATACCGTCAGAACTTTTGAAGGTGATCTCTTTTTTGCAGACTCACTTCTACGATTTTGTCAAGGATTCAAAACGGGGCGCCGACATTACTCAAGTTGCCTTAGCTATTCAAAATGCAACCGGCGGGAAGGCCAGCCTGGTGTGGCTTTGGAAGATTGTGCCGGCAGTATGTCTTATTTTCATGACAAAAAGCCCCAGCACCGAAGTTAATTTATCATATCTTTGCAGCTTCGAATCAACTGCGTCAGGATTCGCACTGCAGGAGATCATCGCAGCGTCGGCTCTGCCTTCGATTTAGTAACAGCAGTCATCAACCATTCTTGCGACCCTAATACATTTGTCTTTTTCGACGGTCAGGAGCTTAAAGTCCGGTCGCTGAAAAGGATTTCGGCGGGAGAAGAGATAACAATTTGTTACGTTGACCCGACTCTCGGTGTAGCCTCTCGCCAGCATCTCCTGGAGCAAGAATATCACATTAAATGTTCATGTAAGGATTCCTGTCGTGATCCCTATCTCTTCCTTGAGCTGACTTTCATGTGACCAGGCCGGCGCTGCAAATCTGAAGCTAAGGATCATGAGGCATTGATCGCACAAGCTGGCAACATGGACGCTGTTCTGCAGACGGAAACCAATATCCTCGCACTAATCCGCGAAGCTGTTCTCCTCAACCAAGCCCCTGACAATGCTGTTTTCAGTCCCCACAACGAACCAGTCGAAAGTCGTCTTAATTATGTCCTCGGTAAGGCCCCCTCTTGGCCTGAATTCATGGATCCGCTACCAGCAGCCCGAATGGCTCTGGGAATACTTTATCGACAGAAAGGAAAGTATCGGCAGGCAGCAGTGAACATTCTCAAGGGCCAGCTGGTCCGGCGCTGTCGTGACGGGCCAGAATGGGTCAATGACCTCTTTGATACTTGCATCATGCTAATTCAGCTGGGCAACTTACCCCCTGACTCAGGGGTTCTCAAGTCAAACGGGAAGGAAATGGCTACAATTATGGATGCCCGGACCGTCGCCTATGGCTATCTTTACGTCCTCTTTAAGGCCGTGTCTAAGGTCTTTGGAAGCGGGACGCTTTACACAAAAATGGTGTTTGACATGTTTGGATCCGTTCTGACACAGAAGCCGGGGAATTGTCCGGGGAGTGAGGAGTTTGCGAAGGAATTTGAGGAGGCTCAGGCTAAGTTACTGGCGTGGGCCGGCATTCCAATCCAGTATGCGCTGGACCTGCCTCAGTGAAACTCGCGGGGATTGCATGGCTTTTGGGCATTTCCTCGTGGAGGAGTCCAGGAGTTAGGAAGCTCGGGAGCTAGGGGCCTTGGCCTATACGATACCTTCATAAATATGAACAGGGATAGCTAGCACAAGACACCCAGCTCTCGGGTACAGGTCAATCAGGTCACAAGGACAGTCTATTTTTACGGACCACCCCATCACAACGAGTAACCTGTTAAGCACTGTTGGAAGGCTGTTGATAGCTCAATCGATAAAAACTTTATCCTGATTCACAGTATTATACGATCTGCCTACACGTTAGAAAAGGCTAGTCCAACTTGCCAATGCTTTAAGTGAGAGAAAAGAAACCTGAACTCACCTCTCTCTCGCTCAATCTTCATCTCCACCATGCGTATCGATTCACAATAGTCATGAAACGGCCCCAAGCAATTTACCCTGTTTTCCTTGTCATGCGCCATGCAGTACTTCTCCCGCATCGCCCTATCGGGTGCCACGAGCAGCTCGTATAAGACCTTGACAGGATCCCGATCGTGACCAGATTTCCCTGCTGCCTTAAGGATGTTGCTGGTGTCAAGCACCTTCGGTGCCTCGTCCAGTGTATCGGAAGCGAACAGCATGGACCAAACAGCTTTGCAGATTGCATCGAGAGGGGCTTGAAGCAGGAAAAGTAACTAACGCAGTGTGCGTCCATTGCGTTTCGGGGAAGGTAGTATTGGCCCTGCCTTTGTCATATCATACTCTTCAATCCCCTTCGCGACCCCCTCTTCCGACCCCTTCCCGTGATCCTTCTCTCCAGGTCACAACTTGACCCCCTCAACTTAACCCTTCCCACATGCCTCATCAACGCAGTCTCCTCTTTTGAAAACGGATCCATAACCCCCCCACCTCCTGCCTATCCAGCAACAACCAAGGTGAAGTCGTCTGAGAAAGTGCGCAACGTATGTAGGTAAGCGACGCTCGCGCGTGTCGTGATCTTGGCGAATGCCTTCTTGTGTTTTTTTATCTGCTCCTTCTTGACCTTCTTCCCCCTGTGACACGTCCGCATCTCGGAGCGGGCGTTGCCAACCAGGTTGGCCACTGTGCTGCGCAGCAGGCAGGCTTTTTAGGCAACGATACGATGCCAAACATCGACGGTGTAGTCGTTGGGGGAGAGGCACATCTTTAGCGAGGGCGGTAGAGTTGGGGCTAGGGGTGCAGTTGACATTTGGAGGGAGGTCAGTTTGGACGGGAGGTATTGGAGGACTGCTGAGATGAGAGGGCTTTGGCTGGGATTGTCAAAGTAGGGGATGACGACCTGTGCGTCGTTGCGGAGGAGGGAGGTCATGACAGGACGTTTAGGGAGTTGGCGGCTGCGGCAAGGGGGGTTCGGTAGATTTGTCTTCGTAGTCGGAGGTGTCGATGCGTTTAGATCGAACTTGCAGAGGAGGATGTTGACAATAGTTGGATGGGTCTTTCGCCTGCTACAGTGTGACATTAGAGGATGTAGCAGATTGAGATTGAAGGGTAACACATCCAACATTAGGAGCAGTATATTTGGCAGCGGAGTGGTCATAAAGACATGGGCCCAGACTGTCTCCGGAGGAGGCATGTAATCCTTGTACTTTTTCTCCGAGCCAGGCTCGCCAACCATGTAGAATAAACAATTCCATTGTTCTCACGAAGAGCAATAGATTGAGCTGTACGACTTAACCAGACATAATCGTAGATATATAGTGTTCTGGAGCTCACAACCCACTTCCTGAGAGAAACCAGACATTCGACAGCTCCATTCTTGATGCACTCTTTCATGAATTTGTGATCTCCCTTTCCATCATTTAGTGAAGCAAGGGGCCACTTCTTGAGCCGGTGTCGGACTCGAACTTCTCCAGTTTCAAGAGGTACATGAGAGAATCTGTGTCATTGCACTTGATCGCATCAATCACAAGGCTTTTCTCCCCGTCACTTGTTCTACCAGACAGGAAGAGTGCATTTTTCACATTTTCCGACATTCATGGCTGGATGGAAGGGCGCGATGTCTTGACTTTTTCTTTCAAACGCAGATGGTAAATGTCTCGATGATCCTGAGGGCATGAACTTCTTATTGACTGAGTTGGATGTAGCTTATGTCTGGGGACAGGCCGTGGGGTGACATGGTAAGAGTCAGGCAGGGGAGGATTTGGCTTCGTAATTATGGATGGTAAGCAGGGAAGTCTGAGGAGTTGAAAGCTTCATAAGACCAATCTGGACTCGAAGTTCGACCAACTCCGGTTTGACAAGCAGAGAGGAAAGGTGACATAGGGTTCAATATGGGATGCAGAGGTAGGTAGACAATGGCTTTCTTGTAGACGCTACTACTATCTAGCATACTCTTCGATAATCGCTTTATGGATCTTGAGTCCCTGAAGACTACGCTGAAACTATTGTTTAAAGGAACCATCTTTTTTAAGAACAGTCTGGAAAGCTTGCTAAGTCACCGGCACCCAAACACCTTTCATTGTCACAGCCACAATTGGGACACTCGCCCTTCAGAGCAGGGCTGGACCCAGGTGTACAGGTTGGTTCAGAATGACAGCAGGGCCAGCGACAACAGTGTCAAATGTAGGAGCCCCAGGCGTATTAGCAACGAGGGCAACGATAACTCCCTTGGTCTCAAACTCCGGTGGGATGGTGATAGCAATGTCCTTCTTTGGCCAGTGCTTTGTATCGATAGGCATGCTGATATTCAGAAGGCCATGGAAGAACACCGCATAGTACTGAATGCCAGGGTGGAAGTGAGGTTGGTTGTTCGGATCTGTGAAGTTGAGACGAACAACTGATCCCGGAGCCAAGCTCTTGGTGTCTTTCGCCGCTGAGAGGAATGGTAGCCGCTGGTGAGGACGAGGATACTCCGGATTTTCAGGGGGACAGCTACCTGGCACAATGATGGCGTTGGTAGTATATAAGATTTGGTTGGCGTAAGGGAACATTGTGTCCGTGGGTCCGCCAAACGGGTTCTCCTTCCAGATATCCAACAGCGCCCAGGTCTCATGACGGGCTTCAGTGGCCGCAATTGCGACCATGGCGCTTTTGTGCACGTTGAGCTCCGGCTGTTGAACCAGGCCGGTCAAAAACACCATGCTCGAAATCTCCAAGACTGTCATGAATGCCAGGTATTTAATGGGATCATCCAACGGGAACTTGTACTTGCAGGGACCGGGTTTGATCGACCGAGGGGAGATTTGGTTTTGGAAGATGCGAAGATGGCCTGCCTCGTTGTTGCGAATTTCCATCAAGCGACGGCGAGTGTTGTTCGGTAGGCCAGCCTTGATGAAATCCTCGTCTGTGAAGGTCTCAACTCCCTGCTGGTAGAACTCGAAGATGACCCATTCTGCAGACAACAAGTTTTGCCAGGTGTAGTCATTGGGAGCTGGAGGACCATTTTCCGTCGGGAAGATCGGATCAGTGATGTTACCGGGAAATGGCCTCTCAATGCCCCAGTAGTAGTTGTAGTGGTCTGACTGGCCAGGGATGGGGCCATAAGTTGGGTCTGCCAACTTCTGGGCCTCCCCCGAGTAGTGTGCAGGTACTCGGTAATTTGGAGCAGCAGACACTCTTGCGGTCGGCATAAGTATAATAATGAGCAGAATGGCCATAATGACTACCAGGGCGCGCGAAAAAGTCTGTTGAGGACCCATCATCTTGCTAAGTAGATGTCGATGCCGTTGGCCAAGAGGTTCTAGAAGCAACCTTTTGGAAGAATAGGCGCGAGGAGGAGAACACCTAGAGCGGTTGTGTGGCAACATTGACAAGCTGTCGTGATGCATATGGCCTTAGGTTATTCTTAGGTTGACGAGATCGAGAAATATCCTAGGTTGCGTGTGAATGTGGACTTTTGGGGGGTAGGTTCTAGGATGGTTGTGTGAGAGCTCAATGCCATTGTCTTCGTCATGTTAGCAGCAAAATAATAGGCTTTGTGAGTTGTGGTTGCAACTTTGACTCGAAGCCAGGCAAGTGCTGAGGGTCAATCATGAGACTTGCAAGTATGCGAAGGAGAAAGAGCGAAGAAGGTAATAGAGACGTCCTGGTGAGGTCATTTCACTTCATTGGGGGAGGAAGGACCAGCAGATAACCAGCAAAAAAGCGTGTTTGATCGCTTTTCTCAACCGGAACTTCAACATGGCAAACAGAACGCTTTCAGATACCCCGCGTCTTGAGGGCAGAGTATTATCCTTAAGAGGAGACATAGAGCTTGACCTGGAGGACGTCCTAAAAGTAAGAAGGTCAGTGAGGTTCTTGTTATGACCGGCCTAAAGTGCCATACGGTCGCTGATGCGATTTTTAGCTTCATACATCGATCCTCTGACATCCTGCGTAGTCATCAAGGCTCTGAGCTCGGGGCCGAAACCATGAAGACAGTCATGGTTTTACTCCTACTGCTTGTTTTGGCAGGATGGCTGTATTGTGCAGTCATTGGGGACCTTACAAGGTCTTTCGTTCAGGCGTTGCTTGGGGATTTGGGGCGGTTTATCTCCAAGCTAACATGGAAACACATCACATCAAGTCTGTTGTGTGTCCTGCTTGCGTTATACCGTCGCCGTGCCAAACGACGTGCAAGAGAGGCAGAACATTGGAGGCAATTAGTCAAGCGGAATGGCTGCGACCCAATTCCCTCCCTCCCCAAAAAAGGTTTTCTCGGCTTCGGCTGGCTCATCGACAATATGAAAGCCAACAAGATGGAAAGGGGACCGATGCACCTCGTCGAGAGCTTGGACAAAGAGATGGGCAAGTCCATCCACACGTGCATTGTCCCCATTGGCGACTATCAGCTGATTGTCACTCGCGACCCTGAGAACGTCCAGGCGATACTAGCATCGAACTCGGCGGACTGGGACGTTGGCGAGCATCGGACAGCCAGTTGGAGCCCTTTGGTTGGACATGGCGTCTTCACCACACGGGGAGAAGAGTGGAAAGTATCTCGTCTGCTTGTCCGGCCGCAGTTCTCAAAGGATGCTATCAATGACCTGGATCTCGTTGAACGCCACGTCCAAGAGCTGTTTGAGGCAATTGATGAGTATATGGACGGAAGACCCGCGGTGGAAGCAGGCTGGACAAATAAGTTCGACCTGCAGCCACTCTTCTACAATATGACGCTGGATATCACAACAGAGCTCATCTACGGATATTCGGTGCATTCCCAAAACCCCAAGGCCAGGGTTAAGTTGCCCGATCTCCCGGGCTACCCAGCCCCTGACCGCATGAATATCAGCTCACATATGGATGCTGGAAAAGCCTGGATCGAAACGCGGGGAGCTCTCTGGAAGTACCGCTGGTTGCTACCATCGGGAGAATTCAAGAAGCACTGCGAGGCTGTGCACAGGTTTGCCGATTGGTTTGTTCAGCTGCGATTGATGCGTGGTGATGCGTACCTGGATGGTTTGGCTGATACTGGCGCACCCCGCAAGGATCGGTATGTCCTGCTGCACGAGCTAGCAAAGGAGACGCAAGACCCCGATGAACTCCGCGGCCAAACACTCAACATCCTCCTGGCCGGCCGTGACACGACTGCTGCGCTCTTGGGATGGATCTTTTACTTCCTGGCACGCCATCCTCGGGTATTCAAAAAACTGCGCGAGGAGATCCTAGAACAGTTCGGGCCTTACTCGCCAACTAAGCCCAGCGGCCTCACGGATTTTGGGAAGCTTCGCGGCCTGTACCTCAATGCCGTCATCAATGAGTCATTGCGTGTGGCTCCCGTGATTCCGTTGAATGAGCGTGTCGCACTCCGTGACACGAAGCTTCCACGGGGCGGGCACCCCAACCCTCTTCAACCCATCATGGTCCCCAAGGGAACGCAGGTTCTCATTTCGACATATGCAATGACGAGAAGGGAGGACATTTGGGGGCCCAATGTTGATGAGTTCCGCCCAGAGAGGTGGATTGAGAAGGGCGGCCGCAAGTTTGGGTTTGAGTTTATTCCCTTCGGCGGAGGTGTTCGCCAGTGTCTGGGTCGTAAGTTACGAACCACTGAACTCCCGTCTCGTACAAGTACCACCTGCCACTGGAGTATTGCTGACTGAGTGCTGTAGAACAGATTGCTCGCATTCAGACGGCGTATATCGTCGTCCGTATGTTACAACGGTACGACGTGATTGAGAACCATGGACGTCCTGCCGATGCGCCCCTGAAGTTCCACCATACCATCGAGAACCGTTGTGGCAGCGGTGTTGTCGTAAGATTACACAAAGTGCAGTCTTAAAGTGGTGAGAGAAGTTTTAGCTTGCATGTTCAAGGCCTCTCTGGTGGATGACGGATATGACCACGAGCGGGCACGTCGCGGTCTGCATTCATTAGCGCGAGAACTGCAAACTGATTATGGACTCAAGGTAACTTTCTGGGGGATTTTGCATGCTTAGGACATTCTCGTCTGGATTATGGCCATCGGAATTCGAAATTACAAGTGATATGTCCAACCAGGATTCGGCATGGATGAGTGGGTTGCGTGAGAGAATGGCGTAATTGTGTTAGTCTGGACCCTCGCCAAAGATTTCGGCCTTCCTGCGACCGTCTTGCCGGGAATACTCCCAGGGTCTGAGGTGAACGGTGGATCCGCTGCACAACGGAGAGCCGAGATTCGGCTCCCACTCCCTAGGTCCACCACCCGTTTGGCAACCGGAGCCCACTCGCTATCTAATTCCTTCTTTCTGCATCGTGCGACTGTGTTCCAGTCTTAGTTCCTCAAAAATCCCCTCATTCCTCCCATCTGTCTGAGACTCGGGTCGTCAAGATTGTGAACTACTCAACAATCACCACAGCCACTATGCTGATTAAGACTAATGTGAACAAGACCCTCAAGGGCCACAAGCTTCTGCTTGTGACTCCTTGGCCGGTACCTGCTGGCTTCGCGGAGGGGCTCAAGTCTGAGTTTCCTGATTTGGAAGTTGTAATCCATCTTCAAAATTGGGACGGGAAGGCGCTCCCCCTTGAGGTCCTGCCACCAGAGATATGGAAGAATGTGACGATTCTCTTGACCTTTAGCACCCTGCCGAAACCGGAGGAGGCTTCTACGCTGCAGTATGTGCAGCTCATGAGTGCGGGTGTGAACCATCTGTTGGACAACCCCACGTTTAAGGATACCAATGTGAAGTTTTGCTCTGCGAATGGTGTTCATGGGTGAGTTTTTGAGTCTGGCGGGTTGCAGGAGTCGAGGGTTAGACTGACGGGTCATGGCGTAGGCCTCAGATCTCAGAATGGATCATTGGCACATACCTTGCATTTGAGCATCATCGTAAGAAATGAGTTCATCGAGGCCTCGCATATGTGAAGCTGACACCTGCGTAACCACAGTCCCACAGTATCTCCAGCAACAAAAAGAAGGATATTGGGACAGGGCTCAAATGCACACCATCCAAGATGCCGCCAACAAGACAATGTACTCCTCTGCTGCCTACCCCCCTGACACCCCTCATAAACCCCGTTCTAACTCATCCATCTATCTAGCGGCATTCTAGGCTACGGCAGTATCGGCCGACAAACCGCCCGTGTTGCCCGCGCAATGGGCATGACCGTCCACGCCTACACCTTGCACCCGCGTCCCACTCCCGAGTCCCGACGCGACCACTCCTGGACCCCGGCCGGCCTGGGCGACCCGGAGGGCACTATCCCCGCGAAATGGTTCAGCGGCGGGTCTCCCGCCGATGTGCACGCCTTCCTTGCGTCCGGTCTTGACCTCCTCGTCATCGCCACACCCCTGACCGCGCAGACGAAGCATCTCCTTTCCAAGGCCGAGTTCGAGGTGCTTGCAAAGACGGCCAAGGGACGCACATTCGTGAGTAATGTTGCTCGGGGACCGGTTATCGATACAAATGCGCTGATTGAGGCGCTGGAAGGAGGGTTGATTAAGGGCGCGGCGCTGGATGTGACGGATCCGGAGCCGTTGCCGGATGGGCATCGATTGTGGGGGACGAAGAACGTGATTATCACGCCGCATGTGTCAGGAGCATCGGTGAAATATTTTGATCGGGTGTTGGAGATTCTGAAGGGGAATTTGAAGAGATTAGCAGATGGCAAGGAGTTGGTAAATTTGGTGGATAAGAAGCGGGGGTATTGAGAGAGTTTAACGTGTTCCAGTTGGAAATTTTGCAGACAATGTCTTTTGGTCACGAGTTTTGCAGGCATCAAGTGCATCAAACTTTGCAAAGTCTAGTGCTAGATGTCAGTTGATGCGATCTCTTTGTACATGACAAAATATACACGTTACATGATGTTGCTGTCTAAAGCCGAACCGGGCCTGCTCCGATCGCCTGTTCTAAAATCAAGACCGTCCCATCATTGCTATACCTCCTTCCAAATCTCCGCATGGCATTGCACACATTAGCCCACCTTCCCAGGCCCACATCGCAAGAATTACGCATGCTGTCCTCCCAAAGCATCTTCTCGACGTCTCTTCCTACGCGATCGATCATCCACAGTGGATCCTCCCAGAGCCGGGTATTGTGACCTTTCTTATCCTTGAAAATGATCTGACTCTTTGGATCCAGTATATGTGTAAAATCCAGCTTCATGCCAATATGGTGCAGAAACATGTACCGCTTGGGGTTGTGATTGAAGGTTAGGTTGTAAAGTTGCGCTAGGAAGAGTCCGTCAAATACTCGTTAATACCAACCTCTGGCGTGGGTGCGGGAGCAACGCGCTTCCAAAATGTTCCAAAAGGGAAAGCTAACCGACAGTATTTCCTCGCCCCTTGCTTAGCTGGTCCCTCCGAATGTACGTTCTTTTGTGTGCTTCTCAATGGCCGCTACTACCGCACAGTAGTCCTCGACGGGATCCATTTGTTGCATGAGCATTCCACGGTAACCGGCACAGCGATGACGAACTTTAGGGAGCATCTTGACATCCCAGTAGCCCTTCTTTACACCGACACCTGGTCTCACCCACCATGTTGGCTGTCTGTACGTGTGCTTCACCTTTCCACAGCCTCAAGAATAAAGGCCGCGAGAAAGAAAGTCTTTTTATCTCCTTCTACTGGACCATGTTGTGTAGTGATTGGGTAGTAGTGGACAGAACCGTTAAAGTTGTAATATGCAGCAAGCAATAATATGTCGGCGTGGTGAGCTTTGTTACAAACCATAATGCGGCTTTTTAAGGTAGTCCGCGATGTCAGAGGAACTTCAACATCCCCGAAAATGTTGAAGAGGGTAGACGAAGCTGACTGAGTCCAAAAGTCTGGCCAGGAAATAAAGCCGGTTGAGGTAAATAATTCTGCTCCTGTATTGAAAATCAGATCAGGGTTCAGAACGGGGAGCGCATCGGAATCAAGGAACAGGACATTCTGGAAGGTCGAAGGGATGATCAAGAGCAACTTCCATTGGAAGCTCTGGAGGCCTAGCTTCTGCACAAAGGGATGAACGCCGGCCCATACATCCTTGAGCTCAACGCAAGTCGCATTGTATCCCGGGAAGATGTTGCCGAAGACATACTCGACCCATGCCTCAGAGGAGTCTAGAATAACTTGTATCGGTAGATGGGAGCCGACCTGGCGAGTCATGAGGACCAACGAGATGACTTGTCCGAAATTTGGTCGGCCTGCGGCGGTGACAATCCCCGTCATACCTGGCTGGTACAAATCCTGGAGCCTTTTGACAAAGTGGGCAAGTTTGGTGATGAAGGAAGAATGGGATTCTCTCCATTTATCCTCGTTCTCCTTGCTCATAACTAGCAGCTCTGGTCGTTTAACATCAAACTTTGGAGGCCAATTCTTGAGAGGTGCTCTCCCATCAAATGCTGGTGGAGGAGCACAGACTCAAGTGTCCTCCAGATGGTTCAGGAAGTCAGTCCACCATTTGGTTGCGACGTGATTCTCACAGAAGACCAAAGTGCGGAACTTGGCCAAAATATCAGTGTAATAGCGTGAATTAGAGACTAAGCACGCAAAAATGAAGAATAAAGGGGTTATAAGAACGAAGTATATGGCTTTCCCCCGAGACGCATGGTTGCTAGCTAATCGTAAGTGCGTGTTTAAAGTCGAGACTTGTACGACAGACCATGCAAATTTTATCCTTTGAGACTTAGTCGTGCTTCTGGATGATTGTTAAGGTGAGAGGGTTACCGGAAGAGGCCGGTTTCACTGGAATGCCTTGCCTTCAATATAGCAATATGTCCCGATAAAGATAATGATGAGAGAAGTTTTATATTGCGGGCACAAGTCGGAGGAAAGTGGAATTAGCGACGTGAACACTAGTAGGATAACAATTGTATAACATACAGGTAAGGCAGCCGGCATACAGGGGGTTGCAGGTTCCATGGGATGGAAGGATTCACGACAAGAAGCTGTTGTAACATGCCAAGCCAATGAAGCCACCAGACAAGCAAGTCGATAATTGAGACACTACGCCACAGGTGCGATGTGAGCAAGGAGAACTCCTGTGGCTCTGACCAAACCCGTAAGGTTATCTCGAAAAGTTGCCTTGTTGGCAGTTTTGTGGCCTACATGGTCAAACCCTCGTATCAGAAGTACTGGAATGCACTGATATCTACTCAGCAATGGTGTGTGTTTGCAGGTGACGTCATGACGGACGCTTGCCGGAAGCTTGAGTCGCTGGCCAGTTGCTTGGCCGAATTTAACAGGAGAAATAGACGATCCAGTTTGCACGGGGTGCAAAGCTTGATGCCGTGGCGCTGTCGGCTCTAAGCAAGGTGAAGCTTTGGGATGTGGCAAGCATGGGGAGGACACAAAGCTTGTGATCGTCAGGCATTCACAAGAGCTTGGTACTTAAAACCAAGCAGCTGTGGCTTCGAGAAGCAAGACTCGACAAAGGAACAAGTGATCCCAGACTGATAGAGACCAAAAAGGTAGCAACTTCAAGTCGCAGTGGTTACGCAGCAGGATGGGTTGAGAGGAGTGTCAATCACCACTTGCAGTACCTCGATGCCATTACCGTGTCGCAGGATTGTACACAGCACTCCATATTTCGGCTTGGTTAAGGAGCAAACAACACATTCCACGAGGAGCGTATGGCTGTGATCACTCAGTCCGCGGCCGGCGAGTGACTGAGACTTCTCCCTCGGCTTCTAGGGCTGTTGTGATGTCACTGCAAATAATCTGTAACATTCATGCCAAAGGATTGGCTGCTCAGTGACACAGGCACCCTTCATGTTTGCCCAAGTTTGCTAGACTTATGTTCTGCAATTAGACATTCTAGGTGTGTCATTTCTGTGCTTCATGAAATAGTCAGCGTCTTGCAGAATCGAATGGACTTTCATGCATTTGGTTTTTTCTCCCACAGGCGGTACCATTGGTGTGGCATGGTGATGGCGACTGGAACAATGTCATGAGTGAGACTTAATCGGGTGGAACGAGGCTTGGGAGAAAAACTGCTGGCCAATGAGATCGGTGATAAGCCTGACCAAAGACTGTGGAACCCTATGTGGGGTCCACTCAGCCCTGCGTGCGATGGTAAGCGAAACATCCCAGGAGGAACGTTCCTTCTGCCGCGGACGCCAAAAATTGCCATAGCCAGATCCACATATACTTCACATAGAATTTGCAACTTCAAATACTCAACATATTAACATTGAAAAACAGAAAATATTAAATCTGCTAATATTGTCTCCCTAAGGAAAATGAAACTCTCTTTTTATATCATACCTGCAGCATTGCGCAAGAGGAAGCGACTGATTTATTTTAAAGGCTATGTATCGAGCGGATCTGTGAGTCTGTCCAGAACTGAACGCTCTGAATGGTCGAGCCTAATAATAGGCTTTTTTCACCCTCAGGATGATGGCCCACAGCCCACAACCATCCGGCCTGAAGTGGGACATTTGGTATTCAAGTCATTTGAGTCTTAAGCCAAGACCGGCGCCAAAATCTTGGTTCGATTCAGGATGAAGATCGGTTGCTAAAACTTGCTTGTTGAAAGAGGGAAACATATAGCAGGTCGTTACAAGAGTCATATTTTAAGGTCCGGTACCTTGGGTCCCAATCCTGGATCTCTTATGGATCCGTGCCCTCGGTTTTTCCTCCTCTTAATCGCACTCGAACTTCTATCTAGCATCGCATCTTTCACAAGTTCCAAGCTAGCTCGCCTGCGCTATAGCTATGCTGGGAGCTTCAGAAAAGCACAGTGAGGTTTTGATGTTAGCAGAGTGCTCCTTTTATAGCTTGGCAACAAGAGGATAAGCTAACACAGACCCCCAGAGAGACGCGAGCTGCCACATAACCTTAACATGGAATCGATAAGTCATCCAGAGGGCTTGCAATGCTAGAAAGCGGCCATGGTTTTTCACCGGATTTCTGGATTAGAGCTAACAGCAATGAAATTATATTTGGCAGTTATATCATGTTGTAGTAAATGAAATTACCAAAAAGAAAACCTGTATAGTGTACAACTTGGGGTCAAATGCACGATACCACCAAAAGGTGACGATCAAACCCCGGGTTCCTGGTATCGCATAAACATCACGGATTACACGATGTCAACTCTTAGACCAATAGGAAAAGAAATCGTTGCTTGTTGGAAATACGACAACACGCTACGGGAGTATTTGTGTTGACTACGATATCTGTTGTAAGTCATGGACTGATAGATCACGAGGTCGTTAGAGTTCTCGCCAGCTACTGTTGCCACGGACCGACTCCAGCTCTTTGTTCACACTTTATGATATCTGGACGTTGATAGCCCTGTCAGCCTCCAACACCACTCTGGACTCCTTAACAAACACTCAGAAAGACCACAATTACCTGTCAGTCAGCAGGTCAAGTACTACATGCTTTGTTCTAAGATGCGTCGCTTTTATTCGTTCTCAAATCATCTCTCTGGCCCCCTTTTCTCAACAGCGAAGGAAAAGGGTCAGACTGAACTGTGTCTACCTGCTCAGGCCCAACAGCTCATCCGACGATCTTGATCTCGTCAAAAACACACCAGCCAAGGAGGAAGAGATCAGTGTTCATTAAACGACCCATGTGCACAACTTGGCTGACATATTACAACTATGGGCATTTTCGCGGCAGCACAGTTCAGACATGTAACCGATGACGTCGTGGTTTACCAACGCTTCATATCTAGTCAACAGCACACGAAACATTGCTCCGTGACTGTCCAAAATGCGAAG